CTCTCAACACTCTGCTGCCTGGGGACCTGCTCAGTGGCGAGTCCATCTAGGGGTCACCGTCACCGGGGAGGAGAGAGCTGAGCATGCCAGGCCCGGCTCTGAGGCCCCAGCTGACGGACAAGCTGCCCCTTGGAGTACCTCTGTCCAGTTCTGAAGATGACCCTTGGCCTCAGCCCTTGTGAACTGTTGAAGACAGTGCGGGCTATGTTTTGGTCAGTGTCACGTGCTAACGCCAGGATGTTCCTCATAGCTTTTTATTTTATGTCGTCTTATGTTTGTATGGTGTGTTGTCATTTTGAGTTTTAAGTATAAAAGCTGCTTAGAATAGTTCTATCATGAAGGGCACTTTTCAGACTGTGGGCTGGAAAGGGTTATTTTATGGCGGGGTGGGGGGAGACTTGAAGCCTATTTAAAGTGAGCCTGTGACGATTATGCACATTACCAGAGGCGGAGGGCGGGGCAGGCGGCTGCGTTGTGCGGGCACAGAGCTGAGAGGAGCCACTGCTCTGCCCCCAGACCCGCCTATGCACATTACCCTTGTTTCATTACTTTTCATGTCATTTTTTTTCCCAAAAAATTATTTTTTAAAAGTTAAAAAGACATATCAAACATGCAAATACTTGAACCCAGCAGGCCAATACCGAAATGTGAACACTTCCACGCTGACATCCGTGCACAGAAACAGGCTCTAGGAAATGTCTACGTTCATAGCCTACATGTGCGTGCGTGTGTGCGTGTGCGTGAGCAAGTGTATGTGTGTGTGTGGGCGCACACTCATGGAGCAGTGTGTATGCCCGCGTGCTTGTGCACGATTAGTGCTAACTGTGTGCGTGTGTGTTTCAGTGTGTGTGAGGGATTTAACTGGGGGTTTCCCTTTTATTCAGTACATGCTTTTTTTTTTTTTCCCTTGGGCGCATTGGTCAAATGTTCTCATTGTTGTTCGCTTCTAACTTTGCACTGAGGTGTCTCTGCCCTCCCTTCTAGCTAATCCTAAACAGTAAAGAGAATTCATGGGACAGGGCTGGTGACAATTCATGTGTAAATGTTTACTCAAGGACTCTGTTATTGCATTTAAAGTTACAGTGTATATCTCTGGAGAAATAATATGTCTATCTACCTTTAGCAGCTTTTCATTGTGGACTAATACAAGAAGATTATTGCCAGAGTATTGCACCATTTCCCATCTGGAATATAGAGTTAAAGAGATAAAATTGTCGTTGAACTGTGGCCATAGATACTTGTAGAAAATGGGTGTCCCGCAAAGCGCGGGGACAAGCACTTGGACATGGGTTGTGACTGCTTTTGGAGGAGCTGTGGTTTGGGCTCCCACCTGTTTACAGACCTTTTTTCTCCTTCAGACTTTAAAATAAAAATTTTAAAAAAAATTTAAAAAATTTAAAAGGAATAAAAAAAAAGACTTCCATCATAAAAAAAAAAAACAAAAAAACAAAAACAAGCAAACAAACAAAAACCTATTTTCAGAATGCAGATGTGTTACTTCAGAGCTCTGGGATGGGACGTGCTGGGACGCGCTGCTCCCCTCCAGCCATTATGGACTCTGTCGGTTTCTTCGCCCTTCCTCAAGGTGACGAGGCACTGTGGTCTCTGTCTTGCACATGCCGGCTCGCTCTCAGGAAAGCCAGGGCTCCGGGGGCAGCTCCACTCCATTTCATGTATTTCTAAACCCAACTCCTAGCACTGAAGACGTTATTAAAAAAGAAAAAAAGAAAAAAAAAAGGAAAAGAAAAAGAAAAAAAAAAAAAAACCACACACACAAAGAAGAAAAATACCTAATCTCTAATGTGTAGCAGTTACATATTTACCAAATAATGGACTCAAAAGAAATAGATGTTTGAAGAGTGCTTTATATATTAAAAATTGCTTTATGTTTTAAAGATGATCAATGTTTTGATTGTTTTGCAAGGAAGAAAGACAATGAAATAACACACCCTCAAGTATGTTTTAAAAAAAATATATGAACATTGTACTCCCTGCCTATGTGGTCAGGAAACTTGTGCATTACATTTTTTAATTAGCTTTTTAATGGTTTTATCAAAACAAGAAAGCAAGTCCTGCAGGATCACAGAGAAACGCTGGTTTTCTAGAGGATCGTGAACTATGCACAACTGGGTTCATTGTGTATCCCACGGAACGGCCCTCCTCAGAGTGACTGCATCTCATCATCATTGCAAGCGTCCTAGATATTTGATGTATGTATACCCAAGTATGTATATCAAATATGTGCGTGTGTGTGCGCGCGCGCGTGTGCTCCCAGGCCTACAGCTTGCCATGCTGCCATTTAGCACTGAGTTGTAGAAAAACTCCTAATGTTTTAAAACTGGGGATGGAAGTAAAGGGTGTTTGCAGTTTTTGTGGGTCCCCCCCTTTATTTTATTATTTTTTTGAACCTTTTAAATTCAAAATATCTGACTCTAAGATTAAAACAAAAAGAGTTTGTGGCGCTTAATGCCCCTCCTCATGGGATGTGGTGGTTGGACGCACGCCGGAGGTTGCTTTCAAAAATACAGCGCTTTGTTGAGTCTTAATAAACTGCGGTTTTTCTTGGCTATTTGCTATTGCTGGGTCTTTCGTCTGTAAGAGGCAGGGACTTCCTTTTTCACTTGGTGTGGAGACAGCCTACTGTGTCTGCTGAGTTTGCATTCAGTCCTGTCTAAACTTAAAGTGTCGGCTGTTGGACTTGAAACTGTAGCCTTGCTATTTGGTTTTGCTGAGACTATTCTGATCCTGTCAGTAGCCCTGGGAGGCACAGCAGCTTCCAAGTCTTCCTGGGCTGACTGACTTGAATGCATCTGAAGACAGTGTTGCCCAGGCCAGCAGTGGGTGGAGCCAGCGGCTCCAGGTTCTCCCAGAGCCACTGTCCCATACTCGTTGACACATACCCTGTACAGGCATGAAAAGAGAAACCAGAGGCAGGGGTGTAGCTCAGTGGTAGGACCTTTGTGTGCAGGCAGGCACAAGGTTCCACCCCCAGGGCTGTCTAGAAAAAATCGTGGCTTGTGCCTGTAGCCCCAGCACTCAGGAGGCTTGAGTAGCGCCGCCTGAGTCCAAGACTCAGTACCATAGCAGGCAATGCAGCAAGATCCCCAGCCTGGAAGAGGAAAGGCAGTCATGTTCTCCCAAGTGTTTTTCTTGCTCTCTGCCCCTAAAAGCGTATTGGCTAACACACACAAAACAGCAGCATTGTCAGCCGGCTTTGCTCATGGGTGGCAGCTTAACCTCTAGTGTTCCCATCATGTGCCTCATGGGAACCCAGAGACCTGAGGAAGAAGGAGACTCAGGATGTCAAGCTGCCCTGGCAGAGGGATTTCCATCTCCTATGGGTAACGTAGCCATAGCTAGAGGACCCTGCCTGTGTCTGGGAGGTCGGTCCTGTTGTCAACCTTCGGGAGTCTTCAAGACATCTGGGGAATGAACAGGAGATTTGTGAGGTGGCACTCTCCCTGTGTTGGACTTTGACAATGAGGACCAACAGAAAAGGCCTCATGGGACTGGACTGGATGAAGTAGGCCCGATGTCAGCGACCCAGGAAGCGGAAGGTTTGGAGCTACCCTACTGCTGTTTGGGGTTATACCACACTGTTCTGATAAGACTGTGCCACAGGCAGAAGGCAATGCCCAGCCAAGGTGGGTGCACAGAGAATGCCCGCAGAGGTGCACAAGACACGTTGGGAGCTGCCGTGAACTGGCCTGCGCTGCTGACGAAGGCGTCCTCTCAAGCCCTCTCATCTCCTGAGTCCTGCCAATCCCACCCTTGTGAGTAGCCTTCAGCTTAGGTGACAGATGACCCCAGATGGTACCCAGAGCAGTTCTCGGCCTTGGCCTTTTAGAATCACCCAGAAACTTAAAACCATAGAAGGATCTCTGGGGCAGCAGAGGTACAGGTGGTTTCAGAGCCCGTGTGCTCCCCTGTGTAGCCAAGGTCAGGAAGCAGTGGTGACCGGGATGCCCGCGCACAAGCCTGCCAGCGTGAGGGAGCTGCAGGCAAAGATCGGGATTTGAAGTTCGTCCTTAGCCAGCACGGACCACATGAGGCCCCCACACGGAGTTCTGTGTTCAGGGTGAACCTTGACCATCTGCTCAGCAGACGCTTGCAGTTCTCAAGTCGGGTGGCTTTCATTTGCCAGTTACAGCTGACCCCTCCCTCCCTCCCTCCCAGGCCTGCAGTACAGGCATGCTGAGGGCCGCTTTGTAGTCTAGACCCTGATGGTTATGATGCTAAGCACTCCCAGGTCCCACAGGAAGGACCGGAGGTCAGGCGGCTGGGGTGCTGACTGCCTCTGCTCCTCGTGGCAGTGCCTGGGCCCCTGTGTTGGGAGTCACTCCACACTTGGGCCTGGGTTGACAGAAGACAGTGCTGGTGATTCTGTGAAACCCTGGGTGTTTCCTTTCCCTTGTAGTGGGGTGTGACCTTGTGAGACAGAACTGATGACAGCAAAAGTCCCCACCCACCAACATCTTCATTTAGTGCAGAGCCCAGGTCGGTTAGGATGTCTGGAGTGCCCATGGGGACTGGAGAGCATCACCATCCAGCCCAGATCAGCTGGGACCATCTAGAAACTCTTCTGAGACATCCGTTTTGCTGTCACAGAACCTTTCCATGGGGCTGGCATTGGACCAGCTGGGGGTGGGGGATGGCTTGGAGGAGGATATGGCTGCTCAGCCTCAGGAGAGACCTATAAGCTGTTCCTATAGCTCAGCCTACCTCGGGCGTCTTACCCCATGCCATCCACCTTAGCCTGGCTGGGTGCTGGTGGGCTCTCTACCAAGGGCTTCTCACCCTAGGCATCAAGTCATCCCTTAGAGTCTTCCTGCTTTGCCCACATAATACCTCCACTGATTGGTTTCTCATCCTGGGCACAGCCAGGCCCTTCGTCTTGCCCAGGAGACTTAGCCCCAAGCCCTGAGGTTCCCATTGGAAGGCCTAGTGGGTCCCAGGCAGCTGGCAGGAGCAGGTCACAAACCCATCCCAAAACACAAACCCATAATGCAAAACCCATTTAATCAGAACTTTAAAAAAAAAGGGGGGGGGATGGAGAGTCGGGGCTGGTGGCACATGCCTGTGATTCCACTTGGCAAGAAGAGCTATGAATCCAAGGCCAGCCTGGTCTACATAGTGAACTCAGGACAGCCAAGGCTGTGTAAATAGATCCTGTCTTAAAAAAAATAAAAATAAAAACCCAGAGAGGAGAGGATTCCCAGGTAGGACGGGATCCCTTGGGGTACCCCACACCCCACATCCACACTCCATCGTCACCTCAAGGAGTTTGTAGAAAGGGAAGTCACTCCACTGCTGTGTCCTGTGGGGACCTCAGGTCCAGGTCTCCACATGCAGGGTCATGATGACTGGGGATACAAGGTTCCCCCTGGGTTCTGCCAAGCCTGCCGGAAAGGAGAGTCATGGTAGCCCAACTAACATGAAAGCTCCTCCAGCCTGTGTAGCCGGGGGCTCGGTGGGTGCAATGTGCTCCAAGTAGTACACGTCAAGCCTCCCAGGCTGAAGGCTCTAGAGCAGCAAAGGCCAGGCTGGCGGAGCAGCACAAAGAACTACCAGGGGTGACATTCCAGAGATCTGTGGCAAGATTGCTGGGTGGACCACATGAACTGGCCACTTTGGTGATCCAAAACTTTGGACCAGCAGTCTTGTGTGTAATGGCTCACGGTAATTCTCCTCAGTAAAGGCCCGTCATCAATGGGGGCTCAAGGGACACGCACGGATACCAGGTACACCAGCCCTGAGGACCGCATGGGGTCAAGACCTCACTACTAAGGCAGACTGCAGTCTCTACAAGGCACAGAGGCAGAGGCAGGGTTCCCCTTCGTGGTGACTGGATGTTCTGAGATGCCTCCAGTACAAGATATCAGCCTCACTAATCTGCAGAAAGGAAGGGGCCCTGGTGGTTGCAGCCACCAGAATGTGCAGACATGGCCTGGGGGAACAAGCCTCAGACTGCTGGGGCAGGTGGACTTCCGTGTGGGTGTGCCCCACTCAGCAGGAAGAAGTTCTGTTGTAAGGTCACTATAAACCTGGTGTGTGGAAAGTCAGCACTAGGGAGGCAGGGAGGGGCACTTCAAAGCCAGCCTGGTCTACAGAGCGAGTTCCAGGACAGCCAAGGACATGCAGTGAAGCCATGCCTCAAAAAACAAAAACAAAAAAACAACTGGTCTGTAGAACTGGAGAGACAGCTGAGTTTGAAGGCACAGACGTACATGCCGCTGTACATGCCGCTGTCCATCCCTGAGGGTGAGGCAAGCCAGGAGGACTCCAGGAGCCCAGCAGAACCTCACCAAGGAGACACCCCTGCAGCAGTGGAGTATCACTTTACACTGCCCTCCCCTCCCCCTCCCCTTCACACTGCCTCTACATCACCTGCTCCGCTCCCCCTCCGCGTAAACAGAGTGAAGCTTGTTGATGAGGAAGACCTTGTCCTCGCCCTCCTGGAAAGGCCAGAGCACAACGTGATTAGACAGAAGCTGCCCATCCCTGGGTCCCAGAGTTAGCCTAGTCTACACTGCCTGTGGTGCTCACGTGAGAAGTGCAGATCACAAAACACACCCTGGACCTCAGTTCAGGAGGCAGAGGCAGGCAGGTCGGTCTCCGGGGCTACATAGTAAGACCGTGTCTCAAAAATAAAAAAGGAAGAAAAAAAGAGAGAAGCAAGCATATTTGTGCCAGCCTAGTGATGAGGTAGAGGTGGGCATGTCACTGGGGAAGCCTGTGAGCCAGCCGAATGCAGTGTCACCCGCCTCTGCCTGTCCTCTTCCCACCCCACACCTGGAGAGGGTCTCACGAAGCCCAATGGTCTCAAACTCACGAAACCGGGAATGAATGGCCTTGAACCAGCCCTCAAGTGCTGCAATCAGTCAGTCACAGGTGTACACCACACCTGGCGCACACGGGCCCCTTGATAAGTGTTTTGAGTCCTGATGCCTTCTGACGGCCCATGTGCGTACACAGGGCCCCAGAGATACCTGGGCCTGATGGTTCCGTGGGAGCCCCGTGTCTCCCACACCTAAACCAGACAGCAGGCTGCCTGCCCACTCCATCCTGACCACTTCACGCCTGCTCTCTCTCTCTCTCTGCTTACCTCAGTCACACGGGAGGGGTCCACACTAACCCCAGTTCTCAGGCACCTGAGACAGGAGGGGCATTCTGAGCTACCAAGACTCTATCTCAAAAACAAAAACCAGGGCGGTGGAGATGGATCTGCAGAAAAGCTCCCTTGACCCACAAAGAAGTGAGAGAGCAAACTCCACACACAATCAGAAAAAAAAAAAAAAAAAAAAAAAAAAAAAAGCCAGGCGGTGGTGGCATACACCTTTAATCCCAGCACTCAAGAGACAGAGGCTGGTGGATCTCTGAGTTCCAGGACAGCCTGGTCTCCAGAGTGAGAAAGCATCTCAAAAACTAAATAAAAGGTTGGGAATACAGCTCATTTGGTAAAGGGTTTCCCTAGCATACACAGAAGGCCCTGAGTGCAAGATCCAGCACCATAAACAAGACGTCAGAAATCCCAGGTTACCCTCAGTACACAGGACACAGTACAGAGTGACACCCTGTCCCCAAAGGCAAAAGAGCAAGCAGGTGTGCCAAGGGCAGCCCCTCACCCTCACGCTAGGCGCACAGGCGGGAGGCACTCACGTTCCGGATCTGCTCCTTGAGCAGGCAGATGACCTTCCGTTGCCCTTTCACAACCTGGATGTTGAGGTAGATGACAGCCCTGAGGGAACAGGGTCAGGCTGAAGGCCGATGGCAGGGCCAGACCGGCACAGGGCACTACCTCAGCCCAGCCTCACCGCCTCCCGCGCCTGCAGAACTCACAGCAGTAAGGCTGACACCACAAACAGGAAGAAAGTGTTCTCCACCAGAAAGTGATGCAGCCAGGGCAGCCAGGAGGCCCCGGAGCCGGCACGCTCCAGGCGATGTACCCACACCGTGCCCGCCTCATACATGGTGTTCAGAGTCCTGAAGGGGCCACAAGTGCTTGACGGTTTCACCCTGGAGAAGACAGTCCCACTCTCAGCGAGGACAAGGCAGGTCTTGAGTCACCCCAGAGCCAAAGACACAGGCCCCCACTCACTGCCAAACAGCATAGCAGAGGAAAACCGCTGCACCCAGGAACGACGGGAAGCAGAGCAGCGTGAGGAAGACAGTGCTCATGTGTGACGCCAGCCAGGGGCGGCGAGGTGCCTGGCAGTTGGCCATAAGGCTTGCCTGGGGACAAAGGCTGTGATTCATCCAAGGCCACACCACACCCTGCCTCCCACCCTCATAACCTCTCAGCCTGACTGGGTCTAGAACCGCCCAGTAGACACGCCTCTGGGCACCCCTGGGAGCGATCCTAGACTCACTCGGCAGAGGCGGGAAGACCCACCCTGAATGCTGGCCTGGCGGCGCCATCCCGCCAGCAGAAAAAAGGAAAGTGGGCAGAGTCCCAGCCTTCATCTTTGCTCCCTCACTGAGGATATCATGTGACCAGCTGCCTTCCACCCCGGCTGCCTTCCCTGTCACAATGCAACCAAAATAGATCAAGAGGGAGGTAAGGGACAGGTGGGCAAGGCTGAGCCTGCAGCCAAGTCCAGGACAGGCAGAGACGGCACCCTGGGTCTACACTGCCCATATCAGCCTGGTGAGTACACTGCCCCCATTGTGGAGGATCAGAAGGTGCCCAGAGCCAGTGGGGGCCCAAGGTGCTGGCTGTCAGCCCGAGTCACTCCCAGGAGACTGGGGAGCCCGCAGATGTCTCCAGCTGCCTAAGATAGGGTTGTCAGGGAGGGGCTGCCCAATGCAGCAGGTCTACCCTGCTCCCAAGTACCCTCCTCCTTTTTGTTTTACTTATTTATTTGTGACAGGGTTAACTCTGTGTGTAGCCCTGGCTGTTCTGGAATTCACTCTGTAGACCAGGCTGACCTTGAACTCAGAGATCCGCCTGCCTCTGCCTCTGCCTCTGCCTCCCGAGTGCTGGGATTAAAAGTGCCCACCACCACGGCCACTCACCTTCTTGACATAGAACAGGAGCGCCAGCCTGAGTATCTGCACTGCGGGCAGGAGTGGCGAGAACAGGACACCCAGCCTGGGGACCACAGCAGGCAGCTGGGACCACAGCAGGCAGGGCTGGTAAGCATCCTCCCAACCTGGCTCAGAGAGCCACCCACCCAGGACCTCTGCCCACCCAGAACCAAAAGCTGATGCCGTGGCCCTGGGAAGGAAGGCAGTGGCTGACAGCCACCAGTAGGAGGCTCGTGAGAGACCCTCACCAGGTCAGCGTCTGCCCGTAAATCAGGTCCAGAACATTCCGAGCGATGTCAAACTCAGGCTTCTGCCTCCTCTTCAGCTTCTTCTCGGAGATGAGCCTGGACAGAGGGACCCCTGAGAGATGGGCAGGGGAGACTCACCCCCAGAACACCAGGCAGGGACCACCTGCACCCGTGCAAGCTAGCACCAAGCATCTGTCAGGACAGCGGCCATCTGGGCCTAGGAGCTGTCAGCACAGAAGCTGGAAACATGCTAACTAGCAGAGCTAATGGCAGAAGTTCAATCCCCAAGACCCACATGGCTAGGAGAGAACTGACCTGCACATTCCCCAGCACACATGCACAGAGCACACGTAATAAACAATAAATGTGTAAGAAAAATCTGGAAACCCAGCTTTTGGTGGCGCATGCCTTTAGTCCCAGCACTCGGGAGGCAGAGGCAGGAGGATCTCTGTGAGTCTGAGGCCAGCCTGGTGTACAGAGTGAGTTCCAGGACAGCCTCCAAAGCTACACAGAGAAACCCTGTCTCAAAAATCAAAAAAAAAAAAAAGAAAGAAAGAAAGAAAAAGGAAAAAGAAAGAAAAAAGAAAAAGAAAAGTCTGGAAAGGGTATGTATTCTCAAAACAAAGCACAAAAGGACTCAAGTGTCACACCCCAGCCCCCCATGACACTTTAAAGGCCCCTACCCGTTCTTCCTGTCTGAGCAACACTGAAACCTTTTTCCTTCCCAATCAGAACCTACCGGACATCCTGCCGCCCACCATCCTCATGAGCTGGCAGGGTAACCCCGGCACACATCAGCTGTCCCTGACTGACTGAGGTGGGTACCCGGAGCCCGGAGGGCAGGATGGGCGGGTCAGGCAGGGCCTCCTCACCTCCACAGCAGCTCCCCAAAAAGGGAGTCCAAGAGCGTGAAGATGAAATCCACAACTAGGAAACGGTACAGTTCCTGGCCCACAAAGTCCTCCCAGCACCGGGCCTGCACCGCAGCCACCTCGCGGCCCAACCAGTGATAGCAAAGCACAGCCAGGACAGCCATCTTCAGGATGAGACTCCTGTACAGGTAGAGGTTGTGGGAGCTGAGGGAAAAGCAGCACAACACGTGCTCCAAGGAGCCCTACCCAGCAGCCCACGCCTGCGGCCACACACCTGCAGATGGCCATGTACACCTCCAGCACGGGGGAGTCATGCCGCTCCAGAGTGGCCAGACCACGGAACAGGTAGGAGGCCCCCAGATTAAGGACACTGACCACCAGGGGCAGGGCCAGCAGCTCCAACCCCTGGCCACCAGCAGCAGGTCTCTATGGCAACAGTGAGAGGGTTCAGTCAAAACAGGCACACTACCCATGGGGACACGCCCACTGGCTGCCCTGTGGGAGCAGGCAGCACCTCCCTCCAAGACACTCAGCATGCCCTCGGCCTCCGTTCCAACTGCACAGGAAGCAAGGGCAAGCACGGACCATGGGCCTGGTGGGGTTGTGGGGGTCTCAGGCCCGGGACATCCCGTCCCTTGCCTTACCTGGATCATGACCTCTGAGAAGGTGAGGACAGCCACTGCGCAGCCCATCGTGGTGCCCAGACACAGCAACCAGCCCAGACCTAGCATGACAACCTGCCACAGCCGCTCACATGCACTCCGGGGACGCTTTCGCAGTTGCCATTCAGCCAGCAGCTCCTGCAGACGGTAGGTACCGTGTCCCTGTCACTGGGTCCCAAGCAGACACACCCAAGAACACAAGCAGGCTGCCCGAGCCCCTCCCTTTCTGAAAGAGGCCCAGGCCAGGCTTGCTTCTGCTGGGACACAGGGAATGGGAGAATGCGAGATGGCTGCCACTCGCGGCCCCTCCTCATCCCTTCACCACAGCCTAATCTCTAGGAATCCCGAGTGCCTAGCCTGTAGCGTGGATGGCCCCTAGCCAACCAGAGGCCCCAAGGTGAAGACACCTGTCCCCAGTAGGAGCTCTCATGAGTCACAGCAGGAAGGTAGAGAATTACATGTGGCCCGGGGACCTTGAAGCTGTACTAAGGGTTTGATCTCAATGTTTCAATGTCCTGTTAGTCCTTAGCCCCTGGCTACTGAAGTGTTCAGTGGCCACAAAGGGACCCCTGTCCTCCTCCTGGCCTAAGCACCCGGGAGCAATTTCTGTAACTCCAGCTCCCTCATATCCCTAGAGCTCAGCGCTAACGCCACAGGGGCAACGCAGCTGAAGTCAGGGTGTAGGAGCTTCAGATCTGCAGCAACTGTGAAAGGGAAACCACCCCAGCCGGACCCTCAAGGCCTGCTCGAAGACACCACGCCAACATCCTGAGAGGGTCTAGGCCAGGTTTCAAAGGCCACACGTGGGCTGTAGCTGCCTACCTTCAGCTGAGTGCAGATGCTGTCCTGCTGGACGCGGGAGGCCCGCTTCTGAGTTACCTTGTAGTCCCAGGAGCAGAAGACCATAAGAGCATGGATACCTCTGGTGCTGCCAACCCGGTAGCTCTCCCCAAAGGAGTGGGACATGCTAGCAAGCAGTAGAGACGGGCAGCAAGTGAGCAATGGGAGGGGTGGGTACATGGCGGGCGGGCGGACAGATGGGTCGGGGGGGGGGGGGGGACATGAACAGGGAAACGTGGGGAAGTGGATGGGATGGTGGGCAGCGGATGGAAGGGCGGTGCTCAGAGGGTCACATGACCGAGGCCATTACCTGTATACCAGAGTGATGCAGGTAATGAAGAAGGCGGCCCCCACTGTGAAGAGGTAGGCCAGTGGCATGCTGTAGGGCAGACTGCCCAACCTCGGGCTGCACTGTCCACTTTCCCGTGGGGAGGCACATGACTGGCTCAGCGTGGTGTTACTGTAGTAGCCGTAGTACATGACGGTGTGTGTGAAACAGCCCTGCCAGGAGGCCAAACAGAGTCAGGGACCCTCCCCGACCCAGCCCAGTGGCTCTCAACCTCCCTGACGCTGCGACCCTTTCGCTCAGTCCCTCATGCTGTGGCCACCCCAACCAGAAAATCATTCGGTTGCTATGTCATAACTGCAATTTTGCTCCTGTTATGGACTGTAATGAAAATATCTGATATTCAGGGTATCTGGTATGCAATCCCCACAGGTTGAGACCTGCTGCCCTAGCCTATCCTCAGGCCTCCAGAAGGAAGGGAAGCCACCCGTAGGGACACTCCCCAACAGGCAGGGGCCCACCAGGGAAGCTTGGACGGGGCAGGCACAAGAGGACAGGGCAGGGGTTGGAGATCTCACCCCGCCTGTCAGAAGTTCTAGACCAGAGAAGGTAGGGACTGGGCCTGAAGGGTCAGGCGGGAAGGCGGCCTGCACACCCACGAGGAAGGCCAGCAGAGGCAGCAACATGAGCACGTTGAAGGCCAACAAGGTCTTGAGGAAGAGGAAGTAGGAGAGGACGCTGGAACCAAACTGGCCGCCGATCTGCTTCAGAGCATAGTGCCATGGCCTGGCTGCATACAGGCCTGAAAACAATACCAGTCCCAGGCTGTGCAGGGCCTGTAGGAACAGCTGCAGGTCAGTCACAAGGCCCGGGGCGCCATGACAGATCATGCACAGCCCCAGGAAAAAGCTAGGGTTAGGAGTCCCAGGGTAGGGTGTCCCCACCCCAGCCAGCCAAGCCCACAGCAGACCTCACAGCTCAGAGCTCGTACCAGGATGCAGGTGTATCTGAGTCTGCTGCAGCAGGAGACGGCCCCACCTTGGCCCCGCTGGCCCCTCCGCTTTTCCTTTGGACTCCAGCTTTTCTCCCTGGGGACAGAGACAATGCTTACACCGCCACCGTAAATGCTTACACTGCCTCCTGGCTCGGAGAGGCGGCTGAGGTCATGGCGCACTCACCGGAGCCAGCGCTTCTCAACCAGGCTCAGGGGCATGTTCCGGACCACGTGGTCTCGCTGGGCCACCGACAGACCTTGAAGCTCCTTCACAAGCAGGCTCCGCTTCTCTGCCAGAGGAAGAAGGTCCCTGAGTGCCCAGTACCCTTTCTGCTGCACGCTGACCAGGGCCCAACACAGCCCTCTAAGACCCACCAGATGGCTCCCTCTGCCCTGACAGCCAAAGCCAGGCCCCAGCCAGCAGTCCACTGACCTCCGGCAGCCTTCTCTCCTCTCCCTCGAGCCCAGGAGCCCCTCCTCCCATTCCCACCATTCCTGGCGTCCTTGAGGCCAGTACTTCCCAGCTTTGATCCCACTTGTAGTGTGGAGGGCAGAGTCTGACCTGATCAAGGTACCCTGGGACCCCACAGACAGACTATGGGGGGAAGGGCACCGACTCAGAGCTTAGGAGCACCGGCTGCTCTTCCAGAGTCCAATTCCCAGCACCCACATGGTGGCTCACAGCCATCTGTAATGGGGTCTGATGCCCTCTTCTGGCCTGCAGGCACACACAGATGCAAGCAGAACATGGTGTACTTGGTAATAAATGTAAAAAAAAACAGTGTCAGAACCCAGTGGCATTCCCCCTCACCTGAGAGGCCCTAAGCCTGTCACAGTGGATGAATGGGGACAGGTTAGCTCTGCCTCCTCACAGCCACCCTCACGGCCGCTGGACAGTGTTAACTGTCAACCTGGCAGAATCTAGAATCACCCCAAGATGGCCCCTGGGCATGCCTGGGAGGGGTTACGTTGACTATTTTAATCAATGTGGGAAGACTGGTCCACTGTATCAGTGGACAGGAACGGTCCCTGGACAGGGACCATGGACGTGAGCTGAGCTCTAGCACACACTCATTCTCAACTGTGGACACCCACCACAGGCTCCTGCCACCTGGATGGCCGCACCACAGTGGACCACAGTTTGAGCTGTGACTCAATGAAAGCCCCGGTTCCCTTATGCCGCTTTAGGCAGAGCTCTTTATCACAACAGGAAGAGAAACTGTCACCCCACTTCCGGCCACACAGAACAGGCAGACGCCACTTTCATCGCTACAACTAGCCCGTGGGGGCAGTTTCCTAACTCCAAATCTACACATACATGATCTTCAGAGGCAGGAGGATCTGAGTTCAAGGCCAACCTGAGCAGACCTTGACCCTGTCTTCAGTCACCAAGAGCTGGAGACACACAGACCATTGATAGAGCGTCTGCCTGGGTCTCATCAACAGAGAGGGAAGAAGATGGGGGCGGGTGGGGAGAAGGAGCGAGGGAGAGAAGGTGGACATGGCCAGGTGGCAGAGCCACCCAAACTCAGAGTCCACACACTGTAACCCTCTCCACTCCCACCATCAGAGCCTTGGGTTATCTATCCCGCTCCCGAGCCTCTCCACACCAGCTGCAAAGGACACCGGGTCTGCTCGGGCCTTGGCGCTTGCCTCCTCTTCTCCAGCCACCTTCTCCAGGAAGCCTCCTTGGAGCCCTAGGCTGGGCCACTCCCTGGTGGCTCTGGTGCAATGTCTTCTTCTCTGAGTTTGTCTCCTGCTCACTCATTGTTGGTCTCACCCAGCAGGAAGTAAGCTAAGAGCTAAGTCTGGCTTTGCAGACCACCATCAAATGCTGGGGACCTCTCCAGCACTCAGTGATGGATGTCAGAGGTGGAGATACCCAAGGAGCCTCCCAGCCAGGCAGCCCTTGGGTAGCTAGGTTATTCACTCACCATCCTCCTCCAGGACGGTGTGGTCCAGCTCCAGGTCATACAGGCGAAGGCTGGGCCTGGCAGAGCGGATCACATTCCCCAGCAGGGGCCGGCTATTCCTGCGCCGGAGCCTCACTGTGCGGTTGTAGTATTGGGAGATGATGGCCCCACGGCTGCGACCTTGGGAAACAGATGGCAGAGCAGTGGAGGGCATGGATAGGACCAGCCTCACATCTCTGAACAGTTCCCATCGCCAGGCCTACCAGGGCTGGGGAAGTCCCTTTACCAGAAACCCAAGAGCCTTTTTGGTTTGTTTGGTTGGTTTATTTGGAGCCCTGACTGTCCTGGAACTCTCTCTGTTGGCCAGGCTGGCCTTGAACTCAGAGATCCACCTGCCTATGCCTCTCCAGTGCTGGAATTAAAGGCATGAGCTACAGAGGATCCAAGATTAACTCCAAAAAAAAAAAAAAAAAAAAAAATCAGTAATCCCTGCCCCCAACCCATACAGACAATAAACAGGATGAGAAAGAAATCTGAGAAACATCACCCTTTACAATAGCTACAAATAACATAAAATATCTTGGGGTAACTTTAACCAAACAAGTGAAAGATCTATATGACAAGAACTTTAAGTCTTTGTAGAAAGAAATCGAAAAAGACATCAGAAAATGGAAAGATCTCCCATGCTCTTGGATAGGTAGGATCAACATAGTAAAAATAGCAATCTTACCAAAAGCAATATACAAAGTCAATGCAATCCCCATCAACATCCCAGCAAAATTCTTTACAGACCTTGAAAGAACAATACTCAACTTCATATGGAAAACCAAAGAACCCAGAATAGTCAAAACATCCCTGTACAATAAAGGAGCTTCTGAAGGCATCACCATCCCTGACTTCAAGCTCTACTATAGAGCTATAGTCCTGAAAACAGCTTGGTACTGGCATAAAAACAGACAGGTGGACCAATGGAATTAAGACCTTGATATCAACCCACACACACACCTACGAGCACCTAATTTTTGCCCAAGAAGATAAAATTACATGATGGACAAAAGAAAGCATAGTGCAGGTATAACTGGATGTCGACATGTAGAAGACGGCAGATAGAGCCATGTCTATCGCCACACACAAAACTCAAGTCCAAATGGACCAAAGACCTCAACATAAATCCAACCAAGGTCTGAGTAAAGGAGGCATGGGGGGGGGGGCAGAGGGAGGGTGGAAGGGAATGGGGGGAGGGGAGAGGGGAGGGGAGGAGCTCAATTTAAAAAAAAAGCAGCCCCAGGAGCCCGTTTTTACCCGTGACAAGTGCCATCATTTATAGAATCCAGCAAGGGTGAGTGTGACACGGGGTGAGTGTGACACAGGGCTGTGAGTGTGACACAGGGCTGTGAGTGTGACACAGGGCGGTGAGTGTGACACAGGACGGTGAGTGTGACACGGGGTGAGTGTGGCACAGGAGAGTGAGTGTGACACAGGAGGGTGAGTGTGACACAGGGCGGTGAGTGTGACACGGGGTGAGTGTGACACAGGAGGGTGAGTGTGACACGGGGTGAGTGTGGCACAGGGCGGTGAGTGTGACACAGGGCTGTGAGTGTGGCACAGGAGGGTGAGTGTGACACAGGGCTGTGAGCGTGACACGGGGTGAGTGTGACACGGGGTGAGTGTGACACGGGGTGAGTGTGACACAGGAGAGTGAGTGTGACACAGGGCTGTGAGTGTGACACAGGGTGAGTGTGACACGGGGTGAGTGTGACACGGGGTGAGTGTGACACAGGAGAGTGAGTGTGACACGGGGTGAGTGTGACACGGGGTGAGTGTGACACAGGAGAGTGAGTGTGACGCAGGGCTGTGAGTGTGACACGGGGTGAGTGTGACACGGGGTGAGTGTGACACAGGAGAGTGAGTGTGGCACAGGGCGGTGAGTGTGACACGGGGTGAGTGTGACACAGGAGAGTGAGTGTGGCACAGGGCGGTGAGTGTGACACAGGGCTGTGAGTGTGACACGGGGTGAGTGTGGCACAGGAGGGTGAGTGTGACACAGGAGAGTGAGTGTGGCACAGGAGGGTGAGTGTGACACGGGGTGAGTGTGACACGGGGTGAGTGTGGCACAGGAGGGTGAGTGTGACACGGGGTGAGTGTGACACGGGGTGAGTGTGGCACAGGAGGGTGAGTGTGGCACAGGAGGGTGAGTGTGGCACAGGAGGGTGAGTGTGACACGGGGTGAGTGTGACACGGGGTGAGTGTGGCACAGGAGGGTGAGTGTGGCACAGGAGGGTGAGTGTGACACGGGGTGAGTGTGACACGGGGTGAGTGTGGCACGGGGTGAGTGTGGCACGGGGTGAGTGTGGCACGGGGTGAGTGTGGCACGGGGCTGTGCTGACCTTCAGGTCCCTGCAACAGAGCCTGGCAGCCCAGAGGAACTGACTGCAGGTTCAGACACCAGGGCTGGGGTCAAAGCCAGAGCAAGGCAGAGTCCCACTCACCAATGGTGCGGCTAGGCATGCTGGCCAAGATGCGGAGAGTGGCGGAGCTGTGGGCCGGGACACCGTCAGGCCTTGGCAGGGTCTGGTTACGTCTGCCTAGGGATGATGGAGGTACCTGCCGTCTCACCCAGCCCCCTGCACCCACCCCAGGCCTGTAGCACGCAAGGGCAGATACCCCAGGTCAGTCTGCGGGCCTGAGCTCACCTGCAGCCAAGGGCAGCAGCTCCAGCCCCTCCTCCGCCACCCGAAGACTCTGCTCTTGAATGAGTTGGTGGAAGGAGTCATGCACCTCACTCTCTTCATAGGGGCTGGGTTCCAGGCTACTAGGGAGGAGTGCGTGTGGGAATGCATGCTCCAGCCCTCTCCTAACTTCCAGAAGGCAGGGAGATGCATCCCAGACCACCGGCACCAGGGCACTCACCCTTCATCCCCTGTGGTCTCTGGGACATCGAGGTCTAAAGTCAGGGACTGAGCCATGGCTGTGGTACACCCTCAGCCGGTCTGCAGCCGTAAAGGAGCCCAGCTAGAGACTAGATGCGGCCTAGGGCTCTCACTCTCACGCAGCCCATCTGCGGAGACAAAACCAGCTCCCGATGCCTGGCACCCACTCCCTGGGGGCGCATTCTTCAGGCGCACACCCTGGGATCTCCACCCTTCCCCCACCCGCAGCTAAACACATGGGTAAATGAGTGGCCCCAAGTAACACTCTCACCAGTAGCCGGCTGTGGGGGAGAGCAGAAAACAGGAAGGAAGGGTGAGGCCGCAAATCCCCCATCGGTTTGCTAGATGTCACCAGTCCCTGGGAAATGGGAGAGAGGTCTGTGAACACTGACCCTTCAGGTCTGCGTGGCCCTGGGGCTTCAGCTCTCACAGAGCAGGGGCTGGGAGGTGCAGAGGACTTCCTGTGCCCGCCCTATGACCCCAAAGTGTTTCCTCTAGCAGGAAGGGCTGCCCCCAGCGCCGCCCCGCCGGCCTCCACTCCACACCGGCCCCCATGCAGCCCACCCCATCGTCGGGTCTGGGTGCTCAGAGGCTCCCGTGTCCTCGAAGTCTGAGTCCCTGCTCTGCCAACGCAGCTTAAAGCTGGAGGTGGGAGCGGAGCCGACACAAGCTCCCTTTGTCCGGCTCTGGTCACCCAGCACAATTGCAACCAGAGCATTCTAAGGGGCTCATTGTCCTCCTGGCCCAAGGCCTTAAGGGAGGACGCAGCGGAAAGAGCAACCGATCACCTGACTCCGGCAGGATTGCCCCCAGGGGGCAGGCCCTGCCCTGTGGGCAAACCCTCCCCGCCCTCACCTACGGAATTCCAAGTTTTCGGGGAGCTCCCCCGACGGCCGAGAGTCCCCACGTAACCCCGATTCGCGCCGGGCACGCCCCCGCCTGCGCAGCAGCACAGTGCAGGGTGGCAGCCGAGGTGGCACCACCCGAAAGGAGAGCAGCCAGGCGAGGAGACGCCTTCTTAGTTTCAGGGTCCCCTCCCAGGCCACAGCACTTATCAGCCTCCTCACACCTCTCCTCGCCGAGAAGCCGGGAGTGCTGTGGGGCTCGGGCCCCGCCTGGGGCCGGCCAGGTGCGCGCAGTTCCGGGACGCACGGCCCTGCCGGGAGCCAGGCCGGGAGAGGCCGAGAGGGGCAGCTCCAAGGACCGCGCACCCCAGGTGTCAGCCCCGGGCGTGAGCAGCCGCCCCCACGACCGATCGGTGACCCTGCACCAGGGTTCCGGCGCCCGGCTGGAGGGGAGCAGCCCCGCCCCCCCAAGAGGCTCACCTGTGCGCGTACCCGCAGAAGTCATTAACAGGCAGCAATGAAGATCCAGGGGGCGACCTTTGCTGGGTCCCAGACTGGCAGCTCGAGGTAGCCCCGCCACCCGCCCACCTGGCAGCGAGCCCGGCAGGTCACGTGACCTGCTCCGCCCGCGGGTTAGGTAGGCCCCGCCCATCCAAAACAGAGCTCGGTGCCCGCCAGCTTCGGACCCCACCCCAGCACTCCACCCTGAAGTCTGAACAAAGTGGGCGCGGCCGAGTGTTTGGGTCCATACAGCCCGCAGGCCGAGTCCCTAAGTCTTGAAGGACTCGGTTTCTCCAAGTTTGGCCCACTCACGTCCGGGGTTACGGACCAGTGCCCAGCCCCTCCACGAGGGGTTGGGTAATCCCCTGCTCCCAGCCCTGCTCCCCATCTCCGGCTAAGGAATGGGGTGCCGCCGCCGCCTCTGCCCTGGGCGTGGTGTCTATTTCTGAAGCTAGAGTTCAAGCCGCTTCCGGCACCCACTGTCCCAACTGCTGTGCCAATTGCCTGGTTTTCTGTGGCCGAGACATAGGCAATGGCCTTTCCATCTCACCAGCCTCCAGGTAGCCGGAGCAGGCCACTTGCTTGGCCACCAGAATGCTCCAGAGAGTCCGTCCCTTCCTCCGTGTGACAGACAGGATGGGCATGAGAAAAAAGTAAAGGGGGAAACGAGCCCCACCCCCACAAAGGGCAACACACCAGGAAGCGTGTGGGGTACAGGGATGTGGCGAAGCCTGAGATACTAGGGTCCAGTTGGGCTGGGGGAGTGGAGGGGGCAGCGGCAGATGCTTTGCCACTGTCCCTGAGTGGCTGGGTGGGGCATCCTGGCCTGCAGACCCACCCCTCTTCACCCCCCCCCCCCTGGCACTTACTCTTCTGTCCCAACTGGAAAGCCATTTCCTGGGGAGCCTTCCTGCACGAACTTTGTTGAAATACAGAGACACAGGGAGGCTCAGGGAATCCAGAGCTGAGATGACAAGGCCTTAAAAGAGGTAAGCAGGGAGGAGAGGCTAGGGCTCCCAGAACTGCGCTCTGGCCAAGACGACTCCTAAAGGTCTAGTCGGTGAGTGATTGCGTGGAGTCGCTTCCTAAGTACTAAGGCTGGGCTCTGCGCCAGGACCTACAGGAGGGAGGGAGGGCAGTGCCTGCCATGAGAGCGGGAAGTTCAGAAATAACGCAACAGCCAGGCGTCAGGGTGCTCGCTTTAACCCCAGTTCAAGACCAGCCTGGTCTACGGAGTGAGTTCCAGAACCATCAGGGCTATGCATTGAGACGCTGCCTTGAAATAGTAAAACAAGAAATAATGCCAGCGTTTTGGAGAGCCGGCAGCCGGGTGTTCTGGGACCCTCCACGTGTCTCTCCCTCCCTCTCTCCCTCTCTCTCTCTCTCTCTCCCTCTCCCTCTCCCTCTCTCTGGGGCGACTGCGGAGGACAGATAACGGGTTCCTCTGCACCCAGACAGGTCTAAGGACTGGCGGGCGGGCAGGGGGCGGGCGGGCAGGCCTGGCGCGTGCCCACCGCGCGATTTTCACCTGTGCCCTCCCCTGCGGTGTAGGAAGAGCACGCACAGGCAGAGAAAGCTGCGGGGAAGGCGGGAGTGGGTGGAGGAGACGCTGCCCCTCCTTCCCGTCACGTGACGCGTCCCACTCCTCACCGTCCTGCCGAGAGCTGGCCGCCCCAGGGCGCTTCTTGGGGAGCGCGGCCCCTTGCCCCTTGATGAGCCGCCTGCTGTGTGGAAGGAAGGACGGTGAGAGGGGGGAGAACTGAGGCCAAGGGGCTGAACCAAGCCTATGGCTTCCTCTGGGGTGGCTTGGGGGTTCCTCCTTTTCTCACGGTTGGGGATGTAGCCACGCCTCCTATTCTGGGTCTCTGAAGACCAAAGCTTACCCAGGCTGGGCAAGAAAGAACACACAGAACGGGGCGCTAGCACATCCAAGGCCGAGCGCTGCAGGGAGCGGGGTCAGAACAGGGGTGACGTCCCCAAAAAGTCAACCCGCACTCGGAAAAGCTTGGGGGCTGTTTATGACAGACAGCACACCGCGCTGTGCTGGTGGCTTCTCTCTCTCTCTCTCTCTCTCTCTCTCTCTGTCTCTCTGTCTCTCTCATTTCCTGGTGGCCCTTCACCTCCTTTGACAGGCTGGGAGGCCTGGACCGTGGTCGGAGGTGGAGTGGGACAGCCCAGCTGCAACCCCAGCAGACTTCTGTTCTCTTGTCGACCCCGCAGGGCCAAGGCGAAGCTCAGCACCCGGCGCCCTTCGTTCCTCCTGAGAGCATGGATCGCGCCTGTCCGTCCCGCGCCCCCGCTGGGATGTCTCGCCAGTGGTCGGTGCAGTCCGCACCGGCCCCCCGACGGCCTGACCTCCAGGCGGCTGCAGCGGAGGAGCTGTGGGAGGACGAAATGGAGCGGCTGTGCGCCTCCCGGGAGCCGGTGCGGATGCTGCCCTACTCCATGGCGGACAAGCGCTTCATCCGGTTTGTGCGTGCGGCTCGCTCGATGAGCCGCGGCGGGGGCGGGGGCAGCGCCCGAGGAAGCACCTGTCGGTTGGATGACTCAAGGGCGCCCCCATCACCTCGCTCCTGCCTGCAGGGAACTGAGGGAGCCCGAGGGGGTGAAGCCCTCCTGCTGGCAGCGGTGGCTACGCAGAGGGAAGGCGGCGCGTCAGCACTTGAGGGAGGCAGCGCAGAAGCTGGCCCGCGGCTTCGGGCTCTGGGAGGGAGCGCTCTACGAGATTGGGGGTAAGATCCCACGCCAACCCTTACTTCCCACCTCCCAAGTCAGCCCCTCCATCCTTATACAACCCTCGGACTCCTCCGTGCACACCTTGGTGGGTGCGGATACTGCACGTGAAACTCCGCTATTGTCGTGCGCTCGTGGCTGCTCCCACACATCACACAGCCCTGTGATTCCCAACAGGGGCGCCTGAGCCTCCCTACTCTTCTCCCGTAGGCCTCTTCGGGACCGGGATCCAGTCTTATTTCACATTCCTTCGCTTCCTGCTGCTGCTCAACCTGCTGACCCTACTGATGATGGCCAGCTTTGTCCTGCTGCCCCTGGTCTGGCTCCACTACCCCGAGCCAGGCCCTGCCCTGAAACTAAGTGAGTGCTGTAGTCGCCCTGACCCTGTGCGCGCAGCCTGGGCATGCTGCTTGGGCTAGCCTTGGACCCTGACAGTGCCCTCAGTGTTAGGGTGGATGCAATGGAGCTGGAAGACTGAGTTCACCTGTGTCCTGGGGACCCTGTCTTGTTGGTCCTCTGTTTCTCTTCAGCAGGTCTCCAGTGTTCCAGCAGCCACCTGCCCCAGAGTGGCATTCCAAGGTTCCACAACCCACTTTGGAATATTTTGACTGGCAGGGTAAGTGGGATCTCCCCTGGCTGTGTACCTATGCTCTGGGGCATCTGGGCGATTCCAGTCTAAACGGACATTATGGCTTTTAAGGGAGAGCTTATACCGGCCAGTCAGGCTACATATAGGGACACGTGCCCATGAGCCACAGAACACACACACACACACACACACACACACACACACACACACACACACACTCCAGTTCCGGGAGGCCACTGAGCCAGTATCCTAAATCCTGGACTCATATCTGTATGACCTTGGGCAAGTCACCTAACTTCTTGGAGTCTGAAACAGGGATATTTTAGATCAGGCACACTCGGGAGGCCAAGGCAAGAGGATCACAAGTTCAAGGCCAGCTTGGGACATGTAGGGAGACCTTGTCCCCGCCTCGCCTCCACATGTCCTTACTGTGTCCCCAGGCCTTCAACAACACCTATCTCTTCTACGGTGCCTACCGGACAGGGCCAGAGCGCCGCTCAACATACAGCATCCGCCTGGCCTACCTCCTCAGCCCAGTGGCTTGCCTGCTCCTCTGCTTCTGTGGGACACTGCAGCGGTGAGGGAAGACCCCCGAATTGCTCCTCCGGCATCCATCCTTGGCCAACCTCCATCAGTTGGCAGATAGATCCCTGTGCAGTGAGGGTCACCCTGGCCCCCAGCCTGCCTCCTGTAACGTGAGGCGGGTGTAGGAACAGGGTCCCTGCCCCAACTTTCTGAGGCCAGAATCCCAGCCAGGCCACCGGCAAGGGTGGAGAGTGGAGGAACGCCACAGCAACCCTTCCCCTCCCCCCCAGGATGGTAGGGGGGCTGCCACAGCAGCCGCTCCTGGGCCAGGGCTACAGGGCGCCCCTTAGCGCCAAAGTCTTCTCCTCCTGGGACTTCTGCATCCGGGTGTGGGAAGCTGCCATCATCAAGAAGCATGAAATCAGCAATGAACTGAAGGTGTGTGGGAGGCAGAGTGTGTGTCTGTGTCTGTCTGTCTGTGTGTGTTGTGATGAAAGTGGTGGGTGACAGGCTGTGTGAGTGTGAATAGAAGTGACCAGATGGCAGTGGGAACCAGCTGTGTATGAGGACATGCAAATGTGTGAGCCAGGCCTAGTGGGAAGGGTCCTTAAGCCCTGTACTTGGGAGGTGGAGGCAGGTGGATTGCCATGAGTTCAAGGCCAGCCTGAACTACGTGACAAGCTCCAGGTCAGCCAGGGCTACATAGTGAGATCCTGTCACATAATAAATAAGCAAGTGTGTCTAGGTCTGATTTTCATGTCTGTGATCTTAGCACTCAGGAGGTTGAGGCAGGAGGATTGCCATGAGTTTGTGACTAATCTGAGCTACAATTTCCTAAGTGCCAGGCCAGCCAAGATTATGAAACAAGAGCATGTAATAAACCTTACACCTTTGTTCCCAGCACATGGGAGGCAGAGGCAGGAGGATCTCTGTGAGTTTGAGACCAGCATGGTCTACAAGAGCTAGTTCCAGGACAGGCTCCAAAGCCACAGAGAAACCCTGTCTCGAAAAACTAAAACAACAACAAAAAAAAGACCCTGTCTCAACAAAAAGGGGTTGGCAAGGATGACTCTTCAAGCAAAGGGCCTTGCGGAGCCTGCTGAAGCTTATCTCTGGATCCCACCCAGTGGGAGAAAAGAAACATATCCTGCCAGTTGCACTCTGACTTCCATGTGTGCACCATGGCATTCACACACGCGCACGCGTGCGCGCGCGCACACACACACACACACACACACACACACACACTATAAAGATAAGGTAGGTGTGTGGGTGCCAGTGCCCGTAAATGATACAGGGCCCCTCCCCTCCTGCCTTCAGGTGGAGCTGGAGGAGGGCCGGCGCCTGGAACTGGCTCAACAGCAGACCCGGGCCCAGAAGGCATGCCAGCTGCTCGCCTACCTACGCACCAACGTCCTCATTGTACTCCTGGTGGCTGGAGCCATCAGCGCCATCTTCTGGGCCACCAAGTACTCACAGGACAACAAGGAGGTGCGGGACACCGTGTTCCTTCCTTTTGTTTTGTTTTCCAAAGATCTATTTATTTATTATGTTTTTAAACTATTTTACATGCATTGGTGTCTGGCCTGTATGTGTGTTTGGATGAGGGTGTTTGATCCCCTGGAACTGGAGTTACAGTTGTGAGCTGCCATGTGGGTGCTGGGAATTGAACCCAGGTCCTCTGGAAGAGCAGCCAGTGCTCTTAACCTCTGGGCCCCCATATATTCCTTTCTTTATGGTTTGCTTGCATGCTTTTCCACACCCTTACAATCTTGACCTCCCTTCCCCTGCCCCCACAGGAGTCCCTCTTTCTGGTGCTGCAGTACCTGCCCCCAGGAGTCATTGCCCTGGTCAACTTCCTGGGTCCCCAACTCTTCACGGTCCTGATCCAGCTGGAGAACTACCCTCCCAGCACCGAGGTCAACCTCACCCTTATCTGGTGAGTACAGGGGGACGATGGAGTAGCATCGAGTCAAGGTCCCCAGGACCCTGAACAAAGAAGCCCTTGTGTTCACCACTACACCAAAGGGGAGGTGGGCAGTGCTTCTAGAACATTCAGCCTCAGGACCAAATCTGAGACTCCCCTGAAGGGAGCCATCAACCTGCATGAAGCAGAGGGCCATTCGGAGGGTTAGGGGTGCTGTTTGGCCTCCGGGAGTCAAGAGCGAGCTGTGAACACATACAAAGTCTGGCAATTTGAGACACAGCTCCTGCAAATCGTGAGGCCTGGACGCCTTGCCTTGAGGACTCTCATACCTGAAGACACACACACACACACAAACACACACACACACCCCGCCCTGCCACTTGGTCCTGACGCCATTGCAAGCCCCACTCTGAGCGTTCCTCAGGAAACCCCTGTGGGCCTCTCCGGCTTCACTGGTCTCTCTCTCCTCTCCCGGTCTTGCCTTCCTTCTTCCCCCTCTGCAACACCTCAAACTGTGCCAGCCCTAGCACTTGAGAGGCAGAGGCAGGGGGATCACAGGCTCAAAGCTAGCCTGGGCTACAGCGTGGAAAAGGCCATGCGGTGTAGCCTGACCAGTTGGGCTTGGGTCCCCAGAACCCCGGGAGAGAGCCAGACATGGCGCTCCACACCTGTAACCGCTGCACTCCTGTGCTGAGATTGGAGAGACTGGAGAAGTACCCGGGAGCTCTCAGACCAGCAAACCCGGAATACACAATGAAATGCAGCCTTAGAAAAAAGAGGCCAGGGCCGGGCTGTAATCCCAGCTCTCAGGAGGCAGAGGCAGGGGGATCTCTGTGAGTTCGAGGCCACACTGGTTCACAGAGAGAGTTCCAGTGAGTCCCAGGGCTACACAGAGAAACCTTATCTCAAAAAGGGAGAGAGGAAGGGAGGGAGGAGAGAACTTGCCTTGAGCTTTTGTTTGTGTTTTTGAGACCGAGTCTTACTATACAGACCAGGCTGGCCTGGGATTAAAAGTGTGTACCACCAGCACCACTATACTAGACTTACCTTGTTTTTTTGTTTGTTTGTTTTATTTTGTTTTTGGCTTGTTTTTTTTTAAAAGAAAGAAGAAAAAACCAAAGGTACTCCAGAGTGTATAAGATTAAAAAATAAGCTGCCAGTCACCCCTGCCTGTCAGTCCCGGTTGATCTGGAGACCAACCCTCGGTTCCCAGCTTTTCTAGCCACACAGACATTGTAGTAGATAGGTAGGTAGGTAGGTAGGTAGAGCGAGCAATAGAGAAATACCTAAAGTCATCCTCTGGGCTCGAGAGGCACACGTGCAGGCTAGTGTACCCATACAGAGAGAGTGTGTGACCAGGCATGGCCGTGCACACCTTTAATGCCAGCCCTCAGCGACATACAGATATTTGCTAAGTTTGAAGCTAGCCTGGCCCACATAGTAAGTTCTAAGCCAGCCAGGGCTACATAGTTAAGGGGTGGGGGAGTAAGGTGTGTCCTGAACTGAGGCTCTGAGGATCCAGGAAGGCTCCGACTTTCTCTTGCAGGACTCAAGCTGGCAGCAGGGAAGACAGCTGACTGGGACAGTGTTTCCCAGACTGGCTTAGAGACAGGACCCATTCCCCGTGAACCATGTAATCAGACTTAAGGAACGCATTTTTTTAAAAAAAAAAAAAACCCACTGGCGGGAGATGAAGCGGCTGAAAGGAGACGGGGCTGAGCCCAGGGCACCAGTCTGTGGCCCCGACCCTCCCTCTGATGCATCCCCTGCCCGCAGGTGCGTGGTGCTGAAGCTGGCCAGCCTGGGGATGTTCTCCTTCTCGCTGGGGCAGACTGTGCTGTGCGTAGGCAGAAACAAGACCAGCTGCGAGTCCTATGGCTACAACGCCTGCGAATACCAGGTGGCAACCCATCCTTCCCCCACAACGCCCCCCCTCAAACCCTGGAATCGGGTCCCTTTCCGTCCTTGTCTTTCCCCAGGAAGCGGGGCTGCCGTACCACGGCGTGCCTCTAGGGGGCGCCCTGCACCACACCCCAGATGTGCTATAGCTCTCCTGGCTTGGGAGACTTCCAGCAAGGCCTTGAGACACTCCCCAGCCACCAACCCATCCCCAACCCCGGGAAGCAGTGGGTGAGGGAGGAGAGCGCGGAGGGATCTGGGGATAGTGATGGGTCCCCTTCCTTTGCGCTCCAGTGCTGGGAGAATTCAGTGGGTGAAGAGTTATATAAGCTAATCATCTTCAACTTCCTGCTCACCGTGGCCTTCGCCTTCCTGGTCACCCTGCCTCGGAGGTGAGCACAGCTGGAGGCCACCACCAAGCGTGAGCCAGGTCTGCCCCCCATGAGTAAGGGTGTGGCGCGCATACCCAGACCCCCACCTCCCACTCCCCACCCCCCATCCCAGGCTGTTAGTGGAGCGCTTCTCCAGCCGGTTCTGGACTTGGCTGGGCCGGGAGGAATTCCTGGTGCCCAAGAATGTGCTGGACATCGTGGCTGCGCAGACTGTCACCTGGATGGGCCTCTTCTACTGCCCCCTGCTGCCACTCCTCCACAGCGCCTTCCTCCTCCTCACCTTCTACATCAAGAAGGTGGGACGCTTGGGACAGGCGGAGCGCTACACCCGCCCTCCGCCCTCCCTTCCTGGGACCTCAGACTCCGTGGTCCACAAATCACCCCGGTTAAGTCCTGCTACCCCGCCCGCCTCCTGCAGTACACCCTCCTGAGGAACTCCAGGGCGTCCCCGAGGCTCTTCCGGGCGTCCAGCTCCACCTTCTTCTTCCAACTGGTGCTGCTCCTGGGCTTGCTTTTAGCTGCAGTACCCCAGGGCTACGTGATCAGCAGGTGACGGGGACTGGCAGCTGGGGGCTGGTGCAGCAGCCGCCACCCCAGAGCCTGACAGCCCTGCCCGCTGCCGTCTCTCCAGCACCCGCTCCTCCTGGGACTGCGGCCTCTTCACCAACTATTCAGCCCCCTGGCGGGTGGTGCCGGAGCTGGTGGCCCTACAGCTCCCCCTTGCTGGCCAGCGTGCCCTCCATTTCCTCAGCTCCCACGCCTTCAGTTTGCCGCTGCTCTTTCTGCTCAGGTGACTCTGGACAGCAGGGACTGGGGGGGGGGGGAGACACCAGCTTGTTTGTTTTCCTTCGGGGGTGGTGGTGTACACCTGGGCAGCCCCACACAGCGCCCTGGGGTGCAGGAAAGGTGATCCGAGAGGATGTTGCAGGCCCTCTGGGCTCCTGGGATGCCAAGGAGACTGCTTGGCCACTGAGGAAACCGTCCCGGGAGAGCAGCCTTGCCATGCTGGGCGCTTGGAGTGAGGGGCCGTGGGAGAGGGGAAGTCTTCAGATAAGACGCTGTGCACAGAGCTTTGCGATTGAGACGGTAGAGCTGGCGTGGTGCACACCTGTAATCCCAGCACTAGGGAGGCTGAGGCAGGAGGATGGCTGTGAATCCGGGGCCACGCTGCTCACAGAGTGAGCTCCAGGACAGCCTGGGCTTCGTGACAAGACCCCGTCTCAAAGACAGAGGCTGGGGGAGGGGACTGACCTGGAGTCCTATCTGCCTTTTAAGCCTGGTCCTGACCGTGTGCGTCTCCCAGTCCCGGGCGAATGCCAGAGCCATCCAAGGGCTACGGAAGCAGCTGGTGTGGGTGAGTGGCTGCACTTCGGCCAGACGCTTTAGGAGTGTGCAGCTAGGCTGAAGAACCGCGCTGCGGAGAGTGAGGGTGTTCTTTCTTGTGCAGGATGTATCTGGAGAGGACTGGCAGCCTACTTTGGTGGAGGCGTGGCCTTGGGTTGAAGCGAAGCCTTAGGTTGTGGGTGTGGCCTGGGTCCGGGCTGGGACGAGTTGGGGGCGGGGCCCTGGTCCGGCAGGGACCTAAGCTAGGGGCCGGGCTTCGAGGCGGCCTCGCACGCACACGCCGCGGTGGAGCCGAGGCCTCCGATTGCGTCATGGGCGTGGCTTCTGGCCAAGGCTTGCTTCGACCTAACTCTGGTCTCCGGTTTTCCCTGCAGCAGGTCCAGGAGAAGTGGCACCTGGTGGACGACCTGTCGCGGCTGCTGCCGGAGCTGAGTCCAGAGCCCGAGTCCCCTCGCTCTCGAGCTTCGCGTCCTCGGTCCTTCTGCCCCGGATTCCCGTGCCCAGGCTCTCCCGGCCGGACACCCCGCCTGGGATCCTCCACCAGGCTGAGCTCCTCCAGCCCCGGAGCCCAAGGTGCCTCGGATCCCGCCTCCATATTTCACTTCCCTAGCGGTACAGAGCTGTAGCACCGACCCCCCCACCACACACACACCCCACCCACCCTACCCCCAGTCTGCCGCAGCTTCCTCCAGTGCCTCCACCCACCCCCACCCCGCCTCTTCCACCTCTTACCCTGGTCCCACTGCCTACAGCCGGCTACAGGGCTACAGGACCTCGTCCTCAGGTCAGCAGGAAGAGCATGAGAATTTCTACCTCTCTATTTTATCAAATCCCTTCCAATGTTTTATTGAGTGTTTTATAGTGTGCACAATGGTATGTATGTTAACTCATGGATACAGTTTATAAATATGCGTTTTTTGGGAAGCATTCAAATGTCTTAGGAAGGGGTTCTCTCAGAAGTGTTTGTGTATACATAACCTCTCTCCGTGAAGCTGCAAGCCCTGGTCTGAAACAGCCCCCTTCAGAATGAGGGCTCTTCTGTGCCCTCCACATTTCACCACCAGCTAACCCTGCGCCCATCTGTGCACAAAGGTGAAGCCATGCTCCGCGAGTGGCAGGGCTGGGGCTTGAACCAGATACGTGGGCTCCGAGATACATTAAACCCGGGTGGGGCCAGAGTTGAGTGACATCTGGGTCCCTTGGGGACAGCAGGTCAGGGTCCATGGCCACACCCCTGCTGAACATTGTCTCTCAGCCTTCCTGTGACCTGCAGTGAGCCCCTGAGGGGTGACACCCCCCCCCCCCGCCAGGTTCCCAGTGGCAAGTGCAGGCCTGCACCTTGAGATGCGCGGGAGGTGGTATGCTCACGGTGACTACAAAGGCAGGGCAGGGGCGGCTGAAGCTCTGCCTGGGGCTCCTCTTCTCACCCCATCTCTTGCTGCGCTGACTTTGAACCCACAGCTTGGAAGGATCTGTGTGAACTTCAGATCTACTGGCTTTGAGGTGGCTGGTCTGGAGATGGCCGGTAGCCAGGCATTGGGGACAGTTGTTTGTTTTTGGTTTGGTTTGGTTTTTTTGAGACAGGGTTTCTTTGTAGCCCTGGCTGTCCTGGAACTCACTCTGTAGAACGGGCTGGCCTCGAACTCAGAGGAACTTAGAGGACACCTGCTTCTGCCTCCTGAGTGCACCACCACCCGGCTATTTGTTATTCTTTTCAGCCAGGTTCATGGTTCACACTTATAATTTAAACACTTGGGAAAGCTAAGGCAGGAGGATTATGAGGTTGAGGCTAGCCTAGATTACACAGTAAAACCCTGTCTCAAAGACAATACTAGCCCAGCATGATAACACATGCCTGAAATCCCAGCACTCAAGAGGCTGAGGCAGAAGGATAGATAGCCTTAAGTTTGAGACTAGCCTGGTCTACATAGTGAGTTATAGGCTAGCCGGGGCGCAGAGCAGAACTTGTGTCAAATATACCCCTAACCACCCCCCAAAAAATGGCCAGGCATGGTGGAAACACCTGTAATCACAGCACTCTGGACGCAGATAAACTGTCTTTGTAGGTTCAAGTTCAGGTTCAAGTTGGTCTTAATGAGTTCCAGGACAGCTTACAAAGCAAGACCCTACTTCAAACAAACAATAAAAACTAACTAAAAATAACATAACCATAAGATTAAACAAAACATTGTGAAGTCATGCCCCCAGAGTTAGGAATTTAGCAGAAGCACTGCTTGGGGCATTACCATGAGCAGCTGCTTTTTAGAAGTCCTTCGACCTTGAAGAGTCCTTGGGGGAAATGGTGATTTTTTTTTTTTTTTGCCGAAGCGGCCTTGCAGCCATCCCATGACTTGGGTCACAAGATGTCTATGTCTGAGGCTCTTGTAGTATTATGCATTGCAAAGGATACACAATAAAGGCTAGAGTCATGAGGGCCTGTGATGCTGTCCTTCAGCAGCATGTAAATTAGGTTAGGGACCATGGGATAAAGGAATACTTGGTGTGACAATCAATAAATATGTACGGCTTTGTACGGGTGCTAGGGGTTTAGTCCATCAGAGAGGCTGGACCTTCTTGCTGCCACAAAGGCCTTAAAATTTCATCTTGGGTTGGGTGGCGATGGAGCACACCTTTAATCCCAGTACTCGGGAAGCAGAGGCAGGCGGGTCTCTGCGAGTTCGAGGCCAGCCTGGTCTACAGAGTGAGTTCCAGGACAGGCTCCAAAGCTACACAGAGAAACCCTGTCTTGGAAAGAACAACAACAAAATTCCCTCTTCGAATGCCTTCTTTCTTCAACTGACCCAAGCTACAAGGTGCAGCCTGGCACAAAAGACAGGAGGTGGGAAGGGGACTTGAGACGAGCCAGGGGCCCGCTGCAGATGGCACCTGTGAGGAAGGGCTTGTTGGAGCCCTCCCCGTACAGCTGTGGGGAAAGGAGGAGGGAGGAGCAGGAGGTGAGTATGGGTACAGGCTGCAGCCTGGGGAAATGCCGGGCTTTGCTGACACAAGGGAGTTGGCCTCGCCCTGAGTAGCACAGCTCCTGTGCCGGTGGCCTGACACCAATGCTGGTTCTTCTCGTGGCTTCTCCCTCTGCTCAGATAGCTGATAAAACCAGGCCTCCACCGATCCCCCAGGAGTGGCAAGAGGAGACTAGGTTGGAGGGGCCTTCCTAGATCCCGTGTGTCTTCCCAGCGGGCAGGGCTGGCTTCAGTACAGTTACCAACCGGGCTCTGTGGAGGTCTACACCTGACACAGGATGTCACCTGGCAGCAGGGGACCTCGACTGGGAAGAAACTGCCAAAATGGGTGTGTGCTGAGCAGTCACTGAGCATGCCCAGAAAGCCACAGGCTGGTCTCCTCTGGGCCCAGGCCTAGACTGGGGTGAGGAACCAGATACATGCATGGGCAGCTATGAGAGGCCCCCCACAGGGTAGCATGTTCTAGTGCCCATATCACCTGCTTCCGTGGCATTCTGTGTCCCTTAGACCCTCAGGGTCTGGCCCTGGTGTGGCCTTAGGGTTGGAAGGGCCATACCACTATTGGCAGCCTGACTTAATCCCCTTTGTCTAGGTCAGACTGGGTCCAGGTCCTCTCTCTGGACCCCTTAGGCACACAGCTCCACCTTCTCTGGTGAGGGAGAGCCTTATCTACCCTGAGGTTTAACTAGGAGACAGAACGCAGCTGCTGTAGCTGTCAGCGGAGAGCAGATATAGAGCAATAGACATGCACCTAAGCGTCTCTCCCTTAGCAGGTAACCACACCAGGGCTCCTTAATAAAGAAAGCCCCTTGTTCGTGGGGCTGGAGAGACAGCTCAGCAGTTGGGAGCACTGGCTGCTCTTCCAGAGGACCCAGGTTCAATTCCCAGCATCCACATGGCAGCTCACTTTTACAGCTCCAATTGCAGAGGATCTGACACCCTTACACAGACATACGTGCAACAGAAACACCGATGTACATAGAATAAAAACAAACCATTACTGGCTGGAGAGATGGCTCAGAGATTAAGAGCTCTGGCTGCTCTTCCAGAGGCCCTGAGTTCAATTCCCAGCAACCAACATGGTGGCTCACAACCATCTGTAATAAGATCTGATGCTTCTTCTGACATGCAAGCACACATGTAAACAGAACACTGTATACATAATAAATAATCTTTTTTCTTTCTTTTTTTTTATTTTTCTTTTTATTTTATTTAATTATTTATTTTTTTGAGACAGGGTTTCGCTGTGGCTTTGGAGCCTGTCCTGGAACTAGCTCTGTAGACCTGGCTGGACTCGAACTCACAGAGATCTGCCTGTCTCTGCCTCCTGAGTGCTGGGATTAAAGATGTGTGCCACCAATGCCTGGTTCATATAAATAATCTTTAAAAAATTTTGTTACAATGTTTTTTAAAAAGATCCTTGATAAAGAAAGCCCCTTGTGTAACTCAGTAGGTAAAGCCTCCGTCCCTCCCTCCCCCACAGGCCACATCCCCGGAGCTAGTCCTGCAGGGCTTCAGGGGCCCCTGAGTAACTGCAACCTTCGGGGATTATCTAGTAACTGCAGGCAGCCATCCAAGGAGCATCCACAGCCTTAGGGCGGAGAGGCCAGATGAGGAGGTCTTGACAGCCTAAACCGGAGGCCTCACACAGCCCCACTCCCGCAGAAGCATGAGGCTCCTTTGGCTGCTCTTAATGGCCATGCTGGGTGAGTCTCTTGCAGACACCATGGGAAGGGCCTGGAGGAAGTAGGCATGGGGAATGGGGTGCTGGAGAAAGATCTGAAGGCAGAAGCGCCAGAGGGAGAGAGAGAGAGAGAGAGAGAGAGAGAGAGAGAGAGAGAGAGAGAGAGAGTGTGTGTGTGTGTGTGTGTGTGTGTGTGTGGCTGAGCAGGGTGTCCTGGTTCCCTGATTCCCCTTAACTTGCCTGCAGTGGGGTTTCCAAAAGTGAAAGCATTCATTTAGACCAGGCTGATGGTGGTGCCCATAATCCCAGCACTGGGGCAGTGGAGACAGGAAGGTCGGGGGTTCCAGGCCACCCTCAGGTACATAGTGCATTCAGGGACGGCCTGGAATACAGGACAGGCCCTGGGTAAACTCAAATAAAATAGTTGTCATGATCAGAGTTGCTAACGGTTCCTGAGGCCTCAAGATCGGGGTCAGCCTGGGCAGGGAGCTGTCTGGGCTGTCTCCCTCCTCTCCCCTGACCCCTCTCCTCTTTACAGCTGCCTGCAGCTCCTCAGAGGAGCCAATGGAAGGTGAGTAGCCCCACACTATGGGGAGATGATCTAGCTGAGGACGCCTGGGCCAGAGCTGCAGGCTTGTGGTGGGTGGGTGCCTTGGCTGGAGAGAGATTATTGATAGTGAGGAAGGGGTCTGGGGGTACCCAGATGGATAATTCTGGCCCCCACCCCACCTCCAGGCTGGGTGAGGCCTGGAGGGGGCATGGAGAGCGAAGTGTGTGAAGATGAGGACTCCCCAGCAGCTGAGCTCCAGTCACAGGGCTCCAGGTCCTCATGGGGACACACTTCCCCTGCCCCAAGCCCCACAGACAGACCAGGGCATTCTAGTGTGCACTTATCCCCGGAGGAGGGGCCCTTGGGAGGGGAGGAGGGAGCTGCTGGGGAACTTGGATATTAAGATTCTTTGCTCTGGAAGCAGCTGAGAGTGAGTGTTCTCTCTCTCTCTCTCTCTCTCTCTCTCTCTGTGTGTGTGTGTGTGTGTGTGTGTGTGTGTGTGTGTGTGTGTTTCTGTCTCCCCTTCCCTCCTCCTCTCCCCTTCTCTTCCCCTCCCCCGCCAATAGTCCAGGTACAGAGCCAGGAAGGAAGGGAATCAGGAAAGATCACAGCCCCTGGCCTACTCCATCTAGCCTTTTGCCCCCTCCCCTCCCCTCTCCTTCATGGGCCCTCCCTTGGCTCCCAGCCTGTGCCCCTCCCTCGGGGTGGAGGCAGGCAGTCACCTCTGTGTCTCGTCCTTCACCCTGAGTCCCTGGGCATCCCCTTCTGTTCTGCTTAAGGGAGGTGCACGGTGGCGTTTACGGAGTCCTCAGACGGATGAGGCACAGACCAAACTACCATTTCCTCATTTCTCTACAAAAGAAAAAGGTTATTAGTGTCATAGCTAAAAAAAGAGCTGGTGGCTGGGTCTCAGGAAAGTACCTGGGCAGAGGTGGTCCTGCCTTCCTGTCCCCTCAGCCCATGGCCTTTGCTGGCAGAGTCCCGCTAAGGAGGTTTCTGAAGGCTGACTCCTTGTTTCTTCACAAACCTCAGAGGATGTTTGGCTGCCGGCACGAGGATAATCCAGGTTCTGAAAGAATAGAGTCACCCCTCCTGCAGGGACCGACAGAGCACAAGTGAGCGCCCCAGGCTGTTAGAATCAAGAGTGTAAGTCCCCCTCCTGCCGGGACCCGGAGAGTGAGAGTGGAAAGCATCAGTGGGCGTGGTGGTTTCTGGGAGTTAGAGAGCTCAAAGTGAAACAGTATCTTTAAAATGTAAGGGGGAGGAGCATGCGCCAGCCCTGGCTGGGCACCTTTAATTCCAGCACTTAGGAGGCAGTGCAGTAGGGTTTCTGTGAGATCCCGCCTCAAAAAAACAAAACAGAATAAAAAGACAAAGCAGCAGCTGTCACCGCAGCAGGCTCAGCGTGGAGGGCGATGTTTTCTATTTCCAGCTTGGGGAGCAGACCGGGCTTCCAGTCCCCACGTATGCAAACCGAGCTTCTATTCCAGGCCACCAAAATGGAAATGAGAGGCACCGGTTTTATTTTCTTTTCACTTTTATAAGTCACGCTCGTTACTCTTCATGAAGGAAAGGGAAAAACCAAACAAACATGTAACCACAGTTTGGCCCAACACTCCTTCCCCCACCCCGTGAGACGAAGTCCACCCCAATACCTTCCTTGGACCCTGATAAGACCTGTTGTCCCCGAAGACCAAGCTGATCAAGCCGTTAGAAGAAGTCTGCCAAAGCCAGGTGTTGGTGGCCCATGCCTTTAATCTCAGCACTCTGGAGGCAGAGGCTGGTGGATCTCTGTGAGTTCAAGGCCAGTCTGGTCTACAGAGTCAGTTCCAGGACAGCTGGGGCTACACAGAGAAACCCTGTCTCAAAACATAGAAAAAGAAGTCTGATTTTAGCATTAGGTCCAGTATCTCAAATTGGAAATCAATTTTGATTAAAAGAATAAAATAGATCTCATCCACAAAGAGGGGTACTTAGCAAAGTGTTTAAAAAGCCACAGAAGAAGGGCTCTGTTGGTGTTGGTCAGGTGGCTCCAGAACTTGTCCTCTTTTGGTGGGGGGGGGGCTGCTTGTGTCTCAATGGCTCACTTCCTGCTGTGGGGTGTGGAGTGGGTCCCTGGACTCAGCACTTGGCTAGAGTGCCAGTAGACACAAGTTCCCCCAAGCAGGAATTAGGATCTGAAAGACAGTGTGTACAGTTGTCACAAGAATGGGGTGGGAAAGTCCCAGGAAATGTTTGTGATAGACAGCCTGAAGTCTGTGGAGTGAGTCTGTCTGGCTTTCTGGCTGTCTTCCTTCCTTCCTTCCTTCCTTCCTTCCTTCCTTCCTTCCTTCCTTCCTTTCTTTTTCTTTGGGGTTTTTCAAGACAGGGTTTCTCTGTGTGACCCTGGCTGTCCTGGAGCTCACTCTGTAAACCAGGCTGGCCTTGAACTCACAGAGATGCACCTGCCTCTGCCTCCAGAGTGCTGAGATTAAAAGTGTGTGCCACCACCCCTGGCCCATGGAAAGTTTCCTGACCATGGTACAGTTTCCAGGCCCAGTAGAGCAAGGGCAATATATCTGGTCTGGAGTCTGGGATGTTAATTATTTCCTCCTCCCCCTCCTCCCCCTGCTCCTCCTCTTAGAGGTAGGCTTTCACTGTGTAGTTTTGGCTGCCTTGGAACTATGTACACAAGGCTAGCCTTAAAGTCACAGACATCTGCCTTCCAAAGGCTGACCCTAAAGGCTGACACCATGCCTGGTCTCTGGTCTGTCTGTCTGTATCTGTGCACCACATGCATGCAGTACCCACAGAAGCCAGGGGAGGGCTTGGATTCCCTCTGGGAATGGAGTTACAGGCAGTTGTGAACTCCGAGTAGAAAGCATTCTTAACCACTGAGCCATCTCTCCAGAAGCCCGCCACCAATGTATTTATACAGCCCTTTCCCTCCTGCCTCCGGCATGGAGTCATGTGATATTGGTGCTGTGGAATCAAGAAACGCGTGGGGCTCACATCTTCCTTTTGACCTCACTGGAAATCAAACAGAGGGCCTTGAACATGCCAGGCTCAGGGTCTGCCGAGACATGATACCTCCAAACCCTCATTTGTCCTCAAGGTCAAATCATATTCCTTGCACAGATCATGTTCAGCTATTAGGATGTGAAGGTGTTTCCTCCTGGTAGCCATGACCGGAGCTGCCCTGACATGTGTGTGACAGATCTGGCTGAGTCTCTTTGATTCTGTTGGGATGTGCCTAGGAGTGTAATTTCTGAGTCATCACTAACTCTTTTAATGTTTCCCACCCCTTTTATGGTGCCGGAGACTGAACTTGGGGCCTTAACAATTGCTAGCCTTATATTCTGCCATTGGTATACACACTAAACCCCTAGGTTCACACTTCTTTCAAGAGTGTGTTTGCTGTGTGCATCTGCCTCTGCATGGGTCTTTGTGAACCGAAACACAAATCTTCCAGAAGTGCTCTTGGCCACCGAGCCTTCTATCCAGCTCTGACTATTTAACTTTTTGAAGAATTGTCCAACCAGAGTTTCAAAGTGCTTGACCCATCTTGGTATCCTTCTTTCCCTGACTGATCCACCTCTCAGACATCACTATTTCCTACAAAGTGCTGGAAGTTTACCCTCGAAGCCGCCGTGTGCTCGTAACCTGCGACATCCCTGACGCACCCCGGCCCATCACTTACTCTCTCATGGCTAGCCGAGGTATCCTGGTGGCAAAACGGGTTGTGCACGACTACAAGCCAGCCTCCTTCAACATCAACATCACACTCAAGTCCAGCCCAGAGCTGCTCACCTACTCCTGCCAAGCAGCCTCTAACCTGGGCACCTACGGGCCCAGCAGCAAGCTGCTGATGTACTTAGAGCTGTGGGACAGTGAGTACAGGGGTCAGGCTCGTGGGACGTGAATCAACGGAGGGGTTGGGTTAGGGGAGGGGATGCTGGACTTTGAGATGGGGATTTTAGCAGGGAGAGAGGAGGAGGCAGCAGAATGGGGGTGGAAGGCAGACTGCCTGCTTTCAAGGCTGTGCCCAGTCCGCGGCGACTAGAGGACACAGTCTCCTGGAAAGGGCCAGAAGGTTCAGTGGGTTCTGACATGGGGCTGGTAATCAAGGGATTGCTGCTAATTATCTCACCCACACCCATGGGGAGGCAATCAGGTTCGACACTGACACTGGAGAAGTCAAAGTTCTCAGAGGCTGAGGGCATGGCTTAGACAACCTGCAAGTAACCACATCTGCTTTCATCCCCCACGCTGCCCACCCCAGAGCTGTATTCCCTCCCTTCCCTTTCCACCCCAGCTTTCACTCACCGTTAACAGGAACAAGAAAGTATACTCTCCTCCAGCATCCGTACCCCCTAAAATCACCAGGACAAAGAGCCTGAAAGAAGCAAACAGGGTCTGAAGCCCAGCACGCAGAAGGCTGGGATATCCTTGTGAGCTGGCTGTGGGATCCTGAACAAATCTCTCAATGTCTGGGCCACAGTTGCTTTGTCTGTCAAGCAAGATGACAACCAGGCACCTCAGGGGGCTTGAAAAGCTGTAAGGGAGGTTGCATTCTTCTGCACCGATGAGGCTGGAGCTGGGACAGCTAGCTGCTGGTCAGTGGGGATGCTCTGTGCATCCTTCATTCTTCCGAGTGGTACCTCTTTTCCTGAAGGAGCTTGCCTAGCTAGCACCATCAGATAAGAGTGTCCTCCTGCTCCACAGCTCTTACCTATAATCTCTAGGCCACAGGTGTATCAGGCTAGGCAAGCACCCAATTGCTGAGGTACATCCCTAGCCTAGCCTCCCCAGTGCTGGGATTAAAGGTGCAGGCCATCACACCTGGCCAGGTCTCACATTGTAGCTCAGGTTGGCCTGGAATTTGCTGTGTGGTCCAGCCTGGCTATAAATTCATGGGAATTTCCCATGCTTCCAACTGTGTTTTGTTTTGTTTTGTTTTAACCGAGAAGATTTCTTTTGAGACAGGGTCTCTCTACATATCTCTAGCTGTCCTGGAACTCACTATATAGACCAGGCTGGCCTCAAACTCAGAGATATGCCTGCCTCTGCCTCTGTAGTGTTGGGTTTAAAGTCATGTGCCACCATGCCCAGCCTACTTATTTGTTGTGGTTTGTACAAGTGCTTTTGGAGGTCAGAGTCATGAGACCCGTGGTTGCAGTGAGTTGTGAGGCACCCGCCATGGGTGCTGGGAGCCTGCCGGGTCCTCTGCAAGAATAGCACGCACTCACTCTCAGCTGTGGAGTCACCTCTCTGCCCTCCCCTCTTTCCACGTTTATTTCTTTATTCTTTTCTGCCTCACATTCTTGAGGGCTAGGATTCCAGGCATGTGCTGCCATGTCCAGCCAGGTCACTGTTTAGGAATTAGCAGGCTGCCTGGGAACCCTGACTGCTATCTATCTGCTCAGGGTTAGCTTGGTGATATGGAACCTAGCTCTTATGAGTTCAGTTTTATTTTTAGCCTGGTGTCCGGAGGAGTTTAGTCCAAAACAATTTTTAAAATTACTCAATGATGTCAGGCAGTGGTGATGCATGCCTTTAGTCTTGACACTCAGGAAGCAGAGGCAGGTGGATATCTGAATTCAAGGCCAGCCTGGGCTACAGAATGAGCTACAGGACAGCCAGGGCTACATAAAGAAACTATCTTGACACCCCCACCAAAAAAATAAGAAGAAAATTATTATTTGTTGTTATTTTCAAAACAGGGTTTCTTTGTGAAGCTCTGGCTGTCCTGGAAATCATGCTGTAGACCAAGCTGGCTTTGAACTCACAGAGATCCTCCTGCCTCTGGCTCCTGAGTGCTGGGATCAAAGGTGTGCACCACTACCTCCCAGCTCAAAAAAATTTTTTTTAAATATATTTTAAAGAACATTTTAAAAATGGGATCATATATAGTATATACCACAAGCAGCCTAGAAGCCTAGACAAGCAGAGCAGAGGACAGGCAGCTTGAGGAGGTGGAGTCTCAGCTAAGTCTCTGGGTTCATTTGGCATATGAAAAGGAGAATGTATTGGAGTCACCCTTTCCCTCCCTGTCAGAGCCCGTTTCCCAGCCGCAGACTGACGTCATCGCCCTGTACGATGGGGACTCAGGCCGCACCGCGAACCTGTCCTGCCTGGCATCCTCCGGCAGTCCACCCATCATCTACCGCTTGGTTGGGGATGACGGACATATCCATGCACAGCAGAGGCCCCTCCATGGGGAGCCTGCCATCTTCTCCATCCCGCTGTCCCAGGTGTCCGGCTGGTTCCAGTGCGAAGCTGCAAACAGTATCAGTGCCCATATCAGTGCCCCCTTCCTCCTGTCCCCAGGTGAGAAGACCCGTCCAGGCCTGGGGCAGGGGCTACAGTGTGTTCAGGAAGGTGTCAGAGCTGGGGAGATGACTATCTGCCACTACCCAGGGCAGGGTGGGCCTGAAGATGCCTCCCTTGTCCCTGGCCAAGCAGAAGCCCAACCCCGGCTCCTCACCATCCTACAGGGGAGCTGCCCCTGATACCCACCTGCATTCTGGCTGGCAGCCTCATCTCCATCGCAGCTATTAGTTCCGGGGTGCTGAGCTTGACCAGGTAATGCATGGGGGCTTGATGGGGGTGTTGGTGAGCGGCTGCTGACCACCTCTGTGACGAGCCAGGGCTCTGAATGGAAACAGCAGGTTAGTCTTGTAAGACTGGTTGTCATTGAGGTACATGTGCCCGACCTGAAGCTGCTTGTTAAAGCCAAAAGCCTACAGTGTCTGGTACATTCCTTACACACCCCGCTCTAACCAGGGCTCTCGCTGACATCTGCAGGGGTACTTCCCTGTGGGGCCTCCAGGGACCAGGGTGGGCAGGAGCATCTGGCTCCAGGCACCACAGATCTCTAAGCACCAACTCCTGGCCTTTTGCGGTGGCCACTTCTGTCTCCTTGGACATCTTAGCTCGGCCCCTGCAGGAACTTCTGGTCCCAAGACTGTCCATAGGCTAGACTCTAGGGAGGGCGCATTGCCTCTCCGGGGCTCATTGTTTTCGTTTGTAAAATGTGGGTACAGAGGCCTAGCTCCTGCTGACTGTGTAACCAGGGACCAGCAAGTAACCTCTTGGTGATTCAGTGAATTTAGTGGCGTGAGTAAGATCACGGATGCGCTTGAAACCATAAGATTGGGTGAGTGTGTCTGACCCACAGTGTCCTTTGTCATCAGGTTGTGACCAGAGGACAGAGACCAGGCTCGCCTCCCTGCCCTATACAGGAACCATCTGCTGGAGCGAGAAAGGAGCCTGAGGAGTGAGGGCAGAAAGGGTGTATGCACAGATCAGGGTACCAAAAGTAGTGCACCCCCAAAAGGGGCCCAGAAGCCTGGAGCATTAGTGTGTATCGGGCAAAGGAATAAAATTGTGTGGTGTGTAGGATTCCTGCTGCATGAGTGACTGTTGGCGGTTTTTGCTACGAGAACACCAGTAACTGAGTGGGTGTTTGCCCACAGGCACACAGAGCCCCGCTCCTTAAACTTCTGGTTGCAACCCCTTTGGGGGTTGCATAACTGAAGCGGGGGTCATCAACAATTTGGCAACAGTAACAGGTTTGTGTATGTGGTGGCTCATACCTGCAATCCCAGACTTAGGGAAAGGTGGAGAGGCAGGAAGACCAGGGTTCCGGGTCAATCTTGGTACAAGAGTCTGGTCTCAAAAGAAACAAACAAACAAAACAAAAATTGGCGTACTGGCCGAGTGTGGTGGCGCACACTTTGGCTCCCAGCACTTGAGAGGCAGAGGCAGGAGGATCTCTGTGAGTTAGAGGCCAGCCAGGTCTACAGAGGGAGTTGTAGGACAGCCAGGCTGCATAGTGAATGAGAAGCTGGCTCAAAACAAAACGACAGGACCTAAAAAGGGGCCAGGGAGCTGGGAAAAGGTGCCTGCTGCCAAGCCTGTCAGCCTGAGTGCAACCCCAGGGCCGCACGGGCTGAAATGACAGTCTCATAGCAGACGCCCTCTCTCTCCCATGTCCCATGTCCCACGCCGACACCCCACTCCAGACACAACAATTAAACACATGTAAGGAAAGGGGTTTCATTTATTTCTTTTTTGTTTGTTTTCCAAGACAGGGTTCCCTTTATGTAACACTTCTGGCTGTCCTGCAACTCACAGACATTTGCCTGCATCTGCCTCCGAGTACTGGGGTTAAAACTGTGCTTCCTGGCTAGGAAGGTGTGGGGAGTCCTGCCACCCACAGGGCTCCCTCAGCAAACACTCAGTGTGTGTGTATGGATTTTAGGAGTTAGACACAAGGGGTGGCCCTGAACTCCCTCTGTGTAAGTGTGGGGAGCATGGGGATAGATGGTTAAAAGGCCCAGCCCCAGCCATCGGTGGTGGCGCACGCCTTTAATCCCAGTACTCAGGAGGCAGAGGCAGGCAGAGCTCTGTGAGTTCGAGGCCAGCCTGGTCTACAGAGTGAGTTCTAGGACAGGCTCCAAAGTTACACAAAGAAACCCTGTCTCAAAAAAAAAAAAAAAAAAAAAAAAAAAAAAAGGTCCCAGCCCCCCACCCCCCCACCCCCCACCCCCCCCCCGCCTCCCCGGTCTCTGTGCCCTCTCCTGTCTTCTCCCCATGCACCCCTCTGGTGTACCAGGTCACTGTCCAGCCCTCTATTACTGAGGTATGTATGCCCTCATTACTCCTTACGCACTGAAGTGACTACGGTAGTGCCATCTTGTCCTGACTCCCTTTTGTGCCTGCCTAGCCCTCCACACCCATCAGCAGCCATGTCTGCCATGGCAACACATGTGTGTTGTCCATTAAGGTTGTCTGAAAGCCTCTTGTCGGTCAGCGAGGCCCCTGTGCTGGCACACAACCCTTCACACAGTAAGCACCAGGTTATATTTTTTGGGGGGAGGGGTAACCGGGTTCTCTGAACTAATGATGTTATTTAATTTTTTAAAATTACATTCTTGTTTGTGTGTGTGTGCTTGTGCGTTTTGAGACAGGATCTCAGCTCAGGCTGGTCTTGAACTCCTTATTCTCCTGCCTCCCCCTCCTCTTCCTCCTGGGACTATCCCCCAGATGCATTGTTTGCTGCGCACGATCTTGGTGTCTAGAAAAGAGCGGACACTCTTGCCCGTCAGAGCCTTTTCCCTGGCAGGTCCAAGAAGGGTAGCAAAGGGTTGTCCTCCAACCCCTCCCAGGCCTCCAGCTAGGGAGGAAAGAGTGGCCGATTGCTGGGGCCAGACTTACTCCTACTGTGGTCCCGAGGGTCGAACCCAGGGCTCTCTGATGTTCTAGGCAAGAACTTACGCCCCAGCCCTTTGGTCTGGAGCAGAGTGGTGAGCTCTGGACGTGTATGAGCCTAGGTTCGGGTGTCTGGAGAGTGTTCTGGAGAGGTAGGTGTAAGGTGGGCGGGCCGCCACGGGTTTCTCTTCCAGGAGACTCTCAGATCCTTTCTGGTTGAGCTTAGCGGGACGGACCTCCCAGGGGCGAGCTTTTCCTTCCTTGTGCCCCACCCTGGCGCCGCAGGCGCAGCTCCCAGTTCCTGCCACCTGCCAGCGCAGCAGGCACGGAGGGGCACCCCGCGGCGCGTCCCCGGCGGCAGGCCACGCCCTCTCGCGGCGGCCGGCCACGCCCCGGGGCGGGGCGGGGCGGGGCGGTCCGGCTGGTTCTCTGCCATCGGCGGCTCGGCGGCGGCGGCGGCGGCGACATGGAGAGCGGGGCCTACGGCGCGGCCAACGCGGGCGGCTCCTTCGACCTGAGGCGCTTCGTGTCGCAGCCTCAGGTGGTGACGCGCATCGTGAGCATGGTGAGTCGGCCGTGGGGGCTGGGGGACCCGGAGCCGCGCGCCCCGGCCACCGGGCCCTGTGGGCCGCCGGCTTCCGAGCGCGACAGGTGGCTGCGGCCGTGCGTCCCAGGCCCGGCCGAGAGCGTCCTGTCGCCTGTCCCACTGCGTGCGTGGCTCCGGAGCTCGGGCCCGGGCGGGCCCCGCCGCTCGTCCCGGACGCCCCGGTGCGGGATGGATGTCCCCGAGGGGCTCGCTCCGGGGAGGCCGGCCCTTCGCCCTGCTGGCGGCGGGTGGGGCTCCGGGCCGCGCCACAGCAAGTGGCCTGCACGCCGCGGCTCCCAGCGTGGGGAATTCACCTGGAAGGGACTTTCTGGGGCCACGTGGGGTGCGAGGAGGGGGTGGCCTGACGCCCCGCGTAGGGTTTCCTCCCGCCTCCCGCCTCCCGCCTCCCGCTCAGAGGCTAGCGGCAGCAGGTCTGCTAAGCCACGCAGAATGTACTCGCTCCCTGCCCGGCCCGTCCGTACCAGCTGGCTGTGTCTTGGGACGAGGACATTGAAACTGGGCTTTGGCTGCGGGACTGAGGGCGGGCCTTCTGCTCCCAGGGGATCCGGGCCTGGAGTCCTGGAGGTGCCCCCACTCCCCGAGCCTCCCAGCCGAGCTAGCGGTGGAGTCCAGCAGACTCCGTCCTGTCCTGGGTTGTACCCTGGCAGTGCCAGGAGTCCTGACCCAGACTCTGCAGGCAGCCCCGGAGTTCCGGCTTCATCTCCAGCTGGAGGCGGGGCTTGTGACTTAAGTTCCACTGTCCCATAGAGTGTTCCGGGAGAATCAGTTTGCTTTGGCCCTGGGAGTCCGGAGACAACCAGGTGCCCCCAGACTCGGCAGGCTCCATCTGCCGTGTAGAGGTGGGTTTGGGTTTGGCCTTGGTCTTGAGGTGTGAGAAGGAGAAGAAATGACTAGGATGACTCCAAAGGGGATGTTTTCCAAACTGGGCAGTTTCTGCGGGTGAGTTTCCCACCTCGGCCCTGGCTCCTGAGAGGGCTCCCAGCCTGGCCCACAGACCTGTGGATCGATCGGACCGCCCCAAGAACCTTGTTCTGAGGGGAGCAGGTGAAGGGCTGGGTTCTAGACTGTAGCTCTCAGGAGGGGACCAGGCAGCATGCTGAGTAAGCTGGGTGAAGGCTGGCTGGCTGGGAGCACCAGCAGAGTCTTGGAAGGGCCAGTGCTGCTGTTGAACGGGGTTTTGGAAGATGGTTGATGCTGGAGGACTGGCTTGGCACAGGGTGTTGGGTGAGGGTTGGATGAGACACTGAGTCTCCCCGCCGTGATTTTGTGGCCCATCTTGTTGAAACCCCCTCAAATGGGCTGTGGTGGCTCACACCTGTAATCTCAGCTCAGAGGTAGTTGAGGCAGGAGGATTGTCATAGGCTTCAGGCCAGCCCGAGCCGGAGTGAGACCCTGCCTTTTCTGTGTGTGCGTTTGCCTGTGTGTGTGAAGGTTCTCCGTGTGTGTGCTTGGTGTCCACAGAGGTCAGAAGGCGGTGGGTGCTTGGGACAAAACCAGGGTCCCCTGCAGGAGCACTCAGCGCCCTTAACTGGAGCAGGTGTGGCAGCTCAGGCCTTTAACCCCAGCACTCTCTCAGCTCTGCAGGCAGAGGCCTTTTCATGAGTTCCAGGGCACCAGGGCTACATAGTGAGGCCTCTCAAAAACAAACACAATCCACCAACAATCTGTGGTGCAGTTGCCCAAGGAGGATGGGATAGGGTTGGGAGAGCCCCAAGCAAGTATAGTAGTACACGACTGTAATCCCAGCATTTGGGAGGTGAAGGCGGAAAGGTCAGGAGTCAAGGTCACCCTGGGGTACACAGAGTTCAGCCAGGGCTAAACGAAACCCTTCCAGCCGGGCAGTGGTGGCAACATGCCCTTTCCCAGCACTCAGGGAGGCAGAGGCAAACTGATCCCTGTGAGATGGAGGCCAGACTGATCTACAGAGTGAGTTCCAGGACAGCCAGGGCTACACAGAGAAACCCTGTTCCCCCCCCCAAAAAAAAAAGAAAGAAAGAAAAAGCAAAAAAATAAAACCCAACCCACATCTCATTTTCAAATGGAGAGGAGTAGATTATTCTTTGCCTTTGTCATAAACCTAAATGAGATGACACCTATAGAGAGGCAGCTAGGGGTAGGTAGCCCTTTCCTGTAATAGCCTCTATCCTCCAGCCCCTGGTAGTGAGTAACTGTTGAGGATGTCCTGGCCACAGCCTGCCCATCGCCTGACTCCCAGGAGTCCAGAAGGGGCTGAAACACCAGCCTCAGAACAGGGCGTCAGTAGAGAGGCAAGAGACACCTGATGCCCTGTTAGGCTGAGGGGTCTGTCAGGGACATGGCCCACGGGTGTGTGCCCCTGCCCATCAATGACCCTCTCCCCTCAGGTCTTGGCCTTGATCGTGTTCTCCTGCATCTTCGGCGAGGGCTACAGCAACACTCATGATACTGAGCAGTTATACTGTGTATTCAACCGGAACGAGGATGCCTGCCGCTACGGCAGTGCCATTGGGGTACTGGCCTTCCTGGCCTCAGCCTTCTTCCTCGTGGTGGACGCCCTTTTCTCCCAGATAAGCAATGCTACTGATCGCAAGTACCTGGTCATTGGTGATCTGCTCTTCTCAGGTATGCGTGGCACTGGAGCAGGGCTTCACAATCCAGGGCCCTTCCCCCAGGTCCCCTTGTGTGCTGGGATGGCACACAGGGACTCTGACTACAGAAACTCAGGGGTGATGGGCATAAGGGTGAGGTGTGGCATCAGGTTTCTGTGCTCATCCATCCCGCCTAACAGCTGACCCCTAAGCCTCGCTTCCCTCTGCTTCTGTAGGTCACAGAGCACAAAGCCTTGGGAGGGTGGGCCCCTATGAGTCCCGTCTGTCCCCAGGGCCCACTCCTCCCTCCCTGTTGTCTCCCCAGCTCTCTGGACTTTCCTGTGGTTTGTTGGCTTCTGCTTCCTGACCAACCAGTGGGCAGCCACCAAAGCTGAGGATGTGCTGGTGGGAGCCGACTCAGCACGGGCCGCCATCACCTTCAGCTTCTTCTCCATCTTTTCCTGGGTAGGTGGGCTGGGGAGGGCAGCTCTGGAGGCTTCGGTGAAGGCTGATGTCCCCTTGCCCTGCCCACACCTTGGGTCCCCCCCTGCAGGGTGTGCTGGCTTCCCTGGCCTACCAGCGCTACAAGGCTGGAGTGGACGCCTTCATTGAAAACTACGTGGACCCCACTCCAGACCCCAACACTGCCTACGCCTCCTACCCCAGTTCCTCGGTGGAAAACTACCAGCAGCCCCCCTTCACCCAGAACGTGGAGACCACTGAGGGCTACCAGCCTCCCCCTGTGTACTGAGCAGCCAGGGGAAGTCAGGGAGAGTGCTTGGGGCCGCTCCTCTCCCCTGGACTTCTCTTTGGAGGTTTGCTGCCTGGAACTGCAGTCCCTTCTGTTCGAGTTGACAGCCAAAGAGCCCATTTTTGCATTCTAGCTGCGGCTCGACTGCCCACCTGAAGTGCCTGTGCCCACCCGATCCTCCAGGGAATTTTTTCAGGAAAGGGTTTTCACTAAGATGTTATCTCTCTCTGCCAGGCCCCGGTACCGGGGATGGCGCCCAGGGCCTTGAATTTGCTTAGCCAGTGCCACCATTGAGCTGTGTGCTCGGCTCATGTTGCTTTTGATAACCCTGAACCCCATCTCAGCCAGAAGCAGGTGCCTGCTTTTGACATATGCCATAGTTTCCCCTCAGCTGGAAGGCTGAGCTCAGCTTGAGGCTTTTTTTTTTCTTCCAAAGACAAGGTTGGGGTCCATGCACTATCGCCTTGGAGTGCTGGGCTTAGGCTACACACTCCCTCACTCAGGGCCACTACCCAGCTTTGGCTGGACTCTGTGCTCACTGCTGTCTTCTGGGGTCACCACTATCCCAACTGTCCCCAGACTGCTTGCCTGGCGGTCGTGGAGCAGGTGGGGGACTGGATATCTTTCTCCTCCCGCCCTGGCAGGAGGAAGCTTTGTCTGGAGAATACCCAGAATTAATATTTACATTGAGTATGTAAATATTCCCCAGCAGCTATTAGACGCCATCGAGGAGGGCAGGCACCCCTGCACTGAATGTATTGGAGACTTGGTGGGGACACCCTGCCCTCGGGTTCTGTAGACTAGTTGGGGATGAAATAAACGTTTTTTTTCTCAGTGTGCTGTACTTGATAGCGCCTCAGGCTGGGGGTAGATACACTTTGATTGGCAATGTTTTGAGAAAAAGCTTCAAACTTAAAATAGCCAAAGATGACGCTCTGACCTTTCCCGAGTGCTTGGTTTCAAACTGGACTTCATGATAGGCAACTGAGCTATACCCCAGCCTTTCAAAGATAGAGTTTACATAGCCCAGGCTGGCCTCAAACATACCACAGACTCTGAGGCACAGGTGTGTGCTGCCATGCTTAGCTAGAACAGGACCTCACTGTGTAACCCAGGCTAGCCTCCAACTTGAGGCAATCCTCCTGCCTCAGCCTAGCTCTAGAACTTTTTCTTTTGAATCAGAGTCTCACTGTGCAGCTCTGGCTATCTTGGGACTCAGAGGGAGCCACCTGGCTCTGCCTCCTGAATGCTGGGAGTGGGTGTAAGCCATCACACACAGCTAGAACATGTACTTTGAACATGGAGTGGCAGCTCCCCCTAACGGGGTCTTCATTCTTCACCCTGCGTCCTAAGATCCTAAGACAGCTTGTAAAGATGGGTTGTTCTTGCCTGAGTTCTGCTACCTTCCTAGATGGAGCCTGAGCACCACGGCTGCCCCTCTGGATGCCTCTTCCAGAGCAAACATTTCCTATCAGAGGTGAAGGGCACAGTGGGGGGGGGGGGTCGAGTCTGGCCCCTCTTGACGCCTTCCTGGGACATACCATAGAGCGGACCCATGTCTATGCGGAAGCACCTGAGCCAACTCTTGGCTCTTGTGCAATGATGAGGCCATCAACAGTGGGTTCTGACAGAGCCTTTCAAAATCTAAGTATAAACTACCAGGGCCGCTTACCCAGCTGAGCTGTCTGTTGGCTACCCCCAGAGCATGCCCTGAAGCTGGGCACGGCACCATGGACAGACACATGGACACGTCTTAGACCCAGGGACTTGCCACACTCCTCTAAGGCACATCTGAGCTGTTTTCTCAACCCAAATCACCAAGCATCGTTTACAAACTCTGACCTCCAGGGGCTGGCTAGAAATGTGGAGACCACCGAGGGCTACCAGCCTCCCCGTCTCTCTCCGTTCCTTTAACAATCTGTCCTGAAACCAGCCAGACAGAAGTTCCCCTTGGGCTGTGGTGATCATTAGTGCTACAAAAAGACTTGGGAAGAAACCCCTCCCCCACAAGTCATATGGACCCTGGCGGCAAGATTTGGGGAAATCCAGGTTAAAGAGAAATACGTTCTCAAGTAACAAACTTTAATATTAATTATTCACTTTGCACTATAGCACAATAAGCACAGGCTCTCACCAAGAGTCCTGAGTCTCGGGACTGGGGCTCTGGGCAGAGCAAGAACAGCACCTCTGTAAAGATCGGCTCTAGGGGCCATTTGGGGTCAAACCTCAGACCAAAGGGAGAGCTGTGAGGGCTGGGGCCTCGGTAAGGGGCCAGGCCCTGTGAGACTGAAAGCCACCTAGAAGGAAGAAGCCAGCACCTCCAATGTCACAACACTGTGTGGCTTTGTCCTCACCTCTGGCTGGATGTCAAACCCTATCCACCACGCAGGCAGGCGCTAGCTCTAGTCTGGGCTGAAGCATCCCAGCAACCGAAAAGGGAACTAAAAAGACTGTGACAAGCGGGTGAGCCTGTCCAGGGCACTTTGTCCGTCAGGTCCCAGCCCCTCTCAGTTGGCAGAGCTGTGCTGTAGGACTTGCTGAGGGGCGAAGAGCTTCCTGACAGCCGAGGCCTCTGGCGGCGGCGGTGGTGGCGCCAGAACCGGGAGGTTCTCTTTGTCGTCCGGTACAGCAGGCTGGACCGAGGGCTTCTTGAAGTAACACAGGCGGCACACAGAGTGGTACTTGTCTGCTCCACCAATCACCTCCACCTGGGGCAGGGCCACGGAAGGGTAGGACTCAGCCCAAGCCCGCCCCGCCCCCTGGACAGCCACACCCGCCCCGCCCCGCCCCGCCCCTCTCCCTGGACAGCAGCACCGGGAGGTACCTCCTTCTCCAGGCCCAGCCTCTTGGTGTAGGCGGCTTCCCGGAAGCACTCCATACACACGGCAGTCAGCTTCACCACGCTCTCGGCCAGGGGCACCAGGTTCAAGATGCTGCCGAACGCCTGCACACAGGACGGGGTGAGTGTGGTCACTTAGCCAGGTACTTCCCTTTCGGTCTGTGATCACATGTGCATGTGTGCGGAGGCCAGAGAGCAAGCTTAGGGGCTGCCCTCCAGCACCGTCCACCTTGCTTTTGTTCTTTGGAACAGGGTTTCCGCTGCCTTGGAGCTTGCGGTGTAGGCCAGGCGGGCGTGCCGGTGAGCTGAGACCCGCCCGTGTCTGCCGCCCAATGGTGGGATAATAATGCACACCACCACGCCCAAGAGGGCTCTGAGGAGAAAACGCAGGGATGCTGTGCCGGGCGAGCATGTTAGAGCCTGGGCTGTGCCAGCCCTATGATTCAGGGCACCTCACCCCATCCCGCTTTTCTAGAAAGCCACACCCTCATGCTCTAGAGGCCATGGCCCACGCAGAGCACCCCCAGCCAGTACCTACTTCTGGGGACATCTTGTGTGCTCTCACGCTCAAGATCCCCACCTCCCTCTTAGGATCCACTGCCAGGCCCCAGTCAGTCACCTTACCTTTCTCTGGAAGGTTCCGTCTAGCGCCGCCACGATCACTGTCTTGCCTGCGTTGGCCATCACTTCACAGAACTCCACGATGTCAGGGAACTGGGAAGTCGGTGGGGGAAGAAGTGAGGTGACTGCCCTGAGCACGGGCTTCACGGAGACCGCGATGGGGCCTGACCACGCACATCAGCCCAGAGCTAGAGACCAGGCCATGCCACCATTCCCGTGAAACACCCAACTGCATGCCCGCTGCTACCCAGTCCCTTCCCCATCGTCAGCAGAGCAGCGCTGTCTAGGGCTTCCCAGCAGACTTCCGTATCCATCAGAGGCCTGGTGGCCCTACCATACTTTTGATCACTCATGGATCTCTGCCTTCTGGAACTGTCAGTGCACAAAGTTTGGGGCTTAAAGTTGTGCAGGCAGGGTTAGAAGCTAAGCACAACGTATGTTTAAAACAGACTTCTGGGAGGGCTCAGCGGGTAAGAGCACTTACAAAGGACCTTGTTCAGGTTGTGATCATTCACAACCATCTGTTAATTCTAGTTCCAGGGCCCCCAACGCCCTCTTCTGGCCTCTGTTGGCACTACACACACAGTGTATATGCATACACACAGCTAAGCACATTTAAGAAAGGAAAAAAAAAAAAAAAAAAAAAGGAAAGAACTTTGTCAGGTGTGGTGTGGCAGGCATTTAATCCTAGCACTCTGGAGGCAGAGGCAGGTGGATTTCTGGGAGTTCACAGCCAGCCTGGTCTCCAGGACGGCCAGGGAAACACAGAACAACTCTGTCAAACAAGAAAAATCGAGAGAAAAATGGTCTTGGCAACGAGAAGAGGCATGTGTGCAGTTTGCCCAGCTGGCTCCTGACAGCCTTAGGTGGGCCCTTACCCTTCCCCAACACTGATCTTGCTGGCTCCTGTTCTTTCAGGCCCTTCTCTGTTTAGCATACATGTCCAAGAATGTGTGTGAACCTGTATAGGCCAAGTTGACCAGCCATGGGCATTTTCCTTAATTGCTTTTCACCCCACATGCTTATTTTTCTTTTCTTCCTCTTCTCACTTTGTAGCCCTGGCTGGCCTGGAACTTGTTATGTAGACTAGGCTGGCCTTGAACTCAGAGATCTACTTGCTTCTACCTCTCAGGTTCCAAGATTAAAGACCTACGCTACCAAGCCTGGCTTTTCCATCTTGTGCTTGAGACAAGGTCTCTCACTGAATCTGGAGTTCAGTGATTCAGCTAGGCTGGCTGCCCCTGCCTCCCTGATGCTGGGACCATGGACACTTGGCAGTAACCAGTGTTTTACAGGGAGCTAGCGATCAGAGCTCAGGTCCTCACGTTTGCGGAGCCAGTGCCTCATTAAACGAATTCTCTCCCCACCCCCGCCTCAGTTAGCCTTCTGAGTTCACAGGTGCTGCCACTGTGCCGGGCTCTTCAGACCTTTTTTTTTTTTTTTTTTTTTTTTAAATACTCCCCCAATGCTCTACCATCCCCACCTGCCTGCCTCCTTATTCCCTCCCAGCTGTAGTCCACCAGCATAGGCGAGCTGGAAGTTCCAGTTTCGTCTCTAGAACCTAGAATGCCACAGCCAAAGGGCAGAAAGTTGGAATGGATGTGATTGGTCCCTGGACCCAGCTATTCCCACAATAGTCGAAGCATGTGACATGGCCTGCTCTATAAAAACACATGTATATAATTAGAAGCATCCAGGCTGGACTGGCATTCACTCAGAGTCCTGGAACTGGCTGAGCATAATCTCCTGGGCCAACATCAGGCAAGGCACCCTAGCAACCAGGGATGAAGACCCCCTCCCCACTCACATCTGGTCATCAGCAAACACAGGTGCACTCTATGCCAAAGGAACCAGTCAGGCACCACCCTCCAGGCCACTCCCACAACTTTTTGTTTGTGTATTTATCAAGACGGTGTCTTTCTGTGTAACAACCTTGGCTGTCCTGGAACTTACAGAGATCCACCTGCCTCTGCTTCGCAAGTGCCCGGCTCCCTCCCACAACCAAGGGTTCAGGTTCGCAAAGTTTCCTGGTCCTCAGCAAAGCCAGGCTCCAGCCCTCCTGCCAAAGGACTCACGGGAGCCCTCTCCCCCTCTAAAATCCCACTATTCCATGACTACTGTCTTGTCCCAAGGCAGGGTTTAGAACCTTCCACGTCAAGCTCGCAGGGTGTTCCCAGTGGTCTCTGGCTCAGAGATGATCTATGGCAAACTTCCCTTTTCTAGTGTGTTTCTACTGTGTCCTAGGTTGAGCCTGTGTCAAACAGAAACGAAACACAAACTTTCTTGAAGATGCCTAACTTCTGCTCTTGCCAAGAAGCCTGTGGGCCTTAGCCAAATGAACACATGGAAGGCTCCATACCCTCAGCCATGGCTTCAGGAGCCCCTAAGCGACCCTCTACCCAATGTCCAAGTCAAGGACACAGGAAGGAGGAAAGGTCCCTTCCTTTTGCAAAAGGACGACCCTGGATTTTGTAAAGAGAAAGGTTCTAGAGCCTGGGGCAAAATGGAATAATTGGTATTTATACAACAGACTCAACGAATACTCACTGAAGCTGGGGGGGGGGGGACGGGACTGTAATCCCAGCACTCGGGAGGCTGACCTGGACCACAAAGCAAGGCCCCATCCCAAAAAATCAAAGTATGAGGCTGGAGAGATGGTTCAGTAGTTAAGAGCACTGGCTGTTCCTCCTTCCTGAGGTCCCAAGTTCAAATCTTCCCCAACCACAAGGTGGCTCACAACCATACATAATGGGTTCTGATGCCTTCTCCTGACATGCTGTTTTATACATGTAGATAGAGCATTCATGCATAAACACATACATAAGCAAATCTTTAAAAAAGTCAAAGTACCCACTAAATGAATTCATTTTTCTTGGTCATAAGCGGGGAAGTATAGCAGCAAATCTCTCCCATAGGCTGGGATGGGTAACACTGGGGAAACAGGGAGTCTGGTGCCAGGCGCGAGCCTCTGGGAAGAGAGCATACTAATAGGCAGGTCGCCGCAGCAGGCCTGAGGGGAGGGGCTGTGCCCTGTCCTGACTAAGTCAATGTCTGCATAGCCGCCATGCTCCAAGGTCTCCCTCTGAGGACGAGAACAGAGCTGGCATGTCCAGGTGATGGACAGATGCCAACCGCTGGAACGCGCATGTCACTGTGGGAATGGAATCTAGAGCTGTCACAGAGCACGGGGAGGGAAGGCTGGAACAGGGACAGGACTTACACCCGAAGGGCATCGCAGCTGGGGGCTGCCTTACTCTGTCCGGGGAGCGGACTGCCCCCCCCCCAGCATGGCTACTTATACAGTAAGTAGATTGTGAGAGTAGTTGACGGCTAAACTTTTAAGATTTTAAGATAATTGTGTCTATGTGAGGATATGTGTGTGTGCATGCATGCAGGTGTCCACACAGGCCAGGAGCATCAGATCCTCGTTACTGGCATTAAAAGCAGCCAGAGCTGCCAAACATGCGTGCTGGGTCACTGCCAACAAGTGATCTCAATGACTGAGCCTTCTCTCCAGCCCATTTATCTGTCTTACTCGTACCTCAGCACATGTGTGGAGGTCAGAGACAACTCCATGGAGGTGGCTCTCTGCTTTGACCCTTTTGAGGGCTCCAGGCATCAAACTCAGGTCTCTAGGCTTGTGCACTGAGCAGCCTCACTGGCCCTATGCTGCATTATTTAAGACAACATCTCACCCTGTAGCGAGGCTGGCCTTGAATTCCTGATTCTCTCCCTGCCTTAATCTCCCATGTACAGGGACTCTACAGTACCACCTTATCCACCAACAGATAGTTCTTGTTTGTTTGTTTCCGAGACAGGGTTTCTCTGTGGCTTTGGAGCCTGTCCTGGAACTCGCTCTTGCAGACCAGGCTGGTATTGAACTCACAGATATCTGACTGCCTCTGCCTCCCGAGTGCTGGCATTAAAGGCCACCACTGCCTGGCTTAACACATATTTTTGAAAACATCTGTGATGTTAAGTTTTGGAGTCTGGTGCACATTTGTTAAGCCTCTGTCCTTGCCTTCCCACATGGACTAGAGATAACTTTAAAACTGGTTGAAAAAAAAAAAAAAAAAAAAAAAAAAGCAGCCAGACTGGCCAGACCCTTTCTGTTTACATGCCTTCATGTAGCCCAGGTTGACTTAAACTAGCTATATCCAAGGATGCTTTGAACTTATTCCCACCTCCATCTCCAGTGCTAGAATTATGGGCACGCTAGCACACCGTTCATGAGGTGCTGGGGATGGAACTAAGGGTCTTGTGCGTGCTGGGCGGTGCCCTGCCAGTCAAACATCCCCAGCCCGGCTCAGGCACTCAGAGAGGGACTTCTGGCCAAAGCTTCCAAAGACCGGGAGGGAAATAAAGATCACAAAAGACAATTCCCACCAGAGGATGCCCTGAATAAACAAACAAACAAACAAACAAACAAGCCACTGCAGAGGTCAGGGCGGGAAGGACTCTTCCCCAGCCTGTGCAGGAAAAGAAACACTGCATGACATGAATACGGTCAGGGACTCACACCATGGGAGACATGCCAGCCTTCTGACTTTCCCAAATGACAAAAGGAAATTCTGGAGCACAGAGACAAGAGGGGCCAGGGGCCTGGGTTACGCTTCGAGCTAACTTACAAACTGCCCCTCATCGATGCCAATGACAGCCACACCCAGGGCTTCCTGGGCCACATCCCGGAGCAGGCAGGCCGGCAGAGCATCCATGGTGTTCCTGGGAAGAAAAGGCCGGAGGATGAGCAAGGTCAGCAGCAGAGGATACCCAGGCCCAGACATAGGGTCCACAATACTCTGAGCACTAAAAACCATTGTCCTTCCTTTTAAAATCCAAAGTAAACAAACCAGGACAACACTGGCCTAACCACTGCCATCAGAACATTTACAACTTCAGGGAGATTCTGTACTACAGCCCAGCGGTAGGACACCTGGTAGCTCATGCCCAGGGCTCTGCCGTCAGTGCCTAAAGGTAAAGCAAAATAATGCATTTGAGACAGGGTCTCTCTGTCGACCAGGCTGCCCTGGGACTCTCAGAGATCCGCCAGCCTCTCTCCACCAAGTGCTGTGATTAAAGGTGTGTGCCACCACACCTGGCAAAAGTTTTTTACAGATACGTGTATTAGTGGTTTTCCTGCATGTATGTCTGTGTATCAAGGGCACATGTGGTGCCCTCAGAGGTCAGAAGAATGTGTCAGATTCCCTGGAACTGGAGTCACTGATGGCTGTGAGCCCATGTGGGTCCTGGGAACTGAGCCTGGGTCCTTGGCAAAAGCAAATGCTCTTAATGACTGAGCCATCTCTCCAGCCCCACAAGGGAGTCCGGCACCCAGAAAAGCTACGGCATGCTCGGGGATAGTCTGTGAGCAGCGACCGAGACAAGAGTGTCCTGTTCAGTGTCCAGAATAGGAGGCGAGCTTGGGAGCCAGCCAGCAGTGACCCGCAGAGCCCTCTCCATTCATTGCCCTCTCCAGATTAAAGGCTACCTGCTGGCAGAGCTGAGATGATGAGAGGCCCCTGCTAACAGGTCTTGCAGCACGCCGCTTCCCGGCAGGGAGGAACCCACCCAGGCCTCTGAAAGCCAATTTGGATATGCTCCAGAATGCCATTAAAGGACACCGGGAACCTGCCCTCACTGTCCGCACAGCTTTCCAAGGACTGGAGTGCTGGGCTGTATCCAATGCCTTCTCTCTGTCTCATGTCTGCCTTACTTTCAAAACAAACTCAGAAAAAGCAGTTTCCCAAAACACAGACAAGCAGCCTGCGGTGGTGGCACACACACTTTGGCAACACCTGGCCTTGTCACTACCACAGTCTTCAAGACCTGGGAAGCTGGGCACAGCAGATCTTGTCTGTAATCCTAATATTAAAGGGGGGAGGGGCTGGATATGGTGTTGCTGGCCTATAACTCCAGGAAGAGGAAGGGTCACATTACAAGGCCCACCTAGACTATATAATGTGACCATCCATGTCTCAATAAACAGGTTGGAGAGACGGCTCAGCAGCTAAGATTATTTGCTGGTCTTGCAGAGGGCCTAGGTTCAATTCCTGGCACCCACATGGCAGCTCACAACCATCTGTACAGCTCCTGTTCCAGGGGATCTGGTGCCCTCTTCTGGCCCCCTTCTGGCACCAGGCAAGCAAGTGGTCTACAGACCCTACATGCAAGCAAAACACCCACACACAAGATATGAAGATTTTAAAACCAGCAGAGTAGGGCTGGCCCACACCTCTAATCCCAGCATGTGGGAGGCAGAGGCAGGCAGAATTTGGGGCCAACCTGGTCTACAGAGAGAATTCCAGGATGGCCAGAGCTGCACAGAAAAACCCTGTCTTGAAAAATAAAAACAAAAAAACAAACAAACAAAAAAACATTTAAAAAAAAAAACAAACAAATCAAAAACAGGGTTGAGATGTTTCAATGGGTAAAGGGCTTGCTGTGAAAGCAAGGTCAGGCATGTTGCTACATGTCTTTAATCCTAGCACTGGGGAGGCAGACACAGAGGCAGACGGATCTCTGTGAGTTCCAGAGAGCCAGGGCTCTGTAGAGAGATCCTGTCTCAAAAAACCAAAACCCAAAAGAAACATAAAAGCCTAACCAATGGAGTTTGAAACCCCAGAACTCACAAACCTGAACGAACGGAGGTGGAAGGTGAAGACTAATGCCCTGGGCTGTCCTCTGAACTGTGCACAGACACATGCACCAAACCCAGACCCAACACAACACTCGTGCACTTAAAACTCTCCTCCCTGCACCAGTAGAGCAGACCGGAGAGGGCCTGGTGGTGTCCCACTCCAGACACTGGGCCAGTGTGTTGGTCCTTCTAGACGCTCACCCCACCCTGCGTGGTGGACACCATGGTTACACACATGGAGAGGTAAAGATCTCAGCATAGAGCCTGGCAGGAAGCATGGCTTGAATTCCAACCCCGAGCCCAGTTCCTAGAGGGTGTACACTCCACTCCTGTTCCGCTTCAGAAACCCGCCCTACTCCAGGCTGCTCAACCTTGGCCCAGCCTACAGCAACCCTGGTGTGCAGCTCCAGCCTCATGGACAGCTGTGGCTATGGCGTCAGCCCAGGACGCTCAGCAAAGAGAGTCTCAGAACACACCCGGACTTATCACGGAATCACTTTAATCGGCTCCCACCTGCAAAGGGAGGTGTCCAGTGCTCTGGCACACAATGCAGGACGGTGACAGCCACCTGATGGCAGGAAGAAATTCTGTGCGGCCTCTATCCAAGCGCAACACAGGCTCTGCCCGCACAGTGTCCATTTGAGGACAGGTCATTCTAAAATTTGAGCCGGTACTCCTGCCCATTAGAAGCCTGTAGCAGCCCATCCCTTCTCCAGTTCTGACAAGGACCCCTGGCCCAGATACATCTGACAGCACGCCATGTGCCCTCAGGGGTTTCCACAGCACAGGACCAAGGGGGTGGGACTGACCGGTCATGTGTGGAGAAGCTGCTGCTATAGCGCGTGTCCTTGGCATACTTGATGACCAGGCATTTGTTCTGGGCGATCTGGAAGCGCCGGACTCTCCTCATCAGCTCTGTGCTGCAAGAGTTACCAGGGAAGGCCGGCCGTTGGTGGCGCACACCTTTGATCCCAGCACTCGGGAGGCAGAGGCAGGCGGATCTCTGTGAGTTCGAAGCCAGCCTGGTCTACAGAGCGAGTTCTAGGACAGGCTCCAATGTCACAGAGATCCGCCCCCACCAAAAAAAAAGTTACAAGTGAGATCTGCGCGAAAGGCGGCTCGCCACCACCACCTACTGGCTGGTATCCCGAACCTCACCGGTTCACAAAGACAGACACCCGCTGTCCTGACAAGTTTTCTGAATGAATTTCACAAAGCTTCTTAAAGAAGCGCCAAAGCGCTTGCCCCTGGGCCCCAGATCTTGAGGCTGGGCCTCGCCCTAAAACTCAGGTGACACCAGGTCAGGCAAGAACGGGGGGGAGCGGTGTGTGCCTGGTATTGTTGGGCATCCCTTTAATGCCAGCACTCTGATGCCAGCCTGGTCTACAGAGTGAATCCCAGGCCAGGCAGACTCCCACAGCGGGGACCCTCACCCCGGAGCAAACTGGGCTCGGAGGCTTCATGCGGGCTTGCGTGGGGAGTGCAGGAGGAAACTGTCAGGGAGAAGGTGTGCACGCACCGCCCAGCCCCCCGCGGGCACATGGGGCTGCGGGCTGGGGTCCCTGCGGCGCCCCGCTGCGATCCTCCTCCGCAAAGGCAGAAGAGCCCCCGGGGAGAAGGGGCTGAGGGAGGCAGGGACCCAGGACACAGAGATTTGGGCGGGAAGGCGCGCACTGAGGTCGGGAGGGCGGAGTTCCCGCCCAGTCTGGGACTTAGAAAGAGGGGAAGGCGGGAGAGGAGAGCCAGGGTCTGCGGACAGGAGGCGGCCCGCCCCGGAGGCCCACTCGTTACCTTTTCCCTGAGAACATGGGTCCGAGGATCACCTAGGAGGAAGGAAAGCCATCTCATCTTAGGGGTCCCCGCTCACACACACCCGGGCACCAGCCCCCGCCCCGACCCCCGCAGGCCGGGCCCCGCACCTGGATCTGCCCCCGCGCCTTGCTGGGGGAGCCGGGCAGCACGGTGGGCAGGTTGATGTAACTCATGGCGGCTGTGCGGGCTCCGGCGCTGGGCGCTGGGGTCGGGGTCCGCGGTCCGGGAGTGGGGAGCGTCCGCGGCTTCGCGCGTTCCTTTAAGTACTCACCGACCAATCGCAGCCCAAGTAGGGGCGTGGCGAGGTCAAAGCGCATGTGGGCCCCGCCCCTCCCTCCTCCCGCCCCCTCTCTCCCGGGTCCCTGCACAGCCAGAAGCTTCTGCGCTGGACCCGGTCATGGCAGCCTCTGCGCCTGCCGCGGGCCGGGCGTCCTGGAAGACCCTGTCTGCAGAGGTAGGTGGGGTGCAGCCGCCCAGAACCCGGACTGGGACGCTGGGAAGGCACTCGACCGCCCCTTCGGGTGACCACGTGCCAGATTTCCTCATTTTCTCCTTTCAGGGCAGGTTTAGCCTGTTGATCTGGTTTTGAAGATGAGATAGCGAAAACTGAAGTCCGGTAGAACTAAGGGGCTTGAGGGTTTGGACCTTATTCTGAGGTTGTACAATGCGGGTCTATGTTTATGTAGCGAGAGTCTGCTGAAAGATGTCATAGGCTGGGGTCCCCGCTGTGAGTCGCTAAGCTAGGCGGGAGCTGTCAGGGACAGACAGTAGTGAGCGACTTCAGGACATTCATTGAGTTTCGGCTAAAAGCCTTCATGGCTAACACCGAGCATGCCTACAAGTGTTCTTTGCCATATGAATTTGTGTTTGGTTATGTGCCATGCGTTATTGCAGGGGTTACCAGCGGCATAGGCAAAGCATGGCAACACATTTTGGCGCTTGCTAATTCCTGTTCCGTTATGATTTCTTAACTGGTTTGTTAGTGTGTATTAATTAAACAGGTTCTTCGTGTAGGTCACAGACAGGCATCTCAAGATCTGTTGAAAGTTAGGGACACTGTGGTTGTCTCCCTTCCCACAACAATCTGTCAGCCCCGTGGTGGCCCAAGCCTTTAAATCCCAGACAGAGGCAGGCAAGTCTCTGAATTCGAGGCCAGCATGACCTACAAAGCAAGTTCTAGAACAGCCAGGGCTACACGGAGAAATACTGTCCTGAAAAGCCTAAATAAATAAATAAAAAACAATGGCAAGGGACTTGAGAGATGACTCAGCATGTACTGCTCTTCCAGAGGACCTGAGTTTGATTCCCAGAACCCGTATCAGACAGCTCACAGCTTCCAGCTCCAGGAGGATGCTCTGAGGCGCACACGCACGCGCACGCACGCGCACACACACACACGCACACACACACACACGCTAATTTAAAACTAAAAAAAAGATTTTGGCACGTGAGTGCCACTTGGAAGGTCGAGGCAGGAGATCAGGAGTTCAAGGCCAGCTTCAGCTACCTGGTAACAGGTGGCCAAGTGGAGCCCTCATATCCGGTGGGCATCGAGGGTTCTACAGCTCAAAAGACCTCTGAGTGCTATAATTTAAAAAGCAGAGAGAGAGAGAGATGCCATGCCACAGAGCTTGGGTGGAGGGGTTTTTATTGGGGAAAAAGTGAATGGGAAAGTGGGGTGGGGAGACAAGCCTCTGGAGACAGGAATAGAGGAAGAGAAGAGAGAAGCAGAGTTGGGGGTGATATAGAGAGACAGGCAGAGAAGCAGAGAGAGAGGGAGAGAGGGAGAGAAAGGAACAGAGAGAGAGGAGAGAAAGGAACAGAGAGAGAGAGAGATGGGAGGTGGGCAGGGCCCTTTTAAGAGGGAACACAGTGAACGGGCACAGGTGGTGCTCTTAGTGGCTGCAGCTGAGGGCGTGTCCTGTCAGACCCCAAGGACAGGTCAGTGCAGAAGCCTGGACACTAACATTGACCAGGAATGCCATTCAACAGGAAGAAGCAGCTGTTGTGTGAGTGGTTTACGTTATTTCTCTTAACCCTGTAATGGGGTGCTAGCACCCCATTATATCAATGAGGAGACCGAGGCTAGAGACAGCCAGTAAGCAGGGAAAGTTGATGGGGTCAGCCCAGGCCTTTTGTGTGATGACACACTGTCTTCGAGATTCCCGTGATGCTGGCAGAGGGCCCTTTAGCTGTAATCTCCTCCTTCCTTCCTGTGTTAAATGTGGGCAGCTTATATCTTCATCTGCCATGGATCTACATTCCTTCTTTTTACTTCACTTATCTATAGGCAAGGCCCTGGCTACCCAGGATCTTGCTATGTTCTAGGCTGGCCTCCGCCTCTGCAGTGCTGGGGCTGCAGGTGAGCATCAGGGTGCCCCAGCTGCCTCCCTGCTGTGCTTTAGGCCCCAGCTGCCTCCCCCACACCCCATGCTTGTAGCCATTTGGTAGGGCAGCATTTGCAAACAGACCTTTGATTCCTCTCTCAATCACCTCTGTCCCTGTGACCCCGTGTCTACCTGTGACCAGAATACTGCCCTCCCAGGAAAATTGAGCCGTGGCACTGGATCACAGAGCTGCTTGGCCTCCTGTGGTCTCCGTTTCTGTAGGATATGGGCTCCCAGTGTCATTAACTGAACACCTCATCTCCATGAAGTCTGTTAGCTGGTCAAAGGCATGGCTGCCATGGGGATCACCCTTTGCCACCAATCCAAGGGCACCTTAGGTGGAGACAGCTAGGGGAAGTTGAACGGGCTGGAAGGGAGCTGAGCGTATTACAGAGGGTCTTTTCGGGTCACAGAATCAGAGACGAGCGTCTGTCACGAGCGGGTCCACACACACAGCTGAGGGATGTCTCATGAGCGCTATCTTGCCCACAGGAGCTGGAGAAGCAGTATTCGCCCAGCAGGTGGGTCATCCGGATGAAGGCGGAGGACGTTGTCAACACCTTCGTAGGGACAGGAAGCCAGGGTACTGTGGGACCCCTCTGTGGATACCGTGGGGGCGCTGAGGGGCACTTGCTTACACCAGCCTCCTCAGCTGCTGGGCAGGAGGTAGGAATATAGCTGGAGGAGAAGAGGCTTGGATGAAGCCAAGCTCTAGTGAGACACACCCTCCCCCCTCCTGGTTGGCAAGGGCTTCCTTCCGGGCTGTAGAGTTGTAACCCTTGACTTGTGGGTCATGGACCCCTTTGGGTCAAATGACTCTTTCACAAAGGTTGCCCAAGACCATCAGAAATATCAGATATTCACATTAGAGTTCCTAATAGCAAAATTATAGTTATGAAGTTGCAATGAAGGTAATTTTATGGCTGGGGAAGGGGGTCACCACAACTTGAGGAACTAACTGTACTACAGGGGTCGCAGCATTAGGAAGGCTGAGAACCGATGCTCTAAAAGGGCATGTTATGGTTGGCACAGAAATGTGAGCTGAAAAAAAGAAAGAAAGCAAGATATTGTTGCTTTTTTTTTTTTTTTTTTTGAATTTTGTTTTGTTTTGTTTTGTTTTGTTTTGTTTTTTTTTTGTTTTGTTCTTCGAGACAGGATTTCTCTATGTAGCAGCCCTGGCTGTCCTGGAACTCTCTATGAACCAGGCTGGCTTCAAACTCAGTGATTCTCCTGCCTCAGCCTTCCAAGTGCTGGGATTAAAGGCATGAACCACTACCAACCAGCAGGGTTTTTTGGTTTTGGTTTTCGAGACAAGATTTCTCTGTGTAGCTTGGAGCCTGTCCAAGCTCTGAAGACCAGGCTGGCCTCGAACTCACAGAGATCCATCTACGTCTGCCTCCCAAGTGCTAGAATTGAGCCACCACCACCCGACTCAACCAGCAGTTTTTAATTTGATTGTTTTATTTTATTTTGAGGCAGAATCTTTCTGTATAGCCTAGGCTGGCCTCCAATTTACTATGTAACCCAGGCCGGCCTCGAACTTATAAACCTCTTCCCTCATCCTCCTGGGTGCTGTCACCACTGTACTCAGGCCTTATCATCGCTATGTGTAGAAGGAGGATGATGGCTGGACTGCACAGAGCCCTGGGTTCAGTTCTCAGTGAGGCACAAACCTACACTGTAGTGCACGTCTGTGATTCTCGCACAGAAGGAGGTTAGGTTCAAGGCTATCCTCGGTTATGTAGTGAATTCCAAGCCAGACTGGGGTACATGAGACCACAACTGGGAAGATCCGAAGGAAGGGAGGGAGGGAGGGAGTCCGGGGCCGGGGGCGGGGGAATTAAGCCTTGGTTTGTTTTAAAACAATCAAAGTTGGGGACTGTGTGAGTGTGTGTGAGTGTGTGTGAGTGTGTGTGTGTGTGTGTGTGTGAGAGAGAGAGAGGTCTTCTGTCAGCCCCAGAGAGCTGTGCTGTGGCTCCGACCCTTGGTGAAGCATCCATGCTGAGTGGAAATCTACTTAAAGGAGGAAGTAGGGGGTGGGGGCCGCTAGCTGTCCACTCGGAAGGGAACCTAGATGCTGGCCTACTGCCTGGTCTCGGCTGACTAACCAGAGCCCTGCGCTAGGGAGTTTCCTCCACAGAGAAAGCCGGGGGAAGATCAGGCTTGGGGGTTCGTGGGTTAATCCACACATTCTGTCCCTTTAGTGTGGGCTGGAGCTGCTCCCTGGGTTGGGCTCTAAAGGGTCTTCACTATGGCCATCTCAGTAAATACGTGGAGATGTGTGGGTCTGGAGTGAGCCCATTCACCTGTCTTGTCTAGAGGGATAAAAAGCCAGCCCAGAGGGGAAGGACATCAGCAGCCAATGGCCCGGGTTCAGAATAGCCAGTGGTTGCTCAGAAACCCGTGGTCAGCTCTCAAGGAACGCTGGCAGGGCTGTCCTGGTGGTGCACACCATTAATTCCAGCACTCAAGGCAGAACCCTATGATTTCAAGGCACTGTGGTCTAGGCTGGGAGTTCAAGGCTAGCCAGGGCTACACAGAGCGGTGTTCTAGCAGAGCTTGGGTTTCAGCTTTCTTCCTGAGGTCTTCCTCTTTGTGGCTCCCAGGCAAGCACATTTACCGATGAGTCAGACCCCCAGCCTCTAGCATTTTTAAAAAATATCTTTTTTTAAAAAAAAATTCTTTGTGTGTGTGTGTTTGGTTTTTGTTTTTTTGAGACAGGGTTTTTCTGTATAACAGCTCTGGTTAACCTGGAACTCCCTTTGTAGACCGGGCTGGCTTCGAACTCACTGAGATCTGCCTGCCTCTGCCTCCTGAGTGCTGGGGTTAAAGGTGTGCGCCAGCACCACCGCCCAGCACAGTGTCCACTTATTTAGCGTGTGTATGTATATGTGTCAGCATGCGTGCCACGTGTGCATGTGAACTCACTCTGTAGACCAGGCTGGCCTCCACCTCAGCGGTTCTCAACCTTCCTGAAGCTGCGCCCTTTAATACGGTTCCTCGTGTTACGGTGACACCACCCATAGTATTCCGTTGCTGCTTCATAGCTGTGATTGTGCACTATTGTGAATTATAATATAAATTCCCCGTATGTGACCCACCCCCCCAAAGGGGTTGCAACCCACTGGTTGAGAACCACTGTTATAGCTGCAAGCCCCTTTGCGCGCTGAGCCATCCTGCTGGCCCTTCCTAAGGACTTTTAGTGGGTGTGCAGGTGCCTGAATCCAGTCTTTCCTCAGCTCCTTCTGCAGTGCTGTTTGTGGTTGCCGTTTAAAGACTGATTTTATTTTTATTTTATGTGTATGGGTGTTTGACCTGCATGCGTGTCTGCGCACCACAGGCCTGCCTGGGCCCAGAGAGGGTGAGATTCCCTGACGCTGGAGTTGCAGGAGGTTGTGAGCCTCCTGTGGACTCTGCACTGCTCCGCACAGAGCGAGGGGAGGGTGCTCCTCTACTCCCTCCCTCCCTCCCGCCTCTGAGCTCCTCCATCTTGTTGTTCCCTACTGCTCTGCCTGTCTTCCCTGCTTCACTTGTCTGTCTGTGTGGTCATTGGATGTGACTGAAAATTCTGAGACCAAGCCTCAGTCCTCCTTCCCCACCCAAGCCTGTCAAGATGACCGTGAGTGCTCCCCTCAGTCCTCCTTCCCCACCCGAGCTTCTCAAGGATGACCGTGAGTGCTCCCCTCAGTCCTCCTTCCCCACCTGAGCTTCTCAAGGATGATCGTGAGTGCTCCCCTCAGTCCTCCTTCCCCACCCAAGCTTCTCAAGGATGACCATGAGTGCTCCCCTCAGTCCTCCTTCCCCACCTGAGCTTCTCAAGAATGACCATGAGTGCTCCCCTCAGTCCTCCTTCCCCACCTGAGCTTCTCAAGAATGACCATGAGTGCTCCCCTCAGTCCTCCTTCCCCACCCAAGCCTGTCAAGATGACCGTGAGTGCTCCCCTCAGTCCTCCTTCCCCACCTGAGCCTTCGTGAGCCCCGCCCGATCCTCCTGCCTCCACCTTTCTGTGACTACACTGCCGCTGTTGTTTTGACTATGTGCTCCCAGCATCTGTAACAAGGGCCTGCAGGTGGAGCACCTGCCCATATGCTCAAGTCCCAGAGTCCTATCCGCTGCACGTGAAAATATAAAGAGACCCTTATAGCTCATGGCTGAGGCAGTTTCTTGTTCCCAGGTCAGTGGTGATTTGAATGTCTGACATTTCTGTGTGCCAACACTCGCAGGGGCTTTGTTTCTTTTGTTCTTCAACAGAGAACAATCACGTGGTTTTAAGCAGGGCGTTGGTGGCACACGCCTTTAGTCCCAGGACTGGAGACGGAGGCAGGTGGGTCTCTGTGAGCTGGAGACCAGCCTGGTCTATAGAGTGAGTCCCAGGACAGCCCGGGTTGCACAGAGAAACCCTGTCTCAAAAAGAAAATAGAAAAGTGTGGTTTTAGCGCCAAGTAAATTTAACCCAGTCAGGTAAACTGCCAGGACTTTCAGGAAAGTTGATGGATGACCCGAGCCGAGGCACACACAGCTTTTGATGGACCCTGGTGCGGATGACCCAAGGCACTCGAAGCTCATTGGTTGGAAGCTCCTGTGCAGAGCAGACTACTGACGTAATGACAAGCACGCCCTTTGACCCAGAAGTTACACTTCCTGCCGGTGCTAGTTCCCAGGGTCAACATTGGATGCACATGGCTGCTGTCATCAGGGTGTTTTGTGACAGCCTGGGCCTGGAACCGGCCCAGAGATTTTGGTGGGCTGCAGCCCAAGGAGAGGCTCCTAGCCAGAGACCAGCAGCTGGACCTTCACCCTCCAGAACCGGGGGAGAGTGAAGTTCTGTTGTGTAAGCCCTGGGTTAGGGTGCGTTGTTATGACAGCCCAAGATAACCCATACAGGGCCAAGGATGGATCTCAGCCAAGGAGTGGCCTCATGGGATGCCCATTGTGATGGGTGCGCGCTGGCGGCCGCAGGGGTCCATGGAGGAGCAGGGACAAGACAGAGCCCACCAGGAAGTCTCAGCGCTGGTGGGTGGGGGACCCTGACTGAGCATGGGCAGTGGAGGTGTCGTGGGCAGAGCCAGGGGACACGGCCATGTGACATGTGACGGGTTGGAACAATGACTGGGCCTCTGTGTAGGATCTGTGTGACCTGTGCTTGCTGTTCGCATGAGGAAATACTTTGTTTTGATGAGAAAGAGTGTTACCATGTAGCACAGGCTGGCCTTTAAGACCCTCCTGCCTCTGCTGGCAAGATCACAGCCCAATCTCTTATTTCTTTTCTGGATATTATTCCTGGGCTCCTGGTTGTGTGTGGTCTTTGTTGACTTCAGGGCTATGAAAATCTGTTTTGCTGTCCTTCTTTTATGAGTGGGTGGGGGCAGGTATGTGTTGCGGCGTGTGTGTGTGTGTGTGTGTGTGTGTGTGTGTGTGTGTGTGTGTAGCAGAGGAAGACTTTCAGGAATTGTTTCTCTCCTGTGGGTCCCAGAGATTGAACTCAGATCTCCAGTCTTGGCGGCAAGCCCCTTGACCTGCTGAGCCGTCTCCACAGCTCCTGTGGTACTTTCTCAAAGTCTGATTTGTGTTTATCAAGTCTGGTGTTGATCTTTGCCAACCCAACACCTCTAAGAATAACGCATGCTCAGTGGGGGGGGGGGTGGCACATGCCTTTAGTCCCAGCACTCAGGAGGCAGACACAGGTGGATCTCTGTGAGTTCAAGACCAGCCTGGTCAACAAGAGCTAGTTCCAGGACAGCCTCTAAAACTACAGAGAAACCCTGTCTCTGAAAAAAAAAAAGAAAGAAAGAAATAGCACATGCTCTTACTGCCCAGCCACCTCTCCAGTCCATTTCTGTTATAAATAATAAAATAACTCCTTTTCTCCCTTTGTTTTCTTTTTCTTTTTTTTCTTTCGAGACAGGGTTTCTCTATGTAGCTCTGTAGACCAGGCTGGCCTCAAACTCACAGAGCTCCTCCTTGCCTCTGCCTCCCGAGTGCTGGGATTAAAGGCTGGGGAAGCCTCCTGCTGGGAGCTGCCTAGAATTTGCTGTACCAGGCTTAACTTGTCTGCATCCGCAGCCACCAGGAAGGCCCGGGCCACCAGGAGGAGCCAGTTGGATGTCCCCTATGGAGATGGCGAAGGGGAGAAAATGGATATCTACTTCCCCGATGAGGATTCTAAGGGTGAGATGGGCAGGGTTCCTGGTCCGGGCAGGGGCGGCGGGGCGTGCGACTCACCAGCGCCCCCTGCCTTTGCTGCAGCTTCCCCCCTCTTCCTGTTCATTCACGGAGGGTACTGGCAGAGCGGAAGGTGAGTGGGGGCGTGGCTGCCTGGAGAAGAAAGAGCTAGAGCTAACCCTCTCCCCAGGTGGGCGTTCCCAAGCTGGACCAAGCCTTACTGCAAGGTCCAGCCTGCAAGTGTGACTCTGTCTGTGGGCCAGGCAGTGAGAAGCACAGTTCCCCGGGGCCGGGGCCACCATGGAGGCTTAGCTAAGAGAGGCCCGCAGCTTCCAGCTGGGTGTTGCTGGGCTATGTCTGTGCCTGCATCTTCTGCTTTTGCCTTCACACAGTCATTGATTACTGTGTCCCAGAGCTCCTGCTCCTCATAAAGACACTATCTTAGGGTTGGACACAAGGCTCAGGAGTTACAAGCCTTCCAGAGGATCTGAGTTTGGTTACCAGCACCATACAGCTCCAGAGGAATCTGATGCCCTCTACTGGCCTCCACAGGAACTGCACTCATGTGCACAGACATACAAGTCTTTTTTGGGGGGGAGGCTTGAGATAGGGTTTCTCTGTGTATACCTGGGTGTCCTACAACTTCCTCTGTAGACCAGGCTGGCCTCAAACTCAGAGATCCTCCTGCCTCTAGCTCTCAAGTGCTGGGATTAAAGGTGTGCTCCATCACTGGCCATAAATATTTTTTGTTTTTTTAAAAGGCATTGTCTTAGGTGTAGATGTCCCTGTCCCTAATTAGGTGATCTCAAGATCAATTTTAAGTTGGCAGGATGGTTTAGTGGATAAAGGTGCTGGCTATGCAAGCCTGGTAACCTGAGTTCAATATCTGGACCCACATAAAGGTGGGAGTGGAGGATGAACTCCACAGAGCTGGCTTCTGACTTCCATATGCACTGTGACACATGCTGGGTGACATGTGCACCATGCAACACATGCATCGTGCACACACACATATACTAATAAAATACCAAAACTTCTATGTGTGCTTATATGTATGTGCACCATGTGCATGCAGTGCCCAAGGAGGCCAGAAGGGGGCGTCAGACCTCCTAGAACTGGAATTACAAACAGTTGTGGGCTGCCATGTGGTTCCTGGAACCGAATGCAGGTTCTCTGGAAGAGCAGCCAGTGCTCTTCACTGCTGAGCCGTCTCTCCAGCCTGCCTGCCAAGATTACCAGTTCTGTCTACAGAGATTCTAATTCCCGGTAACGTCACATCCAGGGCTCTTGGGTGCAGGATTTGGACATACATTTTCAGGAAATAGAATTCAAGTCTCTGGACTTGTGTGTTTGACCATCTTGCTTGTCAAAGGCACATCAGAGTGACCAGCTACACAGGTTTGTTTGGGGCCACGGGGATGTGGAGTGTTCAGTGCTTTGGAAAGTAAGAGCGGGAAGCTGAGGCAGGAGGATTACTGCGAGTCTGAGGCAAGCCTTGTCTCAGAAGACACAGAACAAGAACTTGGGGTGTAACCGTGAGGTCTGTAGAAAGCCTGTGGTGTGCGGCAAACCCTGTGTTCCATCGTCAGCACTGGATCAAACTGTGTGATGGCACGTACCGGCGACCCCAGCAGTCGGCCAGCCTGGGATACATGTTTACACGCAGTGCGGTGTGTACACAGTTGGTGTCTGTGCGTTGGGAAGAAGGCTGCTTGGATCTTGGAGGACTGGGCTACAGCTTCAGATGCCCATCATCAGATCTGCCCCGCCCCTCCAGCATGCATGCCTTTTTATTTTTTTTCACTTTTACCCTTCAGCTCTTACAGCTCGCTAAGCGGGGGAACACCGTCTCGATTTTCCTTCGGAGGGGGCCAGCCTGGAGGTTAAGTCCCCAAGCTCCTGTGGCCAGCATGAGTGTGTCCAGGACTTCCAGAAACGGCGTCTTGGTCAAGATGCCTCCAACTGTCACTTTCTCTCTTTTTATGTTGTTTGGGCTTTTTTTGGTTTGTTTGTTTGTTTTTTGTTTTGTTTTTTTTTTTTTTGTTTTGAGTCTGGGTCTCATGTAGCCGAGGCTAGCCTCAGACTCACTAAGTAGCTGAAGATGATGCTGGACTCCTGGTCCTCCCGCCTGTCCTTCCCAAGTGTGGCATTACAAGCTCCCTAGCATTATTATTATTGTTGTTGTTATTGTTATTTATGTACGAGTGTTTTCCTGCATATATGTATGTGCACCACATGCATGCCTAGTGCATGCTGAGCTAGAAGAGGAACTGGAGTTACCAATGCGTGCACCTCCATATGGGAACTGGGGGTTAGACCTTAGTCCTGGAAGAGCAGCCAGCTCTCCAGCCCGCCTCTTTGTCTTTCCACAGTAAAGATGACTCGGCCTTCATGGTGAACCCGCTGACAGCTCAGGGGGTGGTCGTGGCAATAGTGGCTTATGACATTGCACCCAGAGGTAACCTCTGAAGATTTGGGGGCCGAGCGTTGTGAGGGTAGAGCCCCCGACGGATGCTGACCCAGCTTTGCCTCTGCTCAGGCACACTGGACCTGATGCGGGACCAGGTGGCCCGCAGCCTCGTGTTTCTGCAGAGGCGGTATCCAAGCAACAAGTAGGTGTAGCCTAGCCCTGATGCTCTTGGTGGAGGGAGGAGGGGAGCCGGATGCAGGCAGGCACTCCAGGTGCTGTAGGGAAGTGGGTGTAACCCAGCTCTCTGCCTGGCCCAGGGGAATCTACCTCTGTGGACACTCTGCAGGGGCTCACCTGGCTGCCATGATGCTCCTTGCCAGTTGGACCAAGCATGGTGTCACGCCAAACCTCCAAGGTCTCTTATTGTTTGTCGTAACAGGACCTCAGGTAGCCCAGGCTGGTGTCCGGTCCTTAAGGTTTCTGTGTGTCTGGGGCCTGACCGGGCAGCTCTTCCCCTCTCTGGAGGGGTGGAGGGTTGGGCAGCTGGTTGAAAGGCTGGTGGCTGGGGTGCTGACCTGTGGATAGGGAGGTCCATCTTGCTGGGCCTGGCCCCTGGCCTGATCTCATCTTCACAGGCTTTCTCCTGGTGAGTGGGATCTACGACCTGGAGCCCCTCATGCATACCTCCCAGAATGCCCCTCTGCACATGGCCCTGTGAGTTGTCTACCCTCTCCCCATCTCCAGCCCCCTCCTGAGGCCTCCCTCCCCTCTGTCCTGACTCCTCCATTCTCCCGTCCCCCCCCCCCCCAGGGAAGATGCTCAGAGAAACAGCCCACAGCGATGCTTGGAAGTGACTCCAGCAAGGCCCGTGGGTCCGGCCTGTCCTGTGTTGGTGGTTGTGGGTCAGTATGACTCCCCAGAATTCCACCGACAATCCAGGGAGTTCTATGAGGTACTGCCAATGGCTAGCTTATGGCGCCTGGTTGAGGGTCATTTGATCTCATCCTCCTCGTTACTCTGCCCATAGGAGCTGGACTTGGTAGTACACCAAGTAATGCCAGTTACTCCGAGTGAGTCAAGAGGGCCGTGAGGTCAGGGTGTGCTGTAAAGTTAGTTCAAGGCCAGCCTAAGTAACTTAGTAAGACCCTGTTTCAAAATTTAAAAGGACAGGAAATATGTTTCTTGGTGGTAACATACTTGCTAAGCATGAGCAATGCCCTGGTGCGATCCCCAGGGCTATAATAAGTGGACATCTTTTTGTCTAACTGGACTCCAAGATGGTCATTCATTCATTCATTCATTCATTCATTCAACAAATGCATTTCAAATGAGCCTGCCACACACGGGACCAAGAGCCCCACCTTCTCCCCCAGCTGCTCTCTCACGCCTCCCCCTCCCCCTCCCCTTTCTTGCCAGACTCTGCACCGAGTAGGACTGAAGGCCTCTTTCCAGGAGCTGCCTGGTGTGGATCACTTTGACATCATAGAGAATCTGACCCGAGAGGATGATATACTCACCCAGGTAGGGCTCAGTACAGCCCTCCTGAGGTGGAGCATGTGGGTGCTGTTGCCCTGATACATGGAGGGGCTGGCTTACCTCAGCATCCCGTAGGTTGAAGCCCCTGGCCCCTGACACAGGAAGCAAATGCATCCTGGACTCTCTGTAGCCCACCTTCTCCCCTCAGTGTGGAGGGATCTGCCAGGTGGGAACTACACATGGCCGTGGCCAGGGTGACGAGGGGCAGAGGGGTCAAAGGCGGCACCACCAGGCCGGGCTGTCCCAGATGCTTTTACATTGGGTAGCCATCCAGCCTCCCATCTTCTCCTTTAAAAATAAATAAATACATACATACATAATTTTATTTTATTTTCTGTGCATTGGTGTGGGAGTCAGATCCCCCGGAACTGGACTTAGACAGTTGTGAGCTGCCATGTGGGTGCTGGGAATTGAATGCGGGTTCTTTGGAAGAGCAGCCAGTGCTCGTAAACTTCCCAGCCATTTCTCCAGCCCCATCTTCTCTGTTTACTGCAGATCATTTTGAAAACAATCTTCTTGTCACTCTGAGGACACCTGGTCTCCAGCCTGTGTGCGCCTCAGAAAACCTCCAGAAGAGGTGACTGCCAGCTCACACTGGCCTGTCTGTCCAGGAGGTACACGCCCTGCTGTGAACCCCCTCCTCTTCTCCCCACCCGGATGGAGCTCCCGGGGAGGCCTGCACATTGGCACTGAGGCCTGCACACAGCTGCCAGCCCTCCTGCTGACGGGGCGTGGCAGTCAGCTTCCAGCTTGCTTTCTGTGCATTTTGCTGTATCAATGTGGACTGGCTGAGGCTGGAACTGTCATTCAGCCCCTATCTCCCTCTACAAAAGAGGGTGGGGTCGGGAGAAGGAATGGAGAAATAAGAGATCAGCCAGCTCAAGGGTAGAATGCTTGACCAGCATGCATGGGATCCTGGGTTCAATCCCTGGTATTGTCAAGGAAAAAATGAAGGAAAGGGGTACAAAGGAGACCGAGAGATAATCACGCCCAGTATGGCGGCATACACCTGAGTCCCAGCACGAGAGCAGGATTGCTTGAGAGCTATATAGCATGACCGTGTCTCAAAGAAAAAGGTCTGGTGAGGTGGCTTAGCAGGTCAGAGAGCTTGGCACCAAGTCTGACAACCTGTTTGAGATGGGGACCCATATGGAAGGAAACCACCAAGTGCCCCAGATTACCCTTTGACTGTCATGTATGTGTATACCTTAGCAAACACACGATGGTGATGGTAATAAAAGCCCATGCATGTACCTGCTGTGCAAACGGACACAGGGATTTACTTAGAACTGCAGCCTCCGGCAGAGACCACCTGCACAAAAACACCCATGTGGGCCAGGCTCACCCCTCCCCCTGTAGCCACTGGTCCTCCCAAAGCCCAAACTGGGCATGCACATGGTGGAGCACCCCTGGAGCCCTAGAGGCAGGAGGGCCTGTGGACCCAGGAAGGGCTCTTTAGCACACATCAAATTTTTACTCTGGTTCTGTCTGTCTGGTTTGCTTTTCTGTTGCTGTGATAAACGCCGTGACCAAAAGCACCTTGGGAAGGAGAGGGCTCATTTCCTCTTCCAGCTCAGTCCACCATTGCAGGAAGCCAAGGCAAGCACTCGGAGCAGAAGCGAGCAGAGGCAGACTGCTGTCCTGTTCCCAGACTCATGTCCATGTCCTCTTTTACATTCCAGAGGCACCTAGGGATGACTCTGCCCACGGTGGTCTGGACCCTCTTAAATGAATTAGCAGTTAAGACGGAATCCGACAAACATGGCGACAGGCCATTCCGGTGGAGGCGAGGCCTCAACTCAGTTTGTCTACCCAGGTGCATGTCTAGGTTGGTGTGAGGTTGACAGCTGATGCTGAGTGGCATCTCGAACCCTGACTATTTTAGGAAACTGTAAACCCACACTCCCATGGTCCCCTTTCTCACCTGTCCCTGCCACAGGAGGCTCATTAGACTGGCATCTGCATGCTCATAGCTCATTCCCTTGCTGGGCAGAGGAGCTAAGCCTCTGTTGCCGTTTATCACCCCTTGGGGACCATGCCACCAGCTGCCCCTCACTATTTACTTCCAGTTCTGCCCGTCCTTGTTCGACTTTTCCTGAGGTGATATGAACAGATATCTCCTCACCCCAGAAAGGGCACCAACAACAGACCAAAGATGATTCCACCAAGTTCAGCGACCCAGTGAGTTTAGCACTTACTGACAGGAGCACAGGTAACCTGAAAAGCCCTTGCTTCATGGTGGTAACTCAGGGAACTTCATTCCTGGGGCTACTGCATGTGGTTAGGTCTGCTCTCGGTTTTACTGCTTCTATAAGCTTGGAGCTAAGCCTGGTAGCTCCTGTGTGTTTCTTTTGAGCCGAGCCTTGTGGGATCCAGCATGGGTGCTGGGATGGAACTCATCCCCTGGAAGAACAGGAAGTGCTCTTAACTGTTGCATCATCTCTCCAGCCACCCCAGGTAGGCAGGGCTAAGCCAGGATACTGGGGAGGTCAGATCCATTAAATGCATCTTTGACTTGGCATAACTTCGGTTCACAGGGGGTTTGTTGGAACAGAGCCCCATCCTAAGTCACCGAGCACATGAACATCTGAGTGCCACTCACCACGAGGCCACTGGAGGATCAACATGTATCGCATAGAAAATCAAGATGGTGGTGGCTCACGCCTTTAATCCCAGCCCTTGGGAGGCAGAGGCAGGCGGATGTCTGTGAGTTTGATGCCAGCTGGACTACAGAGCAAATTCCAGGACAGCCAGGCTACACAAGAAAAAAAAAAATCAAGATCTGAGATCTGGTTCTTAGCAATAGAAGGCAAGATGCTCAACCACATAATACAGAACAGTCTCAGAATGCCATACATGAGGCCACAAAATCCACGGGCTTCTGCTTTGTTTATTTGTGGCTTTGAGACAGTTTCACTCTGTAGCCCTGACTGGCCTGGGACTCATAGGTGGACCAGGATGGATCAAACTCCCAGGGATCAGCTTGCCTCTGTCTTTATGGGACTAAAGGAGCACACTGCCTGCATGCATTTCTGTATGGACACAGAGCAATGAATAGAAAGGGAAAAGTCAGACAGATCCACACGGCAGGTTTCTGGTGCTGTGTGGAGGGCGCGGTGCTAGGAAGACATGGCGGTTGTTTACGTGGTCCAGAGCCTTTGACTTTGCAGTCAGAATTTAAGAGGACTGAGGGCCTCAGCGAAGTCTGAATTAGGAAAATTAAAATTCTCAGAAATCTCTTTGGATGCTGGGACACTGGAATGTCATGGCTGTGACCAGAATGCACTCTGGAGTTGCAAAGGAAGGTGACTCACAAGCCACAGGCTCTCCCTGAATGTTTGCAACACATGCCTGGGTATTGCTCACCTGGGCTGGGAGTTGCACCGTAGGCTGTCCCCGAAGACAGGCGAGAGCAAAGGGATGCATAGACATTTATATAAGTGTGTGACAGAGAAAAGGGCTGGGAACATGGTTCCCGGCAACCCAGCAGACAGGCAGAGGCGGGAAGAGAGTAGTAAGTTCAACATAGTGAGTTTAGGCCGTTCAGGGCTCCCTAGAAAAACTCTCAAAACTCCCAGAAGGGCTGGCAATATGGCTCAGCAGGTGAAAGCAATTGCTGAACAAGCCTGGCCATTTGAACCTGATCCCTGGATCCCACGAAGGGGAGAACCAACTCTCAAAACTTGTCCTCTGACCTCCACACAGGTGCCCTGGCCCTTCACGTGCACTTGGGAGTGTGGGGGGTTTGGTGTTGTTTGAAAGCTTTGGTTTTTTTAGGGGTGAGGCCCCACTGAATTGCTCTCTGATTCTGCCTGGGAAGCCAGGGCCTGTCTTGGGTCTCTCTGGTTGCCTAGCATTCAGTATCTGCTTGTTGATTAACTCCAGGATCTGGTTCACTTGGACTCAGGAACCTTCCAGTGAGTCTCCACTTACTTGTCAAATAACCTGGCTAGAGCAAGAACAGGTAAGTCAACAGCAGATGGCTGTGGAGACAGTTTCCATTCTACAAGCGACTTTGACCAAACCAGGAAGCTTGAAGCTGGTTACTGAATAATCAGGGTGGAGTGGGGAAGCCTAATCAGACCGTGACATCACAAACCTTTTCACAGGGCTTTCACTGACACATTTTTCCAGGGAAGTCAAGGCTTCAACAGCAAACAAAAAATCCAAATAGGCCGGGCGATGGTGGTGGCGCATTCCTTTAATCCCAGCCCACACACTCAGGAGGCAGAGGCCAGCCTGGTCTACAGAGTGAGCTCCAGGACAGCCAGGGCTACACAGAGAAACCCTGTCTTGAAAAACAAAACCAAACTAAAAGTCACCCTGGAATAGGGCTGGAGCCACTGCTCGGCGGGGAAGAGCATGGCTGCTCTCGCAGAGGGCCTGGATCAGTTCCCAGCATTCACATGGCGGCTCACAACGGTCTAATAACTCTCATTCCAGGGGGAGCCGACACCCTCTTCTGGCCCCTGTGTAGGCAAACTATGTAGGCAAAACACCTATACACACAAAAATGGTCTAAAAAGAAAGGAGGCCTGGCTAGCAAGAGTTGCTTAACTGTAGAAGAGTTGAGGAAGCCAGCGGTGGTGTCCCATGATGCCAGCACTCAGGAGGCCCAGGCAGGCATTTCTCTAACTTCGAGGCCAGCCTGGTCTACAAAAAACAAAAGTTAGTGAGCATCTTTGGGGTGGATACAAATTACAAGCCACTCAGCTGTTTTACACTCCCAAGTGAGTGACGATTCAAAATGCTTTGTCCTCACACTTTTGTGACACTATGCAATGCTTTTAGAAAACAGGGACTCTGGGGACATCAAACAAAGTGGCCTGACCAACAGAGCCAACACAACCTTGTCCTTTCACCTGACCCCCGATGCCCGTCTGTTAGTCTGTTTTCCTTTTCCAGCGGTCTCACAAAACTCCTCAGTTTTCTTATGAATAAGCTGAGAAATAAATCCAGCCTGCCAGCTTCTTTCTCAACCCAAACTGGTGGCTATTGGCAAATAATAAACTCATCAGGAACAGTAAAACTGCACGTGGCAAATACTGTGGGACAATTTTTGTACCCTGTAAATTTGTATCGATCTCATTGTTAATAAAAAGCTGATTGGCCCTATGGCTAGGCAGGATTTGGGGGGCAGAGAGAATGCTGGGAAGAAGGGCGGAGTCAGAGGAGTCACCAGCCGGATGGAAAGGGACAGACTGGACATGCAGGAGAGGTGTAAACACACAAGCCTCGTGACAGCACACACATGAACAGGAATGGGTTAATTTAAGTTGTAACCCCAGTTAGGAACAAGCCTGAGCTATCAGCTGAGCATTTATATCAATAATAAAGTCTCTGAGTGGTTATTTAGTAAGCAGCTGGTAGAACAGAGCCGATCCAGGTTCCGATGAAAAACTCCGTGTACAGACAAATGCTTTACTAAGTATAAAATTCAAGAAATTCAGATTGTGGCCAGGTGGTGGTGGCTCACACCTTTAATCCCTGTACCTGGGAGACAGAGGCGGGTGGATCTCTGTGAGTTCAATGCCAGCCTGGTCTAGAGAGAGTTCCAGGACAGCCAGAGCTGTAACACAGCAACCTTGTCTAAAGAAAACAAAAACCAACCAAACAACAAAACAAAACTAAACTAAAGCAAAACACACGCACAGAAGGAAAGCATGACCACAGAAGAAATAGAGAGGGCTGGAGGCACACTTCAGTGGCTAAGAGCACGCACTGCTTTCCCAGAGAACCCTGTTGAGTTCCTAGCACTCACACAACTCAAAACCATTTGTAATCTGTTTCAGGGAGTCACAATACTTCTGGCCTCCACGGGCAACAGGTACCCATGCATACATACATACATGCAAGCAAAAATATTCATACACATATATTTTGTAACAAAAAGAAAGAAAAAAATGTAGGAGCTGGTGAGCCATCTTCTAAATTTTTTCCCCAGAAACTTATTTTTTAAATTACATTCTTTTTCATGCCCATCTACAGAATGTCCTCTTGAGCCAGGTGGAGGTGGCACACACCTTTAGTCCCAGCACTTGGGAGGCAGAAACAGGCGGATCTCTGTGAGTTCGAGGCCAGGCTGGGCTACAGAGTGAATTCCAGGACGGGCTCCAAAGCTACTAAGAAAGCCTGTCTAAAAAAAAAAAAAAAAAAAAAAAAAAAAATCAAAAGAAAAGAATGTCCTTTTGTTGTTGGGAACATGGGTGGACAACTTTTTCGTTGTAGAAGATTGTCATTTATTTTGTGAGTCTTGCTGGCCTCACCAACATGTCCCCTTCATGTCTTTTTTTTTTTTAAGATTTATTTATTTGTATGTACACAGTGTTCTGCCTCTGCCTGCATGTATGCCTGCAGGCCAGAAGAGGGCAGCAGATCGCATTACGGATGGTTATGAGTCATCATTTAGTTGCTGGGAATGAACTCAGGACATCTAGAAGTCCAGCCAGGACCAAGGATGCAGCACTTAGGAGTCTGAAGCAGGAGGGGGTGGGGTGGGGCATAAAACATAGAACCTATCTGTCTTAGTTAGGACTACTATCACTATGATGAAACTGCATAGTCTGTCCTGAAGGAAGTCAAGACAGGAACTCAAACAGGGCAGGAACCTGGAGGCAGGAGCTGATGCAGACGCCATGGAGGGTGCTGCTCACTGGCTTGCTTCCCCTGATTTCTTACAGAATTCAGAATCACCAGGCCAGGGATGGCCCCACCCACGATGGGCGGGCCCCTCCCACATAAAAATCACTAATTAAGAAAATGTTCTACAGGCTTGCCTACAGCCCAATCTTATGGAGGCGTTTTCTCAATCAGGGCTTCCTCCTCTTAGATGACTCTAGCCTGTGTCAAGTTAACATAAAATTAGCCAGCTCACTTACTGTGCTGAGGAACCAAAAGACTAAAATCCCTACTGTAACTACTGTTGGGCAGAAGAGGAATCTTAGCTGTCCCGTGCAGGGCTGGCTCGAGACAACTTAAGATTGGAGTCACAGTACATGCAACTGTTGCCATTCCGAATGTTTTCAAGAGTATGGATAATACAGCAGGGCCTGAGGCCTTTGAAAAAACGGGGACATGGCCTCTCCAAGGTATGGTTGAGGAGGAAGGTTTCACTGTAGATATGAGGAAGAGAACAGCCAGAGACCTCTGAAGAGCCCAGATTGAACCTGGCCATGAACAGAGAAGGAGAGCGGGCAAGAGAGGGTTAGGGCACCAAGAGAGGAACAGAGGGCCTAGGGCCAAGAGAGGGAGGGGAGGGGAAGCGAAGCTCCCTGGGTTTAGGGGTAGGGAGGGTGAGAAGGGCTGGCCGGAGCCACGGGCGCTACAGGTCCCGGTCGTGCCCATGGGGTCCTGTGCTAACACAGTCTGTGATGTGAGGCGAGCTGGCCCACATCATGGACTCGCTGCGGTGGCGAATGGACGCTTCTCTTCAGTCTGAGCCGAGCCGATGGCCTCAGACATCGATTTTCGATTCCCCGCTCTGAGACATATTAGAATCTGGGACTCACTACCCTCCTGCCTCAGCCTCCGGGTGCTGGGATTAGAAGAGCCGCACTTCTACACCATCACTTACTACAGGAACCACAGACACCACGGTGTCTACAGGAAGGATGGCGTGGTGGCTGCAGGGCGCAGGGTCCCCAAGCCAGCGTGCGAGTGGACTTCCGTCCCGTAAGACCTGGGTGGGGCTGAGGACACATCTAACCACCCCGGGGGACCTGCAAACAGCAAAGCCGGCTGCAGGAAGGGAAGCTCGCAGAGCAGACGGGCACTGCAGCCGAGAGGACCACAACTCCCAGCACGCCTCGCGCGCGCCACTCCCAGAAGGCCACGCGCGGGGGCCTCGTGGGGCGGGGCCTTCCCGGCTCCCCTCGCGCCGTCCACGCCTGGCTGGCGGCTCGGGGCCCCGCAGGGGGCGTGGTCTGGGCGGCGCTCTTGTCACCGCCCACTCCCAGAGGGCCGCGGGGGCGGGGCGCTCCCGGCATGCTCTACGGCCCGCCGCCGCCCGCGGGTTTTGAATCGCGCTCGCAGGCGTCTCGGCGGCCGTTCGCGGCGGCAGCGGCGTCATGGGGGCCCCGGCTCTGCCCCCGACCTGGCAGCTGTACCTCACGGACCACCGCATCTCCACCTTCAAGAACTGGCCCTTCCTGGAGGGCTGCTCCTGCACCCCGGAGCGGGTGAGCCGCCCCAGCCTTGCAGCCCGGGCCCGCCAGCCCCCACGCTCGCCCCGCGCTGCGAGCTGGCGACGCTGCTTTGCGCTGCCCGGGACGCGCAGAGACGGCATCGTCCCCGCCCTTCGCTAAGGCTGTTAGCCCGGTACACGCCACCTCTCCCCACTGTCCCCGAAGAGCCGCCGCCCCAGCTCCCGGCCCGGCCCGGCCCGGAACGACTCTTGCTTGGGAGGGGTAGAGTCAAAACCAGGCTGATGGGTGATTCTGCTCACGAGCTGTGCTCTCCTTTTCAGATGGCGGAAGCCGGCTTCATCCACTGCCCCACCGAGAATGAGCCTGACTTGGCCCAGTGTTTTTTCTGCTTTAAGGAGTTGGAAGGCTGGGAGCCGGATGACGACCCTATGTGAGTCCCTGCAGGCTGCTCTCAGTGGGTTTCCTGGTGCCCCGGTTCCATTGGGAACTTTTTGGGTTGAACTGGAGTTGGGGGAGGAGAAAAAAAAAATTTGAATTTAGTAGAAGAGCATGACCTTCCTAACTTGGTATGTGTCCCAGGCTGTCCTTGAATTTGTTATATAGCTAATACTAGTCTTGAATTCTCAATACCTGCCTCATTTCCCTAGGGCTGCCAGCTGGCATGGTTTTGCCTGAGGCATTTGTTTTGATTTTTGTTTGTTTAACATGGGTTTCTCTGTGTAGCTCTATTTGTTCAAGAACTCCCTCTGTAGACCAGGCTGGCCTCAAACGCAGAGATTTGCCGTCCTCTGCCTCCCAAGTGCTGGTATTAGTGGCGTGGGGCACCTTCCACGTTGCCTGCCTGAAATATTTTAAAGTTCAGGGTTTTCTTCTTGTTCTGGTTAGTATGCACATGCGTGTGTTCGTTTCTGCCATGGGTGTGGGTGTTGGATCCTTAGGAGCTGAAATTATGGGCAGTTACGAGGTTCCTGATGTGGGGGTGCTTGGGTCCTGGTACAGCAGGGACTCTTTAACTTTGTCCCATCTCCAGCCACAGAACTTTTTATATTATCGTTTCTTTATGTCTTATTTTGTGTGTCTTTGGATGTGGGTGTCCTGGTGGGTGTGGCTGTCAGGACTGTGGGGAGTCAGTTCCCTCCGCCTACTGTGTGGGTCCCTGGGATTGGACTCAGGTGATCCAGTTTGGTAGCAAGCATCCTCACCTGCTGAGCCATTTCCTCGGCCCAGTTTTTAAGAGAACTTGAAATGCAATTCCTCTGAATGTGTTTTCTATTTAAAGTTTCTGTGTTTCACCTGCATGTATGTCTGTGCACTGTGTGCATGCCTGGTTCCTTCAGAGGGCATCCAGTCCCCTGGAACTGGAGTTGCAGATGGTGGGAGCTGGTGTGGGTGTAGAAGGGGGCTTGCTCCGGGACCCTGGATTAGCACAAACCACACCCAAACACCTGTTCCCACAGAGAGGTCCTTTATTAAGCAGGGGAGGAAAGTTACAGTGGCTGCTTTCTGACTCAGGCAGAAATCAGCAGCAAATGACCTTGCAGGTGTCATTTTAAGAAGAGAAGGCGGGATCACCTGTGTGGAATGGGCTGTGGTGGCAGAGGGGATAGAAGACAAGGGGGGAGGGAAAGGGACAAGGGAAAGTGGGTGGGGTATTTGTTTCTAGAGAGCCAGGAGACAGACATGACCCTTAGGCAAACAGCATTTATAAAGGTAAAAGGGGAAAGCCCAAGGTAAGATGAGGTGTTTAATTTTAATTGGACATGTTAATTAGGTGAAAAAAGGGGGCTTCTGATTGCTGGATTGTAATACTTTGACCTTGGCAGTCAGCCTCAGGGGGAGGAAGTGTCCAAATGAGGGAATGGACTTTGGTGGCTAGCTTTAGAAATGTAATCTAATGGTTTTTAGCAAGGCAGAGGGAATGGGAGAGACGGGCAAGGCCTGACAGAGCCCTGTTTGCCCGAGCCCAGGCTGGCTGGAGTCCCTTCAGGTGCTAGGACCCAAACCTGGGTTCTGTGGGAGAGCAGCTGTGTTCTTACCCACGGAGCCATTTCTTTGGCTCTTCCTTGTTGATTGCTACAGGGCTTGAGAAAAATATCCAGCCATCAGGGTGGGGAAGACAGCAGAGACAAGCTGGGCTGTGTGGAGCTGATGCCTTGCTCTTGATGCAGAGCAGGGTGTGCCAAAGACAGCCATGGTGCTGAGAGGCGGCTGTTGGTGATGCCATGCTGGTTTATTGGTTTTTCCAGGAAGGAGCATAAGAAGCACTCGCCTGGGTGTGCCTTCCTTACTGTCAAGAAGCAGTCTGCAGAGCTGACCCTCAGTGAATTTTTGAAACTGGACAAGGAAAGAGCCAAGAACAAAATTGTATGTATTACCGAGAATAAGGACTGAGAGCAAACCCAGTCCCCCAGAAGCCCCCGAGGGTCTGCCTCAGGGAGTGCTCCCGACCCTGGGGAGCTTGTGGGGTCCAGGACACACAGAAGTGACCTGGGGTATGGTCCTGGGGTCATGCAGTCAGAAGAGCTGTCCCCTCAGGAACCGTCTCACCTGAGTGGGGACCACTGTGGGAAGCCCTTGGCACAGGCCGGTCCTGCTGTGATGGCAGCAGTGTGGGTGGAGATTTGGAAACGTGTAGTAGGCAAGCATTGGCTAGGGCGGGCAGAAGCAGAGGTCCATCCGGACTTAGCCTCTTGTCCATTCACATGGGGTTCATTGGGACAGCAGGGCCATCCACGGTGAGTCCACAAGGAGGTGGCTCCCATGTGGACAAGCTAGAAGGGTTAGGTGGGCCGGAGGCTAGCGCTCACAGCAAACGTGGCCACACATTTTTCATGGTTATTTATTCACTGCAGTCGTTTGTTTATCTGAAGCTCAAACGTAAGCAGGTAGCCTGTATTCTTACGTGGTACACTTGGCAACCTTTCAGGAGGAAGATTCTGGGAGGGGGCTTACTGGCAAAACACTGAGAAGGAGCCAGACACACTGCTGTGTCCCTGACACCTGAAGGCTGGGCTCCAGCTGGCCCCAGTGTTCTGTGTTTCTCCTCAGCTTGTGAGCTATGATCCTTGGTGCAGGTTCTTAGAGATAACTGATGTTAGACACTGAGGATGACGGCTTGTTGTCAGGAGAGCTGAAGCAAGCCTTGGATGGAGCATGCTCAGACACTCTGGGGTTGGTGAGGGAGTGTGGGCAGTGCTGTGATATTCCTTTTTGTTACTGAATTTTTTTTTTTTTTAAAGCAGAATTGGGTTTAATAAAGGTACTTAATACAAGTTTGGGCGCAGAGTCCAGGGAAAGGCACTCAGAAGGAAAGACACACCACCCAGTGTGCCTCACTTTGGAGCATTCCTCTAGACTCACCGATGTTTTAAGCCTTCGCCATGCACCCGGCCGCACTGGGACACACTGTGTAGACCAGGCTGGCCTCAGACTCAGACACCCATCTGACTGTCTCCCGAGTGCTGGGACTAAAGGCGTGCACTGGCATTTACTTGTACTTTATTGTATGTGTGTGGCATGTTTTGCTTGTGGAGGACAGAAGAGGACATTGGACCCCCTAGAACCAGAGCTGCCTATGTTGTGAGTCACCATGTGGGTGCTGGGAATCAAACCCAAGTCCTCTGGAAGAGCAGCCAGTGCCCTTAACAGCTGAGCCATCTCCTGCTGCCTGGATGTTTTCTAGGCTGTGGGGCTGTGGCTCTGTGGCTCTGTGGGGTGCATAAGATGTCTTTAACCCTGGCTTGGTGGCATAGAGTATAGTCCATTTGGTTGGCCGAGGGAGGGGCATTATAAGTTAAAGGCTACCCTGGGCAGCATGAGTTCCTATTTCTAAAAAAAAAAAAAGTTGGGGATATTTGCTTATTATGCATAAGGCCCTAGGTTCAGTTTCGAGCTATACACAAATAGTCATTTTCGTTTCATGAATTACTGTAGTTATTTTGTCACACTGGTAATGGAACGAGGGCCTCACTCTTGCTAGGCAAGCCCCTCTAGGCCACACCCCAGCCCCAATGTATCCTTCCGTTACTCTAGGCAAAGGAGACCAACAGCAAGCAGAAAGAATTTGAAGAAACCGCGAAGACAGTCCGCCACTCCATTGAGCAGCTGGTTGCCTTGAAGTGAGCCTTTGCCGGGATGACTGGACCTGAGTGACGTGCCACATTTAAGCCACGTGTCCCAGCTTTGCCAGCCTGGGCCTCTTAGCAGTGTCTTAACAAAGAAATAATGGTATTTTGAAACTGGATGTCAAATATTATTTTTGTCTTCACTTGGATGTGGCTCAGCCTGGGTGCCTACCTCTCCTGGTTTTGTGGGTTTGCTCTGTTGTGACCTGGACTGAGGGAGTGAGTGGCAGTGCCCAGTGGCAGAGCCTATGGGGTGGGGGTTGTGTGTTCACGGTCTTTCTGGTCTCCATACCAGTAGCTGATGCACCGGTGCCCTGTAGGTGTGGTTATGTGTTATGTGTCCTCTGATGTGAGTCTCCTACCGCAGGATGAGGGAATAAAATCACTTAAACAGTGGATTGCAAGCTTCCCCTGTCTGAGGGAAATGGTTTGTGTGTTTGGTTTTTTGAGACAGGGTGAACTGCCGCCCCCACCTCTCAGGTACTGAGACACTGGCTGATTTCACTGCACCTGGTGCCGTTTGTTTTATGTTCCAAGGTCATAAGCTGGGTGGCATCAAGCGTCAATCCCAGCATGAGCTGCGGATTGACCCGTGGTAAGAAGGCACTGGGATCGCAGCATGACTCACAGGGGGCAGGATTTTCTTTTCCTAACAATCCCTGCAAGGCAGGTGTGATGGACATACTGTCAACTTGGCATGTCTAGAATCACCCAGGAGATGGGCCTTTGGGAGTTGCTTTGGTCACGTTAATTGGTGTGGGATGCTGGGCTGTGTAAATTGAGGGTGAGTGTCAGCGCTCATTGTTCCCATTCCTCACTGACAACTGCTTCCTGACTGCTGTCCTGAGGTCAGCCTGGACCATAGGACACCCTGCTCAAACCAACCATGTGACCATTCTCCAGGCACACTTTGCTGTGACTGAAACGGTAGAGTTAAGGCAGACAGGTACAGACTTCACAGTTGTGCATATTCCATGCAGACCATGCTAATAAAATTATTCTCAAGCATCTTTAGCCAGAGGCCCGGTTTGCTCTGTCCCTGCCTGGGTTCCCAGCCTCACTGACTCCAGGGGATCAGCTGCTGGGGATCAGCACAGAAAGCCAGGAAGACTTTCAGAACCCCGGAGGACACAAAGCAGTGGTAGAAACGACAGCCCAGGTGGCCTGCAGAGGCTTCCAGCCTGCAGCTTAGCTTCGGGAAGAGCACCAGCAAACTAAACCAGCCATCTCGGGTTAGGGCTTTGCTTCTGCAACAGCACAGCAAGGCCCAGACACCTAATCCTCCACTTGAATGGTACAAGGCATCTGTGCTCACTTAGATGGCTGCTGGGCAGCTATTTTAGGAGATGCTCTGCATGTCTTGGACTTGACTCTCTCCAGAACCACCTAACAGATTCTGGTGGCCTCCCTGAGGGCTTGGGGCAGCTTTGCATTGGTAATTCAAGGACAGTAAGGGAACGGTGATACATGTTAAGAGCTGGTCTCTATTTCCACCTCACCACGCGGAAATCAGGAGTTAGAGATCAGAGCCAGCACATGGGTGAGAGCTCAAGGCCATGGGCAAGCACCAAGTGGACATCTGAGCCCAGGTGGGGCCGGGCCCCAAACACGGACAAGACATCTGTGCAGATGACCAGCTCACCCCAGCCTTGAACCAAGCCAGGAGCCAGCACAGCTGCGTGTTTCCTGCCCACTGGCTCAGTCCGTAGGGCTCACCAGAGCTAGAGAGGGAACAAACTGGCTGTCATCCCTCAAGGGCTGTTTGCCCTGTAGTCACCAAAGTGATGACATTAGTTTGAGTGCACTCTGGATCCTGCTACTCTACCCCATTTTTATCTCCTGAAGTCAGCTTACAAAGTTTCTACTTGCTTTCTCTGGGCAGGCGTGTGGTGGGAGCACCCTGGGTGACAGGAAGGGGCACCGCTGATCATCATGTCATCCAAGCCCTTGTCAGAAGCTCCCAGCTGGACCAGCACAGGGCAGGAGTGAGAGGTACATTCTGCTCACCGCAAATGCAGCGTGGTGGTAGAGTGGGGGAACGTGGTGCTGGAAACATTTGCCGCAGCCTGGTGGCTGGCTCCCTGCACAGCTGTCTACACATGGGTTCTTGCCCCTCACACCCATGCTGTTGGCTCTGCTCTCTAACTCCTCCTATTCATCTGTTCTTTCTCTGGTTTCTGTGTGTTTCTAGCCTATGCCCTCCAACTCTGGAGAGCCCTTGCATCTGCTGGCCTTAGCCAGCTGCATCCTGCATGCTGGGTGGATGAATGGGCCCATTGGACAGTGATTTGGGGCTCATCTGTGAGAGGATGTTTGCCAAGGTCAGTAAGATGAGCTGTCCATATAGCTGATGCCCAGCTGCTGTAATTTAGCTGACAGTTCTGCTTCCCCAATCTCAGGCTGGAGGCAATAGCCAGAGTTAGCCTGGAGCAGGAGGCTGGCTCATCAGCCAGATGGTTTCCACTAGAATCGGACCCCTGCTCCAGCTGCAAATGTGACCTAGTTAAAGAGGCCCTGTTTTGTTACTCAAGACTGAGCCGTCTTCCCGCAGGAGCCCACCTGTCTTTGACATCTGTGATAATGGATTTTGCTGGTGTTGAAGAGTCCCTGGCAGCCAGAGGCAGGCACCCAGCCTGCCTAATACGGCTTACACATTTGACGAGACAACATGTAATGAATACTTGGGTCGTTCTAAAGCGGTACCTCTTCAGACTGGACTCAGTGTCTTTGGGTACAATTGGGGATGTATGCTGGCAGAATTCATTAGAGCCACCCCTCAGGGACCAGCACCTGCTGCCTAGAAGACAATCAGTGGCTTCAGCTGCACAGAACCCAGGGTTGAAAATGAAGTGGGTATGGACCTCTCAGCAGGCCATCTTCCAGCCGCTCAGCTTGAGGGAGGGAATCAGTGCAGAGATAGTGTGGATGCCTCTTGCTGTCACTTTCCCCAGGGTAACGGTGGCCTCAGGCATGGCTGTTGCCTACCCTGATGGATGCACTAGACCTGCTTGAGCTGCAACAGGAGCATGAACCTTCCACAAACCAGCTCAAGGGCAGGGGCTTGATGGGAGGGAGACAGGGCCTGTAGGGAGAAAGGGCCAGCCAAGGAAACACACTTTGTCCCTGCAACCAGAACCAAAGAAATGCACCCCGACCCTGAATCCAGTGCCAGAGAAACACACTTTGTCCCTAGAGTCAGAGCCAGCGAAAGAAGTGCACCCTGGTCCTAAAATTAGAGCCAAAGGGCTAAAAGGACCCATGAAAGAAACTCACTTTGGCCCTGAAACCAGAGCCAAATCTGACCCTAAACCTGTGCAGAAAACCAACCAATCCCTGAGCACAAGGTCTAGCCAGTCTGAGCTCAGGGACTAAAATCTGAACAATCTCTACTCCAGAAATCTCCCTGGAAAAACTCTGCCCCTAAGAAGCCCTATGTAAACCCTGTGCCCGTTCAGCTTGAGGCTGTCTGGCTGTCTTCTACCCTGGCAGAGGCAGAGGGATTCTTCCCTCCCAATAAGTCTCTTGAATGAGGTTTGGGTGAGACCTTCCTTTGCTGGAATGGAGCCGAGCAGAGGATTAGTTTTCACCAGAGTCAGAGTGGAGCAGAGAAAGGCGAGCAGGGCTGTATCGCCGGGGAAGCCCTCCCCTGCCGGAGCAGAGCTGCTACACTGGGGAAGCCCTCCCCTGAAGCAGGGCTGTGAGCTGCTAAGCTTACTGTGACTGTGGTGTCCCTTGGCTCCCAAGTGCCACAATCCCTTTCCATCTGAGCTGTAACACTATTCTGTAGCTCTCCCAAGTGCCAGAGTCCCTTTCCATCTGAGACGCAATGCTTAGAAGACCAGCATGTCAATCCATATCTTCTACAAAAGGAGCCTTTGACAGAAAGCAAGACTGATTCTTGCCATGTTGTTACACTGTGGGATAACAGCTAGGTGACCTCAAGTTTGCATTTCTCAGCTGTAATCAAGAGTCTCCCTTCTCCCTTTCCTCCTGCCTTGGGAGGGCTGCAGCTCACTGAGTACCCATCGGGTTCCTGGTCTTTCCCAGTCAGTGAGCCACTGGCTACCACCTGGCTCCAGAGCAGGGGTGAGTGTAGGACCCTGCCAGCTGGAGGGGTTGCCACACAGCACGTGTGGGTAGGGATGGCCTGATGTACATGTAGAAAGAACAGGTCACAAAATACCGGAAGAATTCTGTACTCTGTCTGCATTCCACTTGAAATATTGTTTTAATAACTTTGCTAAGATTGCTTTTTATCTTGGGACTAACAGACCTCCCAACAGTCCAAGTGAGGGCTTGGCTGACCTGAGACACACAGCTCCTGTGCTCAAGAAAGACCACCATCCCCTCCATCTTCAGGCTCTGTCCACCCCAGGGCAAAGATTCAGAGGTCCTCTCATTCTCCAGAATAACCCTGACCACCCAGCTTCGTTGCCTACGTTCCTCCTGGCTGAGGCCTCTTTGCATCATTATCTCTCCTGCCATTATCTCTCCTGTCCTCAAGGGGTCTTTATGTGTGATCTGTGTGTGCTCTGTGAGTGTGAGCCCTTTGAGTGTGTACCCTGTGTGTGTCCTGTGAGTGTGTGTCCTGTGTGTCCTGTGTGTGCCCTGTGAGTGTGCCCTGTGAGTGTGTGTCCTGTGAGTGTAAGCCCTGTAGGGGTGTGCCCTGTGAGTGTGAGCCCTTTGAGTGTGTATCCTGTGAGTGTGTGCCCTTTGAGTGTGTGTCCTGTGAGTGTGTGCCCTGTGAGTGTAAGCCCTGTAGGGGTGTGCCCTGTGAGTGTGTGCCCTTTGAGTGTGTCCTGTATGTGTCCTGTGTGTCCTGTGTGTGCCCTGTGAGTGTGTGTCCTGTGAGTGTGTGCCCTGTGAGTGTGTGTCCTGTGAGTGTGTGCCCTGTGAGTGTGTGTCCTGTGAGTGCCCTGTGTGTGTCCTGTGAGTGTGCCCTGTGAGTGTGTTCCCTTTGAGTGTGTCCTGTGAGTGTGTTCCCTTTGAGTGTGTCCTGTGAGTGTGCCCTGTGAGTGTGTTCCCTTTGAGTGTGTCCTGTGAGTGTGCCCTGTGAGTGTGTTCCCTTTGAGTGTGCCCTGTGAGTGTGTGCCCTGAGAGCAAGCTGCACAGAAACAATGCAGTCTCCCCTGCTGCAGGGAGCTTATCGCATTGGTCCTCAGAACTGATGAAAGCCAGGACCCCAAGTCCAGATGAGTCATCCCTGTATGTGCCCAGCTGGGTCTGTCTGCACTACACACACACGTGCGCGCACACACACTCGCACGCACGTACGCACACACACTCTCTCACACACTCACACACACACACACTCCTCCATTTTCCTAGGAGCTATTGGTGATTGATGCAGTGGTCCAGCGCTGGCTGCTGCAGCACGTGCTCCTGGGAGCAGTCTCAGGCTGACCTCTGACCCTCTTGCCAGCCCCACACAGCAGGGTAGGCATGCTTGTGTCAACCAGTTTCTGGCAACATTGGTATTTGAACCCAGCTCTGCCACGATTCTCCCCCCCCCCTTTCTTCCCTTACCGCCTGGCCAGCACAGAAAGATGCATCCTTTTCCTTGCAGGCTTGGCCAGGCACGGTGGCAGGAAAGTAGCCGGCGCTGAAGAACCTAGGACAGCGCCTCTCCCTCCCACGCCCCTGCCCTCCACCCACCACTGCTCCCAGCCCGCTTGCTCCTCAACACCCCTCCCATGCCTTTCCGGCTGAGGCCTCCGCCCCTCCCACCGTCTAAACCTTCATTAGCCTGGATCGGTTCTGCCCGGAACCCTGACTGCCCCCAGCCCACGGTTCCCTTTGTCTCCAACCCCCTGCCACTCCGCGCAGCCCGTCCGTCCGTAGCTCCGGACCCCGCATCCTCCCCGGCTGCTGCCCGGCTCTTGCTCTATGGCCCTTCTTGCCGCGTTGCTCCTGAGCGCAGCCCTGGGCGCCCTGCTCAGCTTCGCGCTGCTGGCAGCTGCGGTGGCCAGCGACTACTGGTACATCCTGGAGGTGGCGAACGCTGGCGGCGCCGCTGGCACGCAGCAGCTCTCCTCACACTCGGGGCTCTGGCGCACCTGCGAAGGTGAGAAGCAACCCGGACGCCCCCTAGTCCCGTCCCCTCCCATCTCTACTTCCCGCGGCTCCCTCCTCCTCAGCCTTCCGTCTGCTCCTCAGGGAGTCTCTGGGTTCCAAGCCCAAGTCCCCTCTCCAATTGCTGGGTGACAGCTGGGCTGTGGAAGGGTGTGAGGAAGCTCCAGGGCAGGGTGGGAGGAAGAGGGGCTGGCACTATGCGTTAGGTTCTGAAGAACTTTTCTCTGGGAAGAGATGGGTGCCACTGGGAGGTGACGGCCAGGGAGACCGCGATCTGTTCCTTGCCTCTGAGAAACATGAGTTTGTATCTCCTTAGCCTCTCTAGGTCTAGGCGCCTCCGTGGAGGTCAGGGGAGCACTGGAGGCTGGGGCCCAGCTGCCAGGCTTCAGGCAAGAGTTAAATAGGAACCCGAGGCCATGGCATCCATGTTCCCAGCCCCCATTTGTACCTTGGCTTTCAGGACAGAACAGCTGCGTGCCCCTGATTGACCCGTTTGCCAGTGACAGCTTGGAAGCTTCCCCCTCCATACAGCACCTTCTCTGTGAGTCCTGGGCCAGTGCAATCTCTGACTCTTCAGGCAGGTCTGGAACCAAACCACCCTACCCAGCCCCTCACCCCAGCCCCAGCCCCTCACCCCAGCCCCAGCCCCTCACCCCAGCCCCAGCCCCTCACCCCAGCCCCTCACCCCAGCCCCTCACCCCAGCCCCTCACCCCAGCCCCTCACCCCAGCCTCAGCCCCTCACCCCAGCCTCAGCCCCTCACCCCAGCCCCTCACCCCAGCCCCAGCCCCTCACCCCAGCCCCTCACCCCAGCCCCCTCACCCCAGCCTCAGCCCCTCACCCCAGCCCCAGCCCCTCACCCCAGCCTTGGGGACCCTAAGGGTGTTCCCATCATAGCCCCCGACCACGGATCCTGGGATCCCAGCCTGCCTCATACCTCAGTTCATTTTTAATGAGGTCGTGAACCAGCTCAGAGCATGACCAGATCTCATGGGACACAAGTCCCCTTTGGGCCTGGTCCTCTCTCTAGCCGGACGGCCATAGACAACCTACTGCCCCTGAGAGGCCCTGATGGTGGGGTGGGGTGGGGTGGGGTGGGGAGGGCATTGGCAGAGCCTCCCTCAGCCTGGCTTCAGGAAGCTGTACCAGAAAGGGGTGACCACTGGGAGGGTCTCGTGTTACTATGGAGATGGGCATCTGCTCAGCCCTGCTGGTGACCTGAGCAGGTCAAGGCCTGACTGTCCAGCTCCTTTTTAGAGGCGGGCAGGCCCCTCTGCCTGCCCCGAGCCCCCCTTTCTCCCCACAGTGCTGCATCGCACGGTCATGGTAGCCCTGCCTCTGAGCCTCATCCTCATCGTGTGTGGCTGGGTCTGTGGCTTGCTCAGCTCTCTGTCCCAGAGTGTCCCTCTGCTGCTCCTCACCGGCTGCTACTTCTTGCTAGGGGGTGAGTGAGGGTCCCTTGGAGGATCTCGGACTGCAGATCGTGGGAGCGGGCGGGGTTCTCACTGTTATTTACCTCTACCCTGGCCCCTCGTCCCCTCTGAGCATTGGAGAGCCCCGCCCCCTGCAGAAATCCCCTAGGACTGGCTCCCCATGTGGGGCCTGGATGTACAGGAGCACCAGAGTGGAGCCTCTTGGCCTTGGAGACTTCAGGGTCTCCATGGTAACTGCAGGACTAGCTCTATGGGCAGATGGTGCAAGAAGAGGGGTCCTACCAGGCGAGAATGGTTGAGGCAGGGCAGGCCAGGCAGGGACATATCATCCTTGGCCCTCGCCCGCCCTAGCCCCGGGCTCTAACTAGCCACCCTGGCGGCTCCTTTGGCCCACTTCAGCAGGTTGGACACCCAAGGCTTCCAGAGCCAGAAGCAAACTGGGACTGTACCTTCTTGGTACAGTCTGTCCCAGCCACCTAGGCTAGCTGTCACCAGAGTGGGCATGTGGCCCTGCAGGGGTCTATCCTTCTGCAGCAGCCGCCCGCTATCACTGGGGCCAGTCCTACTCTCAGGGCAATGGTGAGGTCTCCCAGACAAGGCTGCCCCCCCCCCCCGGGACACTGGGCTCTTCAGACCTTTGTTAGGAGTGCGATGGGCCTGAGATGGGGGCCTGCAGCCACAAACTAATGAGACAGATGTTCAGACCCACCCGGGAGCCTGAGTACAAGATCCAATGAAGAAGCCACGGGAAGCCGCTGATGGGTTGGGACTCTAACTGGGAGGCTCCCGCATTTTTCTTGAAGACACTGGCAGAGGCAGGGTCAGAGGGCAGCTTTAGAGGCGGCTGACCACAGCTCTCCTGGGTACAGTGTCCTTTACCCTGGAAGGGAAAGGAGCTGAGAGACTGGGGTCCCCTGAGTCAGGATAGCAGGAGCTGAGGCGGATGGCTCTGGAGTTGTCGGCCGAGGCTTCCGGGACCAGATGGGAGATGGGACTGTAAGAGGGGGCTAAGGCTGGGAGGCAGGTCCCCATTCCAGGGAGCTAGGTGTGGCAGGTGAGGTGGACAACGCCTGTGTTGGCTCCTGAGGATGCCCGAGAGCGACAGTTCCACCGAGGTGTTGACCCTGTCCCTACCTCTCCTTCCCCAGATTAAACCCATGGCTTTTGCTGCAGGCAGTTAGAAACCCACCCACTCAAACAGGGCAGTGGTGAAGCACACCTTTAGTCCCAGTACACAGGAGGCAGAGGCAAGCCGATCTCTGTGAGTTCAAGGCCAGCCTGGTCTACAAAGCTACACAGAGAAACCCTGTCTTGAGAAAGAGGGAGGGAGGGAGGGAGGGAGGGAGGGAGGAGGGAGGAAGCCACTCACTCCCCCCACCCCTACCCTGCCCCCTGCCCCAGGGCTAGGGTAGATGGAGGCCAGATAGTCTGGGCCTTTTTCTGATGTAACTGAGTTCTGGGACCGCTTACAAGGGGATTTGTCAGTGAGGTCTCAGGATGGAGGGCTGTACTGGAACTCCCTAACACTATGTCCCCTAAAACTCAGATTTCACTGTGCTTGTTTGTGCCTGCCCTAGGAGTAGAGACCTAACGTTGGGTCTGCTGGTGGCACATGGAGCGGTCTTGCTGCCCCTCTCTCCCCAGGTGCCCTGACCCTGGCAGGGGTCAGCGTCTACATCAGCTACTCACACCTGGCATTTGTGGAGACTGCCCGCCTGTATGGTGTGCAGCACGTTCAGGGTGTGCACGTCAGCTTCGGCTGGTCGCTGGCCCTGGCCTGGGGCTCCTGCGCCTTGGAGGTGCTCAGTGGTGCGCTCCTGTTCACAGCTGCCCGCTTCCTCAGCCTGAGCCAACGCCCAGGGATGCCCCACTCTGTGATCATCTGAGTCCCAGTGTGGCAGGGTGGTAGGGGAAGGCAGGCTCAGACACCCTTAGCATTTGCCGGAACCCTGGCTGGGGAGGTGTCCTGGGGATGGCATGTTGGGGAAGCGCTCGTTTCCAGCTAGAGTGGCAGAGTCATGAGCTCCTGGCAGCACGGTCTGGTGGGGTGCCTCGAGGTTCTGGGGGCCCAGGGGGTGCTCTTACCCTGGGGGCTGCAGTCCACTCTAGCCCTCTGTTGCTGAGACAGTCCTGTTCTGTGCTAGGAGCTGGCTGAGGGCTTCCTTACCTCTCCATCCCCCAGTCTAGGTAGTTACCGCTCACCCCATGCCACAGAGTGGGAGGCAGAAAACCGGAGAACAGATGGCAGATCTGGGTTTCACCGAAGTTGGGCAGGGCCCCTGGACCCTGTTTAGTTTCCTCTCCCCAGGGGAGGTTAGTAGGGAGGAGGCTTGGGGCTGGGTGGGAGGGTACAGTTCAGGTTCCTTTTCAAGCCACCAAGTGGGCCACTTACCTGAGTGCTTCCAGGCAGGGTGGACCTTCGAGTCTAGGTCCTTGTCCTGGTACAGGCTGCTGCCCTGCTGGCCTGCTATTTCCTCTTTGCAGCAACAACCAGGAGCGTGTCTGAGACTGGCCACAGTCGGGGTGAGTTGGGGCCATCCCTGGCCTGCCCCCTTCCCCGGGTTGCCTAGATAGAGCGACTTCTGCTGCAGGCAGAAGCCATGCTTGGGGATTTGGTTGCAGCTGTGGAATGGCCAGCACACAGGCTGCCTGCAGCCCACTCCCTGTCTGGGACAACACCATCTCTGGCCACATGAGAGGGGGCAGACCTGTGCATGTAACCGGGCAGTGGACAGCTGTAAGTTAGGAGCTGTGCAGTACCCCAAACAGCCCTGATATGACCCGCTGAGGGCAAACTGGAGCTGATGGCGACCTCCCTTTCCAGTATGTATTCTAATCTTTGCCATTCCATGTATGAGCACTGCCAAGTGTCTGAATAAATAAGCTGCCATGCATGTATTTTTCTATTTCTGCGATGTGTATTACTTTTGGAGGGGGTGTGCACAGGGACGAAGCCTCGCTACTGAGGCCTGAACTCACTGCCTCCTGCCTCAGCCGCCCTGGTCCTGAGATTTCCAGTATGCCTCACCAGAGCCAGCCTAGAATTTATGTTAGAAGGGCAAACGCGCACACACACACACACACACACACACATACACACACACACTAGTGTGTGTTTCTGGCCATCAGCGATGTGCATTTATGTGCATGTGCCCGTCACAGACATCCTGTGTGCGTGTGCATGCTGTCATGTCCTGCAGCTACAACTGCCTCCTCCTTCCGAGCTCCAGAGACTGAGGGGAGCCTCGGGTCTCAGCAGGATCTGGGCTAGCTCATGGGGAGCTACAGGAAAGTTACAGCCTCTCCCTGTCAGGCTTTGTGGACATTTGCTGAGGTGCCTGCCTGCTGGGATCTAGTTTGTCAATTCCAGCCCCACCGAATGTGCATGTGCTTGGCTTTAGGCTTCCAGGTGACACTGGGGAAGACCCACATGGTGGCTGTGAAGATCTCCACAATTGCCTAAGGGTATGTGCTTGTGTAGTGGGCATGCGGCCAGACACGGGACCTACTGAGGCCAGCTGAGTCCTTTGCTCTGATGGGTCAGTCTCCTTAGCAACTGGCCCAAGGGTTTTGTCTTGTTTTACGGTTCACTGGGTAGCTGGGCTGTGAGGCCCAGGTGAAAAGGCGGGTGAGTGCTGCCCAGGGAGGAGTTGGCAGCTCAGAACTGATGTGAACAGACAGCAGGCTCCAGTGGAACCATGTGTCTTACATGGAGAGGAGAGAGACAAGCGGGGAGCTTGTCCACATAGACAAGAGCCAGCCTCTGTGGCAGCCAGACCTCAGGCAGGACATTCGCCCTTCCGTGAGCGTGCAGCCAGATATGGGCCCAGCTAGGAAGCCTCAGAGCTTACTACTTGTCTGCAAATGCTCTGCACTCACCTTTCCTCCGCCATGCTTGGCTGTCTCTGGCCATTTATCCTCTGATGCCACCGGAACTTAAACCGTAAGGATTCAGTGTCTCCCAGATGTAGACTTCACCCCAAAAAAGTAACCAATACAGCTCCTTCCAAGCTTTATTTTACAGTCCATCTCTAATAGCTATACTGGACACATAAGGGTCTGTGTGTTTGGAGGTAGGGTCTCATGTGGCCCAGGATCGGGTCACACTGTAGCTGGAGTGACCTTGAACTTCTAACACTCCCTCCCCTCCCCCAGCACGCTAGGATTACGGCTGTGAGTCAACACACCTGTCATACAGTGCTGGGGACTGAACCCAGGGCTTATGCACACCAGGCAGCCCATACTACATGTCCCAGGCCCAGAATCTGTTTCCTCTATCCATTCCCTTCCCTTGACATTTTATCCTGGGCTGTGCCCGGTTACTCCTGACTGAATGAGGCCATCACGTGAGAGCCATTGGTGGGAAGCAAAGGCTGAGTGGTGCCGTCATCCCCCACAAGGACAAGGACGGGCCGGGCCTTCGCGAGGCTAATGGCTGGGGCCACCTTATCCCCCACTTCAGTCCTGGCCGGGGCCTCAGGGCCTCAGCTGCCTCAGCACAAAGCCCCACTTCCTCAGTACCAGTCCCGTGTCCTGAGCAGACACATCTCGGTGCCACACAACCCGCACAGCGCGCTCTGTCCAGGGAAACAGCAACACGCTCACGGCACAGCCCGTCTGAGCCACCTCCTCGGCACTCACAGCCTGCAGACGCTGGCACAGCTCTGCCGGAGGCAGACCAGCCACCTGCACCAGCACTATGTTGGTCTCCACAGTCGCAGGGTCCACAGAGCAAAGGGGTGATGCCAGGTCCTGGAGTCCTGGAGCCAGACACAGTGGTGAGTGCAGGCCCACCCCAGGGCCCAACCGTGGGCCACCCTCCCCCACCCCCCCCACCCCCGCAGGGAAGGCACAAGAGCAGCCCATAGTAGTTGGGAACAGACCCAGAGCCCTGACTTGGGGACAAGAGTTAACCCCTGCTTTTCTACTTCTCTGCAACTCAGGGGTGCGGGCACAACAGGGTTGTTATGGAAATTTAGAAAATGTATAAAAGACCCGTGTTGGAGGCTCCGTGTTGCCTTGGTTCCCGACTGTGGCATCCCTGTGTGAGGGAGGGCCCCACGGAGTAGGGCCCAGTGAGGCAAGAAGATCCAGGCCCCACCCCAGAAGCTTGTGAGAGGCGCAGGGGTGCAGGTCCGCTGGGGACATCTAGGCCCAGACAGCAGGGGAAGTGGATCGAGGGTGGGGGGCGGCCCCGGCACCTTTGGCAAATCTCATGGCGTTCTCGTGGTCTCTTGGCAGCACCTCCTCAGCCTCAGCCAGTCCTACCAGGGCAGCGGCAGCCAGTACTCCAGCCTGGCGCATACCTCCACCCAGGGCTTTGCGGAGGCGCCAGCCTTCCTCAATGAAGCCCTTGGATCCCCCAAGCACAGCCCCCACTGGAGCACCGAGGCCCTGAGGGAAGGGAGGAGAGGAGAGACCCCTGGGGCCTCTTTCCACAGCTAGAGGTGGAGAGGGCTGTGCTGCAGTCTCCACAGTGCGGGGCTAGCAGGTGTGGCAGGCTCTGGGGTGCCCACACCCCGTCTGCCTGCCTCGGGAAAGGTCAGCCTACCTTAGAGAAGCAGAAGGACACAGAGTCACAGTGTTCCACCAGGCGGGCAGGAGGCACGCGCAGAGCCACAGCTGCGTTCATCAGCCGTGCCCCATCCAGATGGACGCGAGCTCCATGGGTGTGGGCCAGGAGGCGCACCTGGGTGCAAAGGTCAGGCGGGCAGTGGGGGGGGCAGGGTAGGAGAGCGTTTGGGCTTGGCACCATTCTTTTAAAAAAGATTTTAAAAACTTATTACTTTATGATTAATTAGTCTAGCATGTGTGTAGGCATGTACACGTGTGTAGGCATGCACATGAGTGTAAACTCCTGTGGAAACCAGGGGCACTGGGGGCCCCAGAGGTGGCTGTTACAGAATGCTGTGAGTTGCATGTGGGTTCTAGAGATTGGGATCCAGGTCTCCTGGAAGAGACAGTGCTTTTAACCACCAAACCATCTCTCCAGCCGCCTCAAAATTTATTTTCATTGCTGGACGGTGATGGCAGCTCACACCTTTAATCCCAGCACCCGGGAGGGAGAGGCAGGTAGATCTCAGTGAGTTTGAGGCCAGCCTGGTCTACAAAGTAAGTTCCAGGACAGTCAGAGCTGTTACACGGAGAAACCCTGTCTCAAAAAACAAACAAACAAAACCCCTGAAAGATTTATTTCTATTTTATGTGTATGTGTGTGGTGTGTGCCGTGTACGGTGGTATGCCTACGCAGCCAGAAGAGGGTACTGGATCCTCTAGAGCGGAGCTGCAGGTCTCTGATCCAGCCAAACTCAGGCTCTGGAAGAGCAGCAACTGCCCATCCCCACTGAGGCATCTCTCAATCTCCCTAGAGCTCAGCATCTTGAGGAACCATGAAGGGTCTAGAGTCAGAAGCCTGGTGTCTCTGTGTATTTGGGACCGGAGAAGACATCCTAGGCACACAGAACGTGTGATGTTTCTGTCCCCAGAGAGACCAGGAGCCTGAAGCCATTCAGCCTGGGACCAGCACATTCATTCCCCATGACAGTCAGGCCACTGATGGGTGCCCACAGCATGAGCCAGAGGGAATTGATCCCTGGGGACAGGGACTGTTCAGAGGGCACAGAGTCAAGAGTATGCTGGCATCGGGGCCCAGCTGGGAGGTAGCCTACCTGGCGGAGGTAGTCAACAGGGAGCACCCGGCCCCCTGCGCTGTTGTGTGTATTCTCCAGGCACACAAGTTCGCAGACTGGATGGTAGGAGCTCCCGGAGCCCCGAGTCAGTGCCCTCTCCAGCTCATTCAGGTCCAAGGTGCCATGGGGCATGTCTGGGAGGGGCTGGGAGTGCACCCCAGCAATCTGCAGGCGGGAGAGGACACTGCATCAGGTGATTCTAGGGGCACCTCCAGGTAGGAAGGTCCCTCTGCAGTAGCAGCCACCTCTGGAATCCAGAGTGTTCTGAGCACGTGCAACAACATCCTAGCTGAGAGGCTGCTGCCCCTTGCTGCTAGTTTCTGTCTGGACGCTGTCCTTCGGCTTCTTTCTGGAGTGCTAGTGCTCCAGCTGCCCACTAGGGGGCAGTAAGGCACCGAGGCAGATGAGCAAATCTGGGCCCAGGCCCTCTTTCCTCCCATCTCTCTTGCTGGCTTCCCTGTGCCTTTCCCTTTCTCTGCTAGTTCCTACCTTGGCATCCCAATTGGCTGGAGGATGTCCAAAGCCCCAGGGGAGTGGTGCCTGGTCCTTACCTGAGCCACCCCGCCCTGCTCATAGACGTGGAGGTGACATTCCTGCCCAAGGAGGACCTGGGAACCCCGGCGCCGGCAGTGACCCATCACTGAGATGGAGGAGGCAGAACTTGGAACTGGGTCCAAGAGGGTCCCACTGCCCCTGCTCAGCCTGGCCTGGCTGAGCCTGGAGCCCCAGTGAACTCAGACCGCCTCTGTCAGTTAGGAGGCCGCGCCCTTCAAGGCACCTCGCTGCTGCCGTGGTGAAAAGGTGGTGTGGCAACCAGCTCTGGATGGCTTCACAACCCTGTGGCCCCCTGCAGAACACTTCCAGCAGGGGAGGGTGCCAGGGTGCCGTCCCGGAAGACAGGCAGCGCAGGGCACCAGCAGCAGCCAGGCCCTGTCGGAAGACTAAGGAAAGAAGCACACTGGGGACAACCCGGGCCGGGGCTGCAAGGCCAGCGCCCAGGAGGAAGAGCTGGGGAACGGCAGACACTTGCAGACCTAGCTCACCCTCTGGCTTCCGCCAGGGCGCTCCACTGGCTGCACCCCAAAGAAACCCAGGAACGTGTCCACCAGAGCTACAGGCCCCGACTCAGAGGGAGGGTGGACACTCACCAGAGATGAGGTTGGCCATGGTGTTGGTGGGCACAAACAGGGTCCGCTCCACCCCAAGCAGCTTTGCAGCCTTTTCCTGCAGTTCTGAGAAGGGAGGGAGGGCAAGAATGTCTATCAATAATTGCTCAGAGCCACTGTACCCCTGGCTCAGTTCAGTGCGCTTGTTACTGGGTGTTATGAAATACACCTGTACTTCTATACTCTGCTGCCGCAGCAGGGTAACAGAGTCTGAGGGCAGCCTGAGCTACATAGCAAGACCTTGTCTTGAGTCCTTCCCTCCAAAAAACGTGCATTTGTTCAGATGAGAGCGGGGCGGGGCCTGGAGCCCATCTACACATCCGTGTAGTCTTGGTAATCACGTGCTGTGTCCCCAGATGTCCCCTTACCCCTCTACCCCCCATCAGTCCTCCACCTGTTACCTCCTCCTGGGTCATAGTCCCCTGCCCCAGGCCACCGAAACTCTTGTGGTTTAAACCCCTTTCCCACCCCAACCTCTCACACCTGTTTGTCCTTTCCCATCAGCCCTGGCAGGTGAGGCCCTGTGGTTTCCCTGCAGACTTCCTCTCTGCAGGGAGGAGTGGGGGGGGGGAGCTGGCCCCAGGGTACAGCTGGTGGCTGAGAGAAAGGGCTGTGTAAAGCCCACGGTGGCTTCCCTCCATGGAAGGACATCCAAAGTGATCTAGATTTTGTCCCCAGAAGACACAGGTAGCTCCCTGCAGCCTGCATGCTGCCACTCTGTCTTAATTTAGCAAGCTCTCCTCCTCCCCACCCCACCCCAGACTCCTGAAGGCAAGCCACCTCCCCAGCCTTGATGTGGGGACCTGTTTACACCCCAGGTGTCATCTGAGAGGAGCATTTCAGATCTTTGAAGTTCCTGGTAATGGCCTCAATAGCCCCTGGGACCACAAACAGGGCTCCAGGGGTCAAAGGGGCGATCTGTGGTTTATCTCTGACCCCCAGAAGCTGCACACGCCCCCAGCAACACTGGAGGTTCATTCAGCAATGACAGTCGACCCTGGGTGGGCTTTGGTTTGCTGTCTTCTTAAAGCACTGCCTACGTTATAAAATTCTGCCCCTGAGAAGGTGCGGCAAGCCCAGAAATCTTTCCTCGATTGGTTCTGTCTGTGTGAAGTCAGTCAGTGAATGAAGGAGAGTAGTTACAAGTCATTTCCAACCCTGGTTCTTCCCTGTCCCTGATACGGGTTCTTGAGCTCCTCTCTGGCCACCTTAGAGCCATTCTTTGCAAGGCTGGACAACACCCATCTGGGCAGTTGGATGACAGTGGACAGAAATCACCCGGCGGTCCTGTTAAAATGCAGATCCTGGCTCCCCAAGTCCAACGTGGACCAAAGAGTCTGCACTACCGAGGCTCTCCAGGAGAACGAGCAGGGCCGCAGGGCGCACCACCCAGCTGGCAGGTGCATCCTCAAATGTCACGTGAGGCACTACTCTGCGTCCTGGCTCTCCTGTCAGCACCACGGACAGCGGCCCGGGGGGGTCACCGCAACGACCCCTGCCCCGGGGCCTGCTCGCCCGGCTCACCGTGGACCGTGGGGTCTTCTCCGTAATCGTCGTCTCCCACGACCGCCTCGGCCATGGCACGCCTCATGGCCGGCCCTGGCCGGGTCACCGTGTCGCTGCGCAGGTCTACTACCTGGGTTGGGACCCCCGCCCAGTTCCTAGACCACCGCGCCCAGGGCACCCTGAACCCCGGGACGGCGGCGCGGGCCAGTCTGCAGAGCATGGCTATGCCACCCGCCTTCCCTGCGCGCAGGAGCGGTGGACACTCTCTTCCGGGCCTGCCGGTGATCGGTGTGGCTGGACAATTCTGACCCCCTGCGGACCGGAGCTGGGTAGGCCCGGGGCACTCTGGGAGTTGTAGTCCTCTGGGAGTTGTAGTCCTCTCTGGAACTTGATAGTTTATGGTGAGTCCCGCAGGATGCTGGGAATCGTAGTTCGTGCTCGCAGTGCAGCCTAGGAGAATTTGGGATGATAGTTCCTTGCTTTGCTGAAGAGGGAGTGATTTCTTTTTTCTTTCTTTCTTTCTTTTTTAATGCAGCTGACTTCCAGGTGACTTTTAGCGTGCACCTGGCACTGTTCACGACACTGCAGATTTAACTTAGTTGAGCGTGCCAGCCACTGAACAACCTGGGTGCTGGGAATACCGCTGAGTCATCTCTCCAGCCTTTCACAGTCCTTTCCCTCAGGAGGAAACAGACTGCAGATGCTGCTGCTTTGAGTTCCTCAGTCCAGAAATCAAAAAAAGGTGCCATGTTGCCCCTAAAGAGTAGCTTTCCACCGCCGGAATCTTTTTAATTTTTCTCTTCTGAAACAGGGTCTCGTGTGTCCCAGGCTAGTTCTGAACACTGCTGTGTAGCCTTGAACTTCTGACTGTCCTGTTTGGGATTACAGGTGTGTGCCACCCTACCCAGATTATGTCGTGTTGGGAACTCTGAGCATTTTAGGCAAGCACTCTACCAAATGGGATATATCCAGCTCTCTCTGTGCCTTTAATAAAATGAATTTAAAACTTTTAAGATTATATGTATGTGGGGGAGGGGTATGTACACACAAGTATAGTTGTCAGTTAGGGCCATAAAAGGTCTTTGGACCTGGAGCTGGAGTTACAGGTGTGGGTGCTGGTAACCAAACTCAGGTTCCCTGCAACAGTAGAGTGTGTTTTTAGTGTTGAGCCATCTCTCCAGTACCGGTGTTGGGGTTGTTGGTTTTTTAGATAATCTGACGCTGTAGACGATCATACTAACCCAGATCTCATTCCTAAAAATCCCCCTGCAGCTTCCCAAGTGTTGGGGTTACGGGAATGAGCCACCATGTCAGCCTACAATATGGTTTTACTGAGGACTAACTAGATGCCAGGCAGGGGACTGGAGGGTGTCTTCACATATTGGGAAACAGACTCAGGGAGGTCTTCACCTGGGGCTGGAGGTATAATTTCCCAGGGCATAACGGGAAACAGAGTCACAGAAGTATCTAGAAATCCCCTTCCTTCCTATACCATGGTCCTTGGGAGGCAAGATGCTTCCATGGAAGTCATACCCAAGAACTCTGTAACACAGCACCTGCCTGGCAACGTGAGACCCTTGGGTTTATTCCCCAGTGCTGCAAAAAGGTAGGCATGGGGGCTCATGCCTGTAATCCCAGTCCTTTGGGAGGCTGAGGCAGGGGGATGGTTGAGAGTTTCAGGCCAGTCTGCACTAGAGTGAGAGACTCTGTCTCAGGAAAACAAAACAATAGCAAGGAAAATAAGATCCCTCGTCCCAGCTGTGCCCAGGGCCCCTGACTTGGTGAGGACGGAGGATGTACTTTTCTAGTCTGACCCTGTGCCTGGCTTGTGGGAGACTTTGCTGTTTGTCCTGATGTTGGAGCTGCTAAGTCCTGGAACTTGGTGCTTCTATTGTGGGGTACACTCTGACTTACCAGGACCAAAGGGTGACATTCCTTCATAAAGGAAGGTCGGGAACTCAACCCTGCTAGTTACCTGTCTGTGGTGGGCCGGGGGCAGGCTGGTCCCAGAAGGGCCTCATGGAGGTGAGGCCACAGTCTATCAAGGTACCTCTGGGGATTTCATCTTGCCTCAGATGCTGGCCCTCTCTGTCACTCTGCCTACTCTGCCATCTTCCTGGGAAGGAACAGTCCAGGCAGGCTTCCTGGAGGAAACATCAGCTTTTGAAGACAGGGCAGTGCACTAAGCAGGTGAGGGGGAGTGACTTGGATAAGGGACTGCATGGGCCGCAGTAAGGTGGCAGAGACGCTGTGGGAAGTCCAGGGGGCAGCAGAAGTGAGGAGTATGCAAGCAGACAGAGGCCACCTGCAGGGACAGAGGCAACTCCCAAAGTCCTAGCAGAGCCATCCTAAAAGAGTGCAGAGGTCAAGTTCTTGAAGGGCTGGGGCCCCAGGGACTTCCACCTAATACAAAGGCTCCCTGCTTCCCCCATCGCTGGGTGCTCTGGCCCTGACCCCCACACAAGCTCAGCCTAATTCCCGAATTCCAGTCCTTAGAAAACAAGCCTTTATCTCATTGTCTGGCTCCAGCCCTTCTGCTGGGAAGTGGGGGGCGGGAGCGAAGACTCCATGGGAAGGGGGGCGGACGGGCTGGGAGCAGCCACAGGAGCTCTCAGGGGAGAGGGGACAAAAGACCAGGCACCTCCCTTTGATGGCAGAACCAGAAATTGGTCACCTGCTTGTAACCCTCCCTTCCCAGGGGGCTGCCTGTCAATCATCAAGCAGCCGTGGGGAGGAGGAACAGGGAACAAGGCTTGAGAACCCCACCTAGGTGGCAGAGCTGGACCACCGGCTTTTGTCCTTCCCAAGTGGGTCTGTCTCCCTGAGAGGCATATACTCTTCCCAGGCCCCAGGCTATAGGACAGACAGTTCGTATGGCTGGGTCCTCCTGTCTGGTCCTGGAGTGTACAACCAGGCAAACAGCTGTGTTTGGAGGAGAGTGTACCAGAGTCAGCCTGACTCTCTCTCTCTCTCTCTCTCTCTCTCTCTCTCTCTCTCTCTCTCTCGTGTGTGTGTGTGTGTGTGTGTGTGTGTGTGTGTGTGTGTGTTTGAATTGTGTTTGTGTGTATCTGAATGTGTATCTGTATGGGTTGTATGTGTGTATATCTGAATGGTGGATTGTGTATACTAGTATATGTGTATAGTTGTGCATGTTTATGGGTGGACCTGTGTGCATCTGTGTGTACACATGTTTGCATGCTTTCCTGGCTGTGCCTGAGCTTTGAGTTATCCTGGTGAGAGGCCAGGAGATAGACAGGCTCCCTGGTAGACAGACAGATATGGAGGGGGGGGCATAACCAGGTAATAAAAGTTGGCAAATTTCCAAGATAGTCATCTTCTTCCTCAACCTCCTAGCTTAAGATAAAAGCCTGGCAGGTTTTTCACCTGCCATGGACAAGGCTGGATCAGGAAGTGCCACACAACAGTTCTGAGTTAGCCAGCTGTCCTAGCTTTCTTCAAACTGATCATTGGGGATGGAAAATTTCAGAGGTTTCCCAGCCCACAGGCCTCAGAAGACACTGGAGTGTGGTCTTTTTTCTCTGTGTGGCATCTGGCCATGCACATTCCCTCACCCCCAGTAAATGCTGATCCCATCTTCTGGTGTTTTCCAGGTCCCCAGGCTGCTCCCCAATCCCCTTTCCTCTCTAATTGTGACTTGTTTGCAGTATTAGCACTAAATAGTCCCCACTGCAGAGGTGGGGGGTTGGGGGGGTTCCACCTCACCTTGCCGGAACTCCTGGCAGGGCAGAATGACCTGAGTGCCTGCCATAGTTGGCCTTTCTGTTTATGTGTTTATGTGCAGGTACATACGTGCATCTGTGTGCACATGTACATGGAGGCCAGAGGTCAACCTCACATGTCGTTCCTCTGGTGGTGGCCTTATTTGTGAGACAGTCTCTCACTGGGACCTGGGGCTGACTCACTAGTTAGGGTAGGCTGGCTAGCTAGGAATATGCCTGTCTCTGCATCCCCAGAGCAGGAACTTCAAATGCCGGCCGCCATTACAGCTTTTTCCATGATGGCAATCCTGCCCTCACGCTTACAAGACTGGCATTTTACCGACAGCGTCTCTCCAGCCTGGTAACCAGCCTCTTGATGTAGCCTTCTCCCTGGGGCTTTTCACCAGCACTTCAGCCTGCCGGGTGACAGCCTGTTCCCCAGATGTGCTCTCCGCTTCCCCGGGATGGCAGTCCGGCAGTCCGGAGCCCACATCCCCTCCGTCTGGCCCCTCCCCTCCCAGCTGCCCCCACACCCCTCAGGCACCACCTCCTCAGTCTTGGTTTTCAGCGGACCTGTTCTAACACCTGGCCCCGTCCAACAAGAGAGGAGCAGGCCCTCTTTCTGGGGTACGCCTAGCACCTCACTTCCCGCCGTCCACGGCCACAGTGCGCATTTCTGCCACTTGTTCTGATTCACTGAACACAGAAGGCCAGCTGGGAGCTTTTTGTGTCATGGCCCTGTGTGCTCAGCCCGGTTCTGGGACTTGGTGAATGACAGACAAGGGACGACCTGCATATAAGTGTGTCCCTGAGGTCAAGGCATCCTGGTGGCAGCTGAGTGGCCGGCAGGGAAGGGCACTTGGTCAGTGCATTCACACATGGGGAACAGGTGCTGTCCTGCCTTTGAGGACAGTCTGGAGAACATGGTTATCAGCCCCACCCTCGCCATCTCTGGCTGCCTGAGGGAGGATTCTTAGAGGCTCAGGTCAGGTTCTGGGGGAGGGCTGCTTCTGGGGTACCTATGACTTCCTGACACCTGGCCAGGGTGGTGCAGGCTGTGGGGTGTGGGTACACGTGCACACACACTCACATGCTGAGTTAGTTCAGTGCGCTCTGTGTGTGTGTGTGTGTGTGTGTGTGTGTGTGTGTGTGTGTGTGTGTGTATTCCTGTAATGCTGGGCCACTGGCAGGAAGTGAGCGGCGGGGAGGCTGCTGGGAACCCAGGCGGTCCCTCAGAGATAAAGAGAGGCGGCGGATTGGAGCTGTAGATAGCAGCTGGGCCCCAGTAAACAGGGGAAATGTCTTTCCCATCCATTCAGCCCACCCCTCCATAGGCACTGGTCCAGCCCAGACCCACCACCCTGGGAGACCGGGATGTCACCATTCCCGGCATGGGGGAGGGGCAAGGGCAGGTGCCAGCAGAGTTGGGGGTGCTGTCTGGGCTTAGCTGTGGCCCATGTTGCTCCACTATGCCAAGGCCTCCTGTTTCGCTAGTTGGGAATGGGAAGGCGGTACCCTCCAAGTCCTTGCACCTCCCCTGTGAGGACACCCCCCCTGGTTGGAAGGTTTCCCC